AAAACGGAAAATTTGACATTTTGACCTCTCGGGTCACTAAGAACAGAGGTGAATTTACATTTTTATTGAAAGAGTGATTACTTTCGATCATTTTCAGCATATTTTCATGATACAAGAATGGCTGCGCATTCACTTTCAGTGCAAATGACCTCATTTGACCTTTGAATCTGAATATCTAGAAAATGGCCCAACGGCGAATTGATTACCACTCGGTATCATATTCTACGCAAAATTTTACTCTAGAACAGTTGGGTCTGCTTTTGTGACCATTTGATGGACCCCCCACACACACTGAGCCTCTGGTCTATTGCGAAATCTTGTAGAAACTTGCAGTGTAATAAACTATAGCAATTGTTATCCGTAAATAGTGTCTTATTTGATCATGTCCCAATTACTAAATGCCATTCAAAGAATATACAGACATGAAGGAACTAGAGAATTATAGAATTATACAAATATACAATAACATGAAGAGAATTATTGCTACAATATAATATAACATTATACTTTATACATAATATTTATATATAGAAATTATTTCACCTTATGTATATTTATAAACAATAACAAATAGACCTTCAAAACATATCAACAATAACAAACAACAAGTTTATATTACCTTTCTACAAGATGATGTCACATCACCTTTTCAAAAACTATTAAACAAGATGGATAAATATGTGTACTGGTTCAAGTTGCTCTCAGTCTGTGGTTAATAATAATTGTTGATTTGCCAGAAAGCAGAGCAAAAAATAAAAGTTTGAAATGTATCTTTCAGTATTGTATATATATATATATATATATGTATAAAAAGTAGCCAAAACATTTGTGCCTCTCAACCCTGTCTACTGATATTCCCTAATGCTAGGTCCCCACTATCATGATTCACGCAATGATTGAAATCGTGGTTTTAATCGTGGAGTAATCATAGAGTTCCTATCAGGTCGTATCATACATTGAGGTGAGTTGTAGCAATCGTGTTGATCATATCGAAACGTATCGGCACGTACCAGATTGTGGGCTCAATAGAGACAACCCTATCGTAAAGCATCGCACCACAGTGGGAACCTAACATTAGTCACATCCTTGCGCGTGAGTTTGTGTGTCTATAACATACATTTTTCATTTAAATAGATTAATCAGAATTCAGGATGTTTACTGATTTTAGTTTTGTTTTGGCTTATTGTTGAACATGTATTTTTCAGTTATGAAGTGATAGCCTTTGTAGAGTAAATTATTGTGGGATCCTCGCTGGTTGCCGCCAATCAAAAGGCAACCACCACAATCCAGGATGAAAAACTATTGAAACTCGACTACAGAGAAATGTACATACACCAATCGATTGAATAAAAGCAATTAAATAATTAATTAATACAAAAAAACATAGACAAAATAATCAATTCTGGAAGAACGATCTTCAAAAAAAAACATCAAAAAAAGAAATTTTCAAGAATACTTGACAGAATCTTAATAAATTGTTGCCATTTAATAGCTTGATAAATTATAAAACAAAATACTAAAAGTGCATACATGTGAATATATCAAATTAATTTAATATTTATGAGGATTATTCATAGTTTTTACTTCAAGAAAATCACACAAACTAAATAACAGAATACATTAACAGAGTCAGATACATGTAATTAATCAATTAACTTGTTTGGGCTGAATATAAAATATTTTGGTTAAGTTTTGAAGGATACAATCCTTTCTAACAGATTCATCTTATTTTATATGGACTTTTTAAAAAAGCAAGTAAGAATGTGACATCATGGCAGCCATTTTGGAATTGGGACACCATATTAAAGATTGATGTCTGTCAATCCATTGTCCAAGAAACATGCCTACCAAGATTCATGTCAATCGTACCTGAACTGGCAAAGCCATATGCTTTTTCAAAAAACGTAGTTCCCTAGATCAACAAATGAAATGAAATGAAATGGGGTTTAACGTCCTACTGTTCTGCTCCGAACTGGGCTAATGAACCTAGATCAACAAGGTTCATAAGAGTCCTATTTATTATACACAAGGATTTGACCCTAATGTCAGTGGGAGCCACACCCATACCCAACATTTTACTGAAAACTGTATTGTAATGGTGTTTACTGACAAGTGTTCAAAACAAAATATCAGAAACAATTTGAAAGAAAGGTATCACACAAAATGTGGAGATATAATAAGTACTATTTCCTTTAAGAACAGCAGTTTTTCTTTTTAAAGTCCAAGAACAAACCAACCTAGTAAACACACTTACCTTATTTCACCATACATACAATATGTGCTGGATGTTTTTACTTAACGTCTTGTTATGGTTTGTGATTTCATGAATAAATATATTTTGAGAAGATATATTTTCCCTTGTCAATATCCCTTTGAAGTCATAAATAGATGTACATATATATATCATGCATGTTTATCAAAAAAAATATGATATTTTCCAATATACATATAGCCCTGTTCATTAATCCTTTTACTCCATTTGACTGGAATTAAAGGTCCAATAATGTCATCTTGACAAAACAAGGTCATTTAGGGACTAACATATGGTACAATTTTAAATAATTTGCTTGTGTATAGGGGTCTTTAGCAGTGGGAGGAAACGAGGAAACATAAGGACACACAGAAAACCAATGAGATTGGGTCGGTGGCCCTAATACATGTCACGTACAAGCATAGAATCAAAATCACATCATTTAACTCAACGACAGACCTAATGATCTAAAGTGCAAGCTTAAGATCACTCGATAACCCACCTCCCCATCCCCATATACTTTCACAACATACACATTAACATGTAGGCTTCGAAAAGGCATACCAGTCGAAATATGATTCAAATCAATCGATCATAATGTAACTCCTAAGTAATAATTGTTTAATAATTTAAAAAAGTACTATTGGTTGCTCTTCTCAAATACTTACAGTTTAAAAAATAACATTATTCACAAGACTTGATTGACTACATATTCATCAAGAACCAAAGAAATAAGATTTAAATTGTTTTGGCCGTAACTAAAACTTTTCAGTCCACATTTTTGTAAAATACAAACAAGGATCGTGCATCTGGCCTTCTGTTGGATTGTTTTATTAAAATTATTGCCAGCTTGTTTTCCCAAAAAAGATTATCTACTATATTCATTGTTAACTGGAAAAATTAAATCTTTATGCCAAATGGAATCTGTTAGTAGTCTCAACAACCAGGCCTCTAACTCAAATCTTTATGCCAAATGAAGAAATCCTTATGAACAGGGTTACTGAAGAGTGCGGATATTGCATAATGTAAGGTGGTATAACATACAACAGCATCCATGTTTCAAAAAAAATCTCAAAGTTTGTGAACATGTTGGATTGAAAATAAATATTTCTACGTTAGTAATCTGGACCTCCTCTTTTCATTTCAATTAATTATATCTTTAAATTAATTGAGAGTATGAAAAGAAATCACCACATCAATTGTGATATTTATAAAATTGGATCCAAAGAGAGAGACAGACGTGCTGTTTAACATGCATCGCTGTTGTAGAGATTAGATGTACTAAAATCATACAAAATGTCTAATAATAACTACAAGTCACATTTTCTCACCAAACCAAATTCGCTTTTCATTTATTTTGTATGTTGATCAAAGTGTTAAACAGGAGTAAATACTCAATGGTTCTGTATGTCATCATTTCGAAGGAGTTAATTTACTTTGACAATCGTCACTGATTTGTATAAAATAAATTTTCATTTTGAAGAGATGTTCTGAGTGATACACATGGCAGCTGCCTTTAAAATCCCAAATCGACGAGGACAGATTTGATAATGCAATTCAATTATGCTAAATTGCTAAGCGTCGTGAGGCAGCAGAAAACTTGGGGTACTTTTTATAAAATATATTGATTTTCATCATGAGACAATAACTTATTTGGCCAACGGCCAATAATGCACAGAATGTTGAGTTCCAATATGATGTTATCAGGGTAGTTATATATATCATACACATAATAGTGCCAAGTAAACGAGACGCAGCTGTACTATTTTATTTTCAAAGAAAAAATATGACAGCCTTCATATTCCACAAATGAGACATGACATTTATATCATAATAATAGAAATAACACCAAATAAATATTATTATATAACGGTTATATAAAAAATATTCTGGTTCTCAGACTTTTTCGTGTCGCATTTCGTGGTAAAGGGAAGTATCTCTTAAATGTACATTATAAATGAATGAAATGAAATGGGGTTTAACGTCCTACTGTTCTGCTCCGAACTGGGCTAATGAAGACGGGCATACAGTGTGCTATGAGGGAAATTTTGCCGGGACAGCAGCACAACGGCCTACTCTTATATCGAATTTGCTTAATTTTTTATAAATCTTTGGATTGCATATTTAAGTAGACGATAATCATAATCCTATGAACAACTAATGAGAAAGAAATGACTGAAATGATACCTCAAGGGGCAGACGGATAGAAGGAGTTGTATTAATTATAGAAATACAAAATCAGTGCTGAAATCTGCAAGACCGAGTTGACAATTTCTTGCTACTTATAACTTGTATAAACTTAGTTAAAACCTAGCGATGGAAATGAAATAAAATCTGGTTTAACCCAAATTAACTCTCTACTTTTCTGAACCAACTGGGCTAATGAAGACAGGATTTACTGACGGCAAAACAGCATTAAAAATTATTTAAGCAAATTTTTAGATGAATGTTTGAAAGAATAAGAAATTATTTAGTCACCACAATGATCCTTGGAGAAATAAAATAAAAAACTCCCGAATTATTGGCAGGACACATCTGAGAACCAGAATAGCTAGTAATTAGATATTTGTTTTAAAAAGAAGTTTTCATACAAAATAAACCCAAAACGAATTTGGTGAGAACTATGTATATAATAAGATATTTTTAAATAATAATAAAACTTTAAATCTGGATTTACGTTTTAAATCTTAATTATATATATATATATATATATATATATATATATATATATTTATTTTAATATATTACATCATGGCAAATTTTTTTTATAAAAACAAAGAAAAATACACAAAAATAACAACTTGGACTTGATTTAATGATTTTCAACTGACGCTATTTTAGATCCACTGTTTCACAGTATTCTCGTAAGTGTGGTGCAGAGCCCCCTACATTCTGTTGTGAACAACGTGTAACCAGATCGCTGTATTTACGGCCGTTAAGAAAACACACTAATACTACAGTCATATTATCACAACCCAACCCCCCCATCTGACAATCTGGAGCTAAACAACGCATCATTAATTCTTCGCATATCTAGAAAGAAAGAGAAAGGAATGGGTTTGTTAAAGTCTCACAGCCTTGGTATTAAAACTATTTTGTTTGAACACATCCAAAATCATTAAAGAGATTCCAATCTTCATGAAGACTTAGAAAAATTCTCTGTAATATATTTACATGTTGGTCTTTGCTGTGACTATACGCCCCCCCCCACCCTTCCCCCTCAAGGTTTGTGACAGTCAAGGTTCTTGAAACATGTTTTGGTACATTGACATTGTAATGATGGTAGATCATTAAAGCTTCTATTTTACTTAATGCTTAAAGGGCTAATCCCGATAATTTTTTGGAGATTAAAACTGTTTAATTTTGTTTTAAAATCCCTTAAGTCCTCTTCCTAAGGGCCGAGCAACTAACTCAATATTTGTGATAAGTTTTCAAATAACTGAAACCCGTCAGTCTTCATCTGTTAATGGAGACCAGTGTCCCAAGCTGTATTATGCGGTGTCTGGATAAAACCAGACATTTTTTGTATAAAAATAATGTGTAGGTGACATTTGCCATTCGTTTTCAAGTACAGCATTTGGTTCATTCACCGTATAGACCTCTAAAGGAACGGCAATCGATTATCAGGTCTCCCAGTGAAAAAATTGACCCAAAATCTTAAAAGGGTTACGTGTCCGGATAAGCAGTTTTGACGGTCACGTCCAAACGACTCAAAATTTTGAGCTGAAATTTTGAGATAAGGTCAATACACCATTCCTCTATATTTTGGCGTTTAAATTTCATACATACTCAGACTTTTATTTTTGAGACTCTGTTCAAATAAGGGACAGTCCCTTTAAACATTAACAGCCCAAACTTGTCTCAAATTTAAATATCACAATAAAAAAAACCTTTTGTGTATCACTGCTCCATTCATTACAAAGAGGGAGGGAGGATAGAACAAAAACAACTTTAAAATACTCACTACATCCGGTTCCATGCCCTGAGCAATTCTAGCTCGAACAAAGTCTACAACTTCTTGATTTGTTAAAACATCCCAAATACCATCACAAGCTATTACCACAAACTCATAATCTTCTGTTACATTCTTCTCTACCACATCTGGATACGCTAAAAATATAATACATTTTACTCATTAGATCTCCCAAAACTAGAGTTAGATCTCCCCAAATTAGAGTTAGATCTTCAAATACTAGAGTTAAATCTCCCAAAACTAGAGTTAGATCTCCCAAAACTAGAGTTAGATCTTCCAAAACTGGAGTTAGATCTCCCAAAACTAGACCTCCCAAAACTGGAGTTAGATCTCCCAAAACTAGAGTTAGATCTCCCAAAACTAGAGTTAGATCTCCCAAAACTAGATTTCCCAAAACTAGAGTTAGATCTCCCAAAACTAGATCTCCCAAAACTAGAGTTAGATCTCCCAAAACTAGAGTTAGATCTCCCAAAACTAGATCTTCCAAAACTAGAGTTAGATCTCCCAAAACTAGAGTTAGATCTCCAAATACTAGAGTTAGATCTTTCAAAACTATATTTACATCTTCCAAAAATAAATCTCCCAAAACTAGAGTTAGATCTCCCAAAACTAAATCTCCCAAAACTAGAGTTAGATCCTTCAAAACTAGAGTTAGATCTCCCAAAACTAGAGTTAGATCTTTCAAAACTATATTTACATCTTCCAAAACTAGAGTTAGATCACAGATTTACATTGTTATCTGTCTTCAAACAAGTTGAAATGGGCTCTATCCACCCTTCATCGGTTTGGATTTTGCTTCCGGACATCTCTCATCAGCAGATTTTCATGTATCTAGTTGCATTTTGTTTATTCTGAGTCAAACATCTGTTACATATTTTCTAAATAAAAACACTTAAAGATATTTTTCCAACATGCCGCAACGATATAAATATCTTGAGCTACAATCAATCATGAAAAAGTCATTCTTGTCTTAACTAGCTGATTTTTCTTGTGAGCTATGACCCATTATCATTGAATATGAAATCTATAAATTAGCCAGCAGCCATCCCAGATTTCTCTCCGTAATCATTGAGTTTTGGATTTAGATTTAATGATTCAAATAATTTTCCAGAATAAGTATTACTTACCTGTGACTATCTGTTCTTCAGCTCGTTTTTGAGCGTTTTTCTTAAAAACAAAATCACCTAATGCTCTAGATAAAGCTAAATTACCTGCAAAAATAAAAACATTATAAAAATTAAAAAATAAAATCACCTAATGTTCTAGATAAAGCTAAATTACCTGCAAAAATACAAACATTATAGAAATTAAAAACAAAATCACCTAATCACAATTTTTGTTTAGTGCTTTGTAAGTAAAAAGAATATTATTTCAAGTTGCATTTTAAGACAAAAATTATGGATTTTCAGAAACAGGCTACAAACTTACCATTAACTCTGTTAAATTCTACCCAGCCACCAGCTGATATTATACGCCTAGATTCCCCTTCATTACTAGGTTTATGATCAAAAGATAACTGTTCTACACGTCCACCAACACTAGCTACAGCACGTGAATCACCTACATTACCCTGCAATACAAACATTGCCCTGTATTAAAACACAATATCCACACAAATAATATTGTATTAAAACTCAATATCCACACAAATATTGTATTAAAACTCAATATCCAGATAAATATTATATTAAAACTCAATATCCACACAAAAATTATCTACAGCTTATTGTTACAACAGGACATGGAGCAATTTCTAATTGATCTCGATGTCTTTAAACTGAACCATCCATTAACCCAATCAACTCGTTCATTTTATGATTGTTTACTTTATATTGACCCAATCAACTCTATTTATAGTGCTCTAAAAACTTAGGTGGTGTTTGGATCTTCTCAAATAACCATCTATAAATACTACTTTGGGCCAACACCAGGATTGCCATACGCAAGGAAAACTCTAATGGAATGCTTACAACTTTTAAACTTTGAAGTCTTGAACTTTTAGTTAATTTTTAACAACATGGAACTTATTGGACGAACCCTTTTAATATGTAAATAATCTACGGGTCCAGCTATGTGGTTTTTACTGTGAGCACTTCGCTTTTCCACATAAAGCCAGCGGATTCTTTTTCCCCATGGGTTTTTTATTCAATCCGCCCTGACGACGCCAAACATCAGTCAGTTGGACCTCCTGTTTTAACTTTATTATGACAAAGGGAGGAGATGACCCGCCCTCTCTTCTCATGACAGCAAATTTATAAGTGTGCTTTAAGAAACTTTGGAATCCGAGGACCCCCTTTTTTTTTATTTTGTGTTTTTACCAATTTTCAAGTGTAAATAATTTAATTAAATCAACCTGTCCATAATATCATATTCATTGTATTGGACGTTAAATCTGTAATAAACAACAACAACAACACCAGGATTGAACCCTACTGGTTACTGAGCATGCACCTTGCTTACTTAGCCACAGTGCCTCCTTCAAATAGAGAACAATTTTTGTCGTTCTGTATTATAAATACTACTCTCTCTGGACCAACACAAGGATCGAACCAGAAAGCTCCTGTTTAGTGAGCATGCGCCTTACACACTGTGCCAACACCAGGATCGAACCAGGAAGCTCCTGTTTAGTGAGCATGCGCCTTACACACTGTGCCAACACCAGGATTGAACCAGGAAGCTCCTGTTTAGTGAGCATGTGCCTTACACACTGTGCCAACACCAGGATCGAACCAGTAAGCTCCTGTTTAGTGAGCATGCGCCCTACACACTGTGCCAACACCAGGATCGAACCAGGAAGCTCCTGTTTAGTGAGCATGCGCCTTACACACTGTGCCAACACCAGGATCGAACCAGGAAGCTCCTGTTTAGTGAGCATGCGCCTTACACACTCTGAGCCTGCTTTGCTCCTTCAAATAGAGAACAACTCTTTTGTTAGGTATTACACAAATGAGGTCTATATAAGTAACTTACACAATATAATTTTCTATTTTTAAGTAAAACTATAACGGCTGTTGTACCCGCTAATTCATCTTTCATTGCATCATCTGAATCAAACAAAAAACAAAAATTATACAAATTCTGTCATTAAACACAAACATAGTTCAATAAGATTAGGCTAACAATAGACACGCTAAATATAAACAATTTTATTTCAATAATTCCCCTGTGTGTAGGGGTCTTAAGCCGTGCGAGGAAACCACAGGACCTGGAGAAAACCCACAGAGTTGAGCAGACGACCTTACTCCTTGTCGCGTACAAGATCACGATCGCAACCACACCACTTGTCTCAATGGCAGATCTTATGACCTAAAGAGCACATGTTAGAAAAGAAAAAATTTTAATGTCAGTTAAACTGATTATAATGAAGGTCAATATTTTGAAGTCCTTGGCATGACTTTGTATCAAGACAGTAATAGCTAGAACAAGGGAAATAACTCTTGTAATATGACAAAGGCCTAAAGAAGGAAGTTTTAATGCATTGTCAACATAATCTTTCTGTAATTCTTCAACCTAAATATAGTAATGGTTATAGTTGTTGAGCAAGTAGTTTGTGTTTTGTCAAGGCACTAAAATCGACACTTTCCTGGAAGTTCTCAGATTTGGACCCAATGTGAATATTTATTATCAAAAATGCTGTGTCATAAACTGTAATTGGGGAGAAGTATAACAGGTATGAAAATAAATATTGTGTGGATAATCGGGGCTGTTGTTAAAATTGTCATAGAGTTAGTAAAGTTACATGTACCTCAATTAACCAAACACTGTGTGGATGCAAATCTCTAGCGAGAATAAGCTTCAATCTACTGAGAATCTATCAAATGTCATGTTGTGACATGCTATAACTTGGGGAATTAACAGGTCCCAAAATTAGCTCTTGTCATCATGGTAAATTAAAAATTGAAACACAGCTGTATGTACCTGTATAAGACAGGTATCAAGATATTTTTACCTTTTAGCATATCTTCATCAACTGTTAGAAATCCCTGTTTAATGGCTTCACTAATATTACCTTGTGCTAAAATATACAACATTTCAATAAAATGAAATGGAACATGCTTTAACCAGTCCTTCATGTTTATAAAGTTGTGCGGGAGCCATAAAAAACTCCTGATACCTTGAATATAATATGCAGTTTAAAAGTAAACAAAAACTGAAAGTAGTTTATTAATCTCAATATTTAGGAGAGCGATTTAGCTAATTTGCAGGAGTCTTTAATGACTCCTTCGAAGGAAAGCCGACGTGCGTCGAGAGGAGCAGGAGCAAAAGCTCCCCTTAAACGTGAAGGGCTGCTTTAACATCCTATTTGTCAGCTCCTACATGTATAGGGCTATTAAGGACAGAAATAGAGAAAGAGAGAAATGGGGTTTAAGGTCCACTCGACACAAACCCGGTCATTTCGGGACCAACACATGGTACAGTTTTATTTCAATAATTCACTTGCACGTAGGGGTCTTTAGCAGTGGAAGGAAACCAGGGGACCCGGAGAAAACCCACGAGGTTGGACAGGTGACCCTACTCCTTGTCACATACAACCGGGGAATCGAAACTACGCCAGTTGATTCAATGACAGACCTTATGATACAGCGCGCACGTGCTAACCATTCGGCAATCCAACCTCCAGGACAGAAATACACCATGCATTCAGGGCTTGCCACAAGCAAATTGGCGGCGAGTAGATGAATATAGACTTGCGCGAGTGAGGCGAGTACATGTATTTACTCACGCAGAATGATGTGCGTGAGTAGCCATTTAAATTTCATGTGCCTAATGGCAATGCTCTTGTCACTTCGGTGGAAGCGGACGTTGAATAAAGCTATTTCACACACAATGACAATGCATACTCTTTTATTTCCTTGGCAAAAAAAAATATCTGTAAATCGTCTTCCCATGACAAGAACGTTGCAAGAGAAACTGGGCTTCCCTTTGCCATCGTTGGCGTGCTGAGGGGATTCGGGTAAAGCTTAGAAAGGTAAAAGAACAGGCAAAACAATTTCAATCCCATCAATTTGCAGAAAAGATGCGGGATCGAAAGAATTGCTATTAATAGAAACGACAACATCCGCTCAATGTTTGATTATCCAGACACGGCAAAGGACATCCGCTTAAAAACCGCCTGGCAGTACGCGTCTCAAAGTATTTTTAGTAACAACAGTTGGCACTGGAAAGACACGCCGCGTGCGCAATAGTGCATCGATATGAAGGCATACAAATTGTTTACGGCTTTTTATATTACGATATTCAATTATTTCTGATTAAATTATTTTTTATATTTGCGCGAGTACTTAATCACTCAATAAATTTAGTTTTACGCGAGCGTAGCGTGCGCGCGAGTAATTACTCGCGTCTCGTGGCAAGCCCTGATGCATTGCAATACAAGGTAAATTATTCCTGTACAGCAGCACACCAGTCTACTCTTACTTCGAATTCCAACAGTCAAGGATGCTTTTACATGTACGCCAATGTGTACACAGGACCATCCAAACAACTAGACATGTGTTGCCAGGCAACAAAACATGGGCATGCCAGAAGCTACATGTTGTTTAAACTCATAAAAATTTCAGATCATAAATTAAGCCTCTAAGGTGTAAACGTTTTGTGTGGGGAAAAAAAAAAAAAAAAAAAAAAGCAGGAAGAATAACTTTGGACGTTATCAAAAATCACTGAAAATCAACAGGATCCTTCCTATCAATGAGCTACATGTACACACAACCCATAATAATGGGTGTATAAATTCTTCAAAGTCTTCGTCAATCAGTTACGACAGATTACTTCCTGTGATATAATAAGCATTTATAAAATCTTAAATGACAATATTGGCGTCAGTCATTATCACATATGTGATAGAACTGGTTAAACACATTTCAAATATAATTTTAACACAGAGATCATTGTTACAATAGATGCGTAAGTGATGAAAGCAAAAGGAAAACATGAGTTATCCTTCTATATAACTCACTGAAGTGACGAGTGATAACAGATACACAGGCGAATTTCTGCCAACTAATAATTCCTTCGAAGTAAAAAAAGTTGTTATGTGAGACTGTGAGAGGATATCTAACAATTCAAAAAGTCATTAAATGTCATTAGATAAGAGAAAACTAGAAATAGTTTGTGCATTCCCTTGTTTTTATTCATTCTATATTTAATAAAAACATGGTAATGCACAGACTTTTTCTATCTTTCTTGTTTTCTCTTATCTAGTGACAGTCAATTATTTGTTTGAATTGTCAGATATCCTCCCACAGTCACATATAACAACTTTTGGTCTTTGAAGAAATTATTAGTGAACAGAAATGCACCTGTGTATCTGTTATCATCCGTCACTTCAGTCAGTTATATAGAAGGATAACTCAGGTTTTCCTTTTTGCTTTCATCACTTACGCATGTATTGTAGCAATGATCTTTGTGTTAAAATAATATTTGAAATGTGTTTAACCAGTTCTATCACATATTGACTGACACCCATAATGTCCTTTAACAATAACATACGAATTGAACTGCATATAAAAAATCTCTAATATAATAATGAGGACAACAGTATGTGTGTCGAAAATTCAAGAGTGTAACTGATAACCTACCATATTGTGTGTGTAATACTATTTTCTTGTGTAGATTATTACCAGCATACTGGGCTATTTTACCACCTTCAAATATAAAATGTTTAAACATTAATTCTAGTGAAAGTGAATGGATACATGTATCATCTACAATAACCTTTGAATGAATCTTTGTTACAGAGCTTAAAATGGCTGTTGTTGGCAGTGTTGATTTACAGAGACAGGAGACATTTTTATCAGGTCATTAATGACCTCATACACTGGACACATTGTATGAATACAATTAGCCTACTGTTCATTACTGGGTGGCGTTTCAAATAGGCTTCACTCGTCTTTATCAAATGAAATGAAATGGGGTTTAACGTCCAACTGTTCTGCTCCGACTGGGCTAATGAAGATGGGCATATGCCATACAGTGTGCTACGAGGGAAAATCTGCCTTGGCAGAGGCACTATGGCCTACTCTTATATCGAATTCCAACTGCCAAGGGATCTTTTGTGTTCACGACATTGTGTACACGGGACCTTGTCTTTATCAAGCAATACACACATACATGTAAAACAATACATCCTTCTCAAATGTACCATTAAGTAACTTTTAAATTTTAAGAAACACAGCCTTTCATAAATCCTGGACGTGTGTATTAAAGGAGCTAAATCTTTAATCTTTCGCATCTAGAAATGGACACAAATGGGTCGCACCACATATAATAATGTACATGTAATATGAATGTATATAAACTGATTTACATTCAACCGTTTCTGTTCTTAATCTAATTTCTAATCAACTATGTTCGGCATCTGGTTATTCCAGTCTACATCGTTACAATTCTCCCCTGGAATATGTTTAGCCTCATTCATGGAATCGCGTTATTACAAAGGGCGCTCAAAAGCATTCTAGACTTGAACGCGATTTGTGTGCCAATTTTAAAATGTTCACTGTGTCTTAAATATTGGATATCAGGAGCCAAACTTTTCACAGTAAGGTAACAACATTAGTGTAGATTTAAATTGACCAATAAGTTGTATTTGCAATGTCGAAGACTGTGGATAATATTGGGTTAAAGACTTAGCTACTTTAATAATAACAATATTGGATATGACTCAAAATAGAAATCAGGAAAGAGAAATAATTCCAATTGAGTTCTTACCTCCATGCCCATCAAAAACACCAAAAAAACAGGATTCTTTATCCCCCGGTAATGATAAAAGATGTATGTGGGCATCTTCCATATCTAATGATCGTAAAAGATAAATAATTTGTTTTCACACAAAATCTTGTGTTAAATCATAATTCATACATGTATTCATACACCCACATATATGTATTCATACACCCACATATATGTATTCATACATCCACATACATGTACGAATAGGAAATTAAATAGAGTAAAAAAACTGATAACTGTAGCCTACTTAATGCAAAGAAAGCAGAAATCAAAAATAAATAAAATATGACTTTTATTAACAAAAGTATGAGTATGAATTAAAGTCCACTCTTGTCTAAGCTCATCATTCTTCAGATTTTAAAGTTACATTAGTGTTTTAGAGACTTTCTCCAGTTTCTACATAAATAATTTTCAATTTGACATGATACCTGAGTCCTATATTTACATGTACATGTACATGAGGCCACCATGGTGTTCAAATTAGATTGTACATGTACATGTATGCACAATTTTAGACGGATCAGTTAATACATCTAAATACATGTACATGTAATGGTCATTTCTAGTTCGGCAGCGCTTGGATTATTAATAAAATTAATAATGTCAGTCTAGGGTTTATTTTCTTTTAGAAAGTTATAATGCATTTTCGAAGGGATTGAAGTTATGGAGAGGGGTCTTACATAGGCTAAGTCTGTTCCCCAAGCCCATTCATTATCTGGAATAAAAATATTGTTTTTAAAAAAAATTGAACGAATTTATTGTTGTACAATTTAAGTGATATGCCCCAGAGTGTTTGTGGATATCATCGGTCTTGATACAGCTTTTTTTAACAAGGATACTTATTCGCCATCCCTGCATACAAGATGATCCAACTTTTACAAAATTATTTTCACATTTTGACGTCTCCTTTGTCGTAACCGGCTCAGATAATGTTTGTCCCATACCTAAAAAACAAAACATAAGATGTGATATACCACATTTATAAACATTGTGCTGTGTTTATACCATTAACTAGAAATGTTTTTCTCAGCTTTTATTGTTCAATTCCATTCCAATCTGAATAAAATACAGGTCTATATTTCGTTTTTTTATACGTTCGATGGCCTACACTACATGAAGATCTGACAAGTTATAGTGGGAGTTCACGTCAGGGGTCAAACGAGCGGCTTTTGACCCTATATAGCGTTGACGTTTCTAGTGGTTTACCCACAGTTCCATGCATAAAAAGGCCAAGAACTCGTCATAACTCGTTTCATTGGCTAGTTCCTCACATCAAGTAAAACGCCTGTTATATAACAACTCTTCCAGATCCTGGTGTAGTAAAGACAAGTAAAACGAAATTTTGAACTATAAAAACGAAATAGGATCTGTGTTTTAATCAGATTAATTTCATTCATTTCAGGACAATATTTTAAATGTCCAAGCAGGTATAAAATTATACAATAATTATGATTAATAAAAGCAAAATGCAAGGTCTCCATTTTAGTCATTTTAATTAAGTATAATTGGAATATACCACACTCTGATAAGTTATAACTCTGGTCCAGGGCTGTCGGTAATTTTTCACAGTTGATTAGCAGTAGTGTTAATCAAAAAGTCTAATTTTGCCAAATTTGATTAGCAAATTTAAAAATAGATTAGCAAATTTAAAAATTAATTAGCAAATTTAAAAATTAATTAGCAAATTTAAAAATTGATTAGCAGTTCTTCAGTTTCAACATACAACAACTAAATAACAAGATATTACTTTAATTCATAACAAATGATGAAATTTCATTCTTAGATGTTTTAGCACTGCTACGTACATGTAGCTGTGACAGTTTGTGAATGTGATGTAGACTTTTAGTTAGGTCTTATGTCTGAAGCCAATTCTTGGCAGTGGCTTTCGAAGCCTCACTCATTTTAATTGTCATTTCTTCGTCAGTAAACAATTTCGTCTGCTTGTTATTGTGTGTTACTATTTTTGTTAAGTCGGACACACAAGGAAATTAACGAATAAACTTGATTAACTAGACACAAACAATATAAACAATAATATTTTACGGGAATTCTTACTTTGATTTCCCATTTTACAATACGTTTACATGTATTTATTTTTTATATGGTATTTACAATACGTGGGGAATACACTGGATTTATTTTTTTTCAAATTGAATACCGATATAATTACTTGAAATTGACCTGTCTCGCAACATGAGTGGTAGTTCTTGATTCCCTTTTTCCAGTTTAATAGTCCCTATTCTTAGAGTTATGTCCCTGTATTATATAGTATAATGAATTGTGTCTAGGTAGTTTGAGATGAAAATGTCAGACGGAGAATTCAGTTTTGTTTATAAAATTTGATTTGACATTTTATACATGTTGAAAGTGTTGAGAAAGCCTTCTAGTCTTCAAAATGTGGATAAATTTTCATGTCAATATCCAAAATGACAAGCATATTAATAATTCACAGACTGTAAATCAAAAAAGTTAGATTTTAATTTTTGATTAGCAACAGACAAAATATGTATCGCAAATTGCGCTGTGATACTGGTTGTCGGCAGCCCTGCTCTGGTCAGTTGATTCTGTTGGTATTACAGCATTATTTATAAGTTAACATTGGTAAATTATTAAAGATCCATTATGTAAAAGCTAAATCTGTCTATTGCAGGTCTTTCTTTTGGCCTCAAATGTTATATAAATTATTAATTAGACATTTATTCACAGACAAGCCCATAATCAACTCTCTAAAACATTGGATGGTTGTGATTTTGAACTGATTGCAACACGATCGCTGTTTAAAGATGCATTATGTAAGATTTAAATAAAGAGCTGGCCATTCTTGCTATAATAATAATAGTTCAAAAATAGATAATGAAAATTAATATATTGAAATTTTAATTCAAATTACTTTTTTTCTGAACAAAGTTATGAGTGTTTGAAGATACAACATAGATTTTTCATTATCGTAGCAACGGTACTTGACAACTGAGACTTAGCCTAAATTGCCCATTTTATCGTTAAATCTTAAAATCTCGCAGATGTTTCAATCCATTTTAATCATGGCCATCTGAAATTCTAAAGAAATGATTATATTATAGGTTTGTCATGTTAATAAATGTCTAAATAATAATATACATGTATATAACATTTAAAGCCAAACGAAAGATCTGCAATAAGCAGATTTAACTCTTACATAATGCATCTTTAATAATGAATTTCAGAGAGAGAAACAGAGAGAAATGGAGTTACTGTCCACTCAACACAAATTAGGTCATTTCGGGACTAACACATTGTTCAATTTTATTTCAATAATTCACTTGCGCGTAGGGGTCTTTAGCAGTGGGAGGAAACCGGAGGACCCGGAGAAAACCCACGAGGTTGGACAGGCGACCCTACTCCTTGTCACGTACAACCGGGGAATCGAAACCCCGCCAGTTGACTCAATGACAGACCGTTTGATACAGCGCAGCATGCACTAATGAATTTCAAAATGGATAAGACTTTGTTTATCATTGTAACAATGGCAGCAATGAAAATCATTCATAATTTCGCTCAGAGTGAAGTAATTTCACTAACAAAATTTTCAATATATTCCTTTTTTATTATATATTTTTAAACTATTATAGAGAGAACTGTCACCTCTTTCTCTACATGTAAATCTTACATAATGCATCTCTAGGTTGTAAAAAAAGCGAGAGCTAAATTTGTCTATTGCCGTGCTTTTTTTCTGGTTTTAAAAGTTGTATATAAATTATTATTTAGACAATTATTTAAATAACATGCCCATTATAAAATCAACTCTCTAGATCATCAGATGGCTTGGATGTTGAGTGGAATAGACAATGCTGATAAAGACCAGACAACCAGACATGCAATTATACATAACATTCTACGGCTCATATGTATATTTGGGTTAAAAATATAAATACAAATTTAATTGCATCGGCTGGCATACATGTACATGTATGTACCTGTACATTGATTGACATACATTTATCGGTAAATTTCCTAGACTACATGTATATATAGTAATTTTATGTTCATGAATATTGTCGCTAGAAATACAATGTACATATGTCGTACATGTATGACAAACTGATCAAACTACTAAATAAAATAAAAATGTTTGTGAGCTAAAACTGTTAATCATCTAATTACATCATAGCAACTTGAATCTATTTTAAGAGTATTATAACAAACAGATAATTAAAGTATTAATAGTATCAGCTCTAGATCTCCTTCACACCTGACTGAATTCTATCATATCCATTTAGAGGTAAAGGTAAATTATAGTAACAGAGAGAGAGAGAGAGATACAATTTTATTTCAATAATTTGATAGTGGGTAGGGTGTTTAACAGTGGAGGAAAGCCTGTGAAACCAATGACTTTAAGCAGGCGACCCTACTCCTGAGTCCTTGTCACATATTCAAAATTTCATTTAAATTACATTATTCGGAGCGAAGTTACATGTATCAATAGTTTTGACAAGATGTGTGCATTGATCGGTACCACTATACTGTTCATTTCAGTCTTAGACTCGCTTCTCCATTTTTAAATCAAACCAATAAATGACCAAACCGTTCTAATCTACTTAAAATTAAAGCCATCCGATGGCATCACGAGTTGATTTTGGTCTTGTCATGTAAAATGGTTAGACGACTCAACCACTGAACAGCCCTCACAGTATAACAGTAGGCCTAGGTAGTTTCCTTTCACTACAATGTCGAGTGTTCAAAAGATGTTGATGACAAATGAGAAACGTTTTATTTAGGTAAAACTGAAGCCCTTGCATTTCATGTTTTAAACACATTTAGTTCACTAATGTGTGTAACTTGTCAGATATGAGACAATAATACCCAGCCTCCAGTACATGTACATATATGTCAATAAAAAATTCACGAAACTGCAGATCAGGCAGTGTTTTTATATTTGTGTTCAAGAATCGTTCGTTATTGCGTGTTTATCTACCTTAATCCTTCCCACTATCAAAATTTCATATTTTGTTTGGCCTTTATTATGTCTCAACTAGCCAATTCGATAGCATCTGAGACACTTCTTCGGCTTTTGACTATTAACTTGAAACAAACCAGGATGCCTCCCTCAGTGCAGTTACAACATGTAACATAAGACTAAGAAGAGCTTCCTGCTAGCTGGTATCATAACATTCTTGGCATTTAGGAAATTAAATAAATAACAATGTCAGGCACCATTTTAAAGAAACATTTGTTCGGTTTCAGCCAGAATGATTCACATCAATTAGCTATTGCCAGAAAGAACCAATTAGTTTCTTTTCACTACAGTTTCCAGTGTTCAATCAATTGCTCCAATCAGTGTTCTATAATGATAGGTTATGTTCATGTTGGTTATATTGACTGGTCAAAAACTTGGCAAACATTCTGTTCAATTTTGATCGAAGTAAATCTTGACAGCATGATTTCCCATTAAGTAAAATAATGTAGTTTTAGATTATAGTGCAATTACCTGCGTATGCCGCATATAAAAAGTGATATTAATTAAACAAAATAGTAAAACTTTTATGTTGATTCTCGGCTGCTACACTGCTTCATTCATTTGAACCCTTTCACAACCAAAACAAAATTAAATTTCCACAGAGAAGAAATAGATCCTATGGAAATTCGTTTCTTCTAGTTAATTCAAACCTTTTGGAGAAAATCATTAACTCCGAAAAGTGTAAAATTAATATGGATATACAAATATTGATGATAATTCCTTCCAAAATGACTTAACCTTTGATATAACGTATTAATTTAAACTGCTTCCTTAGTTCAATGACCTTTCACCTTTCTGCGGAACTGTTGTAATTTTATAATCTTTAAAAAGGAAATAACCAATCTGTCACTGAATAGACATTGCTTATGCATTCTATGGTCATTTTTGAATGAAAATTCTTTTCGGTCAACAAAACTATATCATATTAAATTTACTGCATTCTTACAGCAACAGATTTTATTATACTTCCGGTCTCCTTCCAAAGTTCTATTTTTATCTTTGAAAAGCGTTTTTTTTTTTAATTCTGCTTGACCTAGAAAATGTTGAGTGGGCGACCATACCTTGCAGTGGGAGGTTTACTAGGTGGCATTGGAATTGCAGTATACTTTGCAATCATACAGCCTTATATGAACCCTGGGATGTGGCGTCAGTTTTGTTTTTTTGTCTTCACTTGACTTGTATTTTACTTTTTGGTCAAAAGAGAGTTGTCTCCCTTCAATCGTAAAAGATAGAGAGAGATGGGGTTTAACGTCCACAACAAGGTCATTTCGGGACTGACATATGGTTCAGTTTTAGTTAAATAATTCGCTTTTGCGTAGGGGTCTTTAGCAGTGGGATTTAATCGGAGGACCCGGAGAAAACCCACAAGGTTCGACTGGCGACCCTACAGTCCTTGTCAGGTACAACCCAGGAATCAAAACCATGCCAGTTGATTCAATGACAGACATGATACAGTAGCGCGCATATGCTAACCATTCGGCCATCCAGCCCACCATCGTATTAAAGCACACTATTGTTAACTCTTACACATAATATAGCCTGCAATCATGCATATATTTGAATATTTACAAGCGTCTCCTTTACAAACTGTCGAGCCTTTCTAATAATGTCCATGGCCCCCCTCTTTAACCCATGTGTACTAATTGACTGCTTCTACCGCCCGAATTAGGTATTATAAAGAGTGAAGCAATTTTAATACTGGGTGTTAATCAGTCCTTCATGTTTATAAAATTGTGCGGGAGCCATAAAAAGCTCCTGATACCTTGAATATATGCAGTTTAAAAGTAAACAAAAACTGAAAGTAGTTTATTAATCTCAATATTTAGGAGAGCGATTTAGCTAATTTGCAGGAGTCTTTAATGACTCCTTCGAAGGAAAGCGGACGTGCGTCGAGAGGAGCAGGAGCAAAAGCTCCCCTTAAACGTGAAGGACTGCTTTAATATAGTATACAGTTCATCTCACCCCCGGGACATGGGGTTGGATGGCCGAATGGTTAGCACATGCGGGCATTAACATAAGGTCTGTCATTGATTCAACTGGTGTGGTTTTGATTCCCCAGTTGTATGTGACAAGGAGTGGGGTTGCCTGTCCAACCTCATGGGTTTTCTCCGGGTCCTCCAGTTTCCTCCCACTGCTAAAGACCCCTACACCCAAGCGAAATACTGAAATAAAATTTAACCATGTGTTAATCCGGAAATGATCTAGTTTGTGTTGAGTGGAGTTAAACCCTCTCTCTCTCTCTCTCTCTCTCTCTCTCTATATATATATATATATATATATATATATACCCCTGGTATCACAGGAACATGTGTGACCTTTATACCTTAGAGTTCAGTGATTTAGGCATTTTATGGAGTGCTGTAATTTCAACAAATTTCAAAACCGAGCTAATAAACTTAAATGTAAAAAGAACGTCACTTTCTCAAATTGTGAAAACTGCCACGTATCTGACCATCTCAAATTCAGAGAAATAGCAACACAACAAATTTCAGATCAATATAGACCTACATGTAGTGTACTGTAGATTTTGGGCAAAACCCTGTCATATAGTAGGCCTATCTATCTATATTAGTATTACAGGAAGAAATTCTGATATTGATAATGGTCTAGATGGCCATCTGTTTATACAATAATGGTTATGCAAGGATGTGTTGACAGCAGCAGAAATCTTTCTGAAATTCAACTTGAGTAACTTTTCACACATCTGAATAGGAATGATTCGAGAACGGTTCCACAAGAGACAATTTATTGTCCTTCTACTCAGCAGAACCATTATCAATCTACTTGATCAATACTATAGTTTCTCCATTTTCTTGTAAACCATCTTTGTTCATTTTGAGTAAAGCTTGTACCATTAAAGGCCCGGGTCTGTACAGTACAGTGGACGCTTATGGCTGGCCCCCAGAGCCATTCACTTGGATTGATATTTGTTTATTTCTTGCAATGTCTATGTACGCTATTCTATCTTGTCTGCAGGTTTATCTTGTAGATTTTGTTTTGTGTGTAGTGATGTTCTCCTGAACTTACTATTAGGTTGAAATCTTTGTTTAGAATGTTAATTATTTCCATCTATTGGTAATAGTCTATTTCTCCAAAATTATCCATCGATTTGAATTGTGTTTTGCAGAGGAAAAGCAGAAAATAGGAAGAGCAGGAATTGATAGAGAAAAAATACAACCTGGAGGTAGGTTTAAATGATATTAGATTATTTTGATACTGTAATTAAAAATTTCAAATGTATTGTATTTGTATGAACCAGCTGCCACTGGACTCGGTCGACTTAGGGACATACTTTCTGTTCATGCATTTTTACCAGTTTATGTTTAGTAAAACATACAATGATGACTATTGAATGTAACCAATTTCTGGTAATTAATTCTAGAGTTACTTATTAAATTGTCTCAAATAGTTGATGAGACACATAAACCTGCAGAATTTTATAGATTTCCAATAATAACTATCACAGTTTTTGCCCTGCTTGATCACTTTGGAAGACTTTTTGGCAAGGAAAAAGCATCTAGTCATTATAATGGCAATGGGACAGAAAACCAAGGTCCAGTCATGTACTCATTGGCAGTTGGAATTCAAGGAATAGTAAGCTACAACACAAAATTCATGTGGTGTGATGTTTAAAGCATCATTCTCAGTACTTCTCACACGTGTTCAAACTCCTCATCTGTCATGTTAGTGAAGCACCCATGTAAATGCATTTTAATATTGATAAGCATACTATTTACATTGGGATACTTTCAAAAACTTTGCGTAACTTAAACAAACGATTACGTCTTGAGGAAAGTTTTATAACGTTGCTAGCAATAACTAGCCCCGGTTGACACGATGAACAAACCTAATCATTTTTTCAAATACTTCTTAATCTATACCAAGATGGACGCCACCTCCCGATGTAGTCTCTGTGACACCTCTTTTACCAGACGACACAATCTCTACAAACATCTTAAAAATATCCATCATCAAGATAGTAAAAATGAGAAAGCAGAGTATCTTCAAGCATAATTATTGAAGAAGAAGAATAAAACGGATGAGTCTAAGAAAAAGACTTGCTCCAAGAAGAAGATAGTAACTGATCTACCCCCCAGCTGCATTCCGACACCTCCATCTACTTAGGGCCCGCCTTCGACCAACACTTTCAACTATTAACTTAGATCAACTGAACCAGTTTTCTACACCAGAGTTCGATTTACTTAATCAAGATCTAGAAACAGTCACCCCCGCAGTGATTGAAGAAATAACAGAACCATCACCTATCCTGGAAGAAGGAGACCCATATGAAGAAATATGGAAAGAATTAATCAAAGAATTTAACTTATAATCATTTTTTATCTATTTAATCCTAGTCCAGGGATTAAAAAATCTGTTTTAATCTTAACTTTCAAAATCCCAGTATAGGGATTATTTTTTACATTAAAATTTTTTTATAATCCAGGGATTATTTAATCCTATTTAACATTTAAGGCGCATGCGTCAAAATTTGTATATATAACATCTATCTGATTATTTTTATTATTATTGTTAAAACACCAGCTGATGAAGGGCTAATAGCCCAAAACGCGTTCTGGATTAGATTTTTTATTTCCAATACAGTTTTGTCTCGTTTGTTGCTGGGGATACTACTTTATGATTTAAATGCATTTGTTTTAAGTGACTGTGAACCAATTTTACATTTATTAGAAATTGGGTATAAATCGATTTACATTTATTAGAAATTGAGTATAAATCGATTTTTAACAAAATAAACATTATGTAACATTAAATGTGTGTGGCACTGAATTGAATTTTATAATAATGAATAAAAATATGTTGATAAAAAAAATTTGTATTTTACAGGTATGAAGGTTTGGACAGATCCATTTGATAGAACAAAAGACCAAGGGAAATAACTTATGGCGGGTACAGATCTAAACTTATAGATAATAAAATTATTGTTGGATTTGATTTTGGAAATGTGAAATAGTGAAACGAACATTTGTGATATGAAATAATGAATTCAGATTCAAAGTGCTAGTTATATAATGTATTGGATTTGTGAACATCATGATTTCATGTTTTCGTAACGATAAGGGGGATAATTATGTTAAAACTGTACTGGAATATTTTTAATAGAAATTATTAAAATGGCATCATGAGACACTATGGTATAATATGACTTCCAGTACCAACTGTAGTAAGGTGTTATTGTAGACTTCTGAATTATCATAAATTAATCACAAAAGTGAACAGTTTACATGATCAAAACAGGCCTAGAATAACTCTTTTATAGCATGCGTAACAGGCCTAGAATAACTATTTTGTAGCATGAGTAACATGCTTACAATGACTATTTTGTAGCATGCGTAACAGGCCTACAATAACTCTTTGTAGCAAGAGTAACAGGTCTATAATAACTCTTTGTAGCATGATTGACAGGCAAAGAATAACTCTTTTGGGATAGGGATCTGACATAAGCATTTTGCCTGTTCCCCAATTTCCCATTCATTTATAGTAAATCAAATATGTCTTTAAAAAAACCCTCTTTGTAGCATGAGTAACAGGCAAAGAATAACTCTTTGTAGCACGAGTAATAGGCCAATAATAACTCTTTGTGGCACCAGTAACGGTTGAGTATGAAAGAGAATATACATGTATTTTATTTTTTAAAAATGAGTAAAATAATATTAGTGCTGTAAGGGTGTGTGTGGATAGGTATACTTTATCTTTATTAATTTTTTTCAATGAGATTTATTAATTAAACTGGGAATACCCAGGTCACATTTCTATGGAATACAATTACTGTTTATTATTGAGCGACGTCCCATTCTCATCATATTTTATATTGTTTTATTGTTGATAAAGACTAAATAATGCTAGTCGAAACGTTGTTCAGTAATAATCGTATTCCATAAATTTGTGACCTGTGTATTCCATCTTTATTAAAGATGACCACTGTTCTTGATTTAGGGTATATACCTGTCAGGACATGGGACAAGAAGTTTATTAATGTCTCCAAATTGAATAAGATAATGTGGAGAAATAATCTATTTACTAGATCTGAAAGTTTCAGCTTAAAATACTGGGCCATTTGGAAACGAATACTGTGACAGTGTATACGAGTCAAAATCTGGTATCTCTTTTAGAGCTCTCACTTCCAGTTTTTCATAAAGTAATCTGATAAATGTGATCTGATCAATTTAAAACCAACAATATCCTGCAGAACATAACAGTTGACAGTTTGAATTGGAAGTAGAGCAAGTGGAATGTCCGTCATATTACACTGTATGGGTATGTCTGTCTTAATTAGCCTGGATGTTGCTGAAATATAGGATGTTAAACCCCATTTCATTTTATTTTTAAAGGATCAAATTCATTTGTTTTTGTCTGCGATATCACCCTAGGTGGAAGTGAAGGTAAAGCCCTAGGAATGAACGAATAAGGTTTGGTTTTGGTAAGATGTATTGCCTGTATACTTTAAAAAATCAAAATAATACTTTTACGAAACAATCCAGAGGGGTTATATTTAAAAAGAGAGAAAATAGGTCATAGTTTTTCAAATTATCTTGTTCTTATTTGATGGATTATCTTTATACCAATTCAAGAAAATCTTTATCAACATAAAATATCCTGATTATTTGGTATTTTCACAACACTGATAAAATGAAGATTTGTGTGTTATAAAGATTAATTGACTACCCCATTTCTTCTATGTAGCAATTTGCGCTAAAAAATGGGAGCCACAATAGCTCAGTGAGTAAGGCGATGATGTACTAACCGGGAGGTCCGGGATTCAATCCTGGTGTTAGCCGGAAAAGTTCTCTGGAATTTTCTAGCATGGTTTCCCCTTGTCAGTGGTGCAGGGCGTTGACGAAGACCGATTTCCTGTCTACACATTGACAGTTAAAATTCAATTGCTGTTCATGGCAAAGTTTCCTTAGCAGCACACTGTGTGGTGTATGCCCATCTTCATTAGCCCAGTTGGTGCAGAAAAATAGAACGTTAAACCCAATCTCATTGATACAAACATGTACTAAAATGCCTCAAAAATAACCCTAGAAACCGGCATTTTTGCTGGTATTCATCTTTCAAATCCATTATTTGAAAAAAATATGCACAAATGGTCCATATCCACGTAAAGATGCATTATGTAAGATTTAGATAAAGAGCTGGTCATTCTTGCTATAATAGTTTAAATATAGATAACAGATAATGAAAAATGAATATATTGAAAATTCAAATTATATTATTCTAAGCGAGGTTATGGGTGTTGAAAGATGTAGCACAAATTGGTTATTATCGTAGAAACGTTATTGGACAACAGAGATTTAGTCTTGTTTGTCCATTTTATCGTTAAATTTTTAAATCACACAGGCTTCCTAATCCATTTAAATCTCTGCCATCCGATGATCTAGAGAGTCAATTATGGGTCTATCAGGTTAAAAATGTCTAAATATAGTTTATATAACATTTGAAGCCAAAATAAAAACATGCAATAGGCAGATTTAGCTCTTACATAATGCATCATTAACCTATATGAATAATGATAAATGTATATAATGTACAGTCTTTAATCATGTGATATAACTTACTGTATGTATCATTTTAACTTGAATATGCATTTGACAAGGGTGAAAAATGAAATTAAAAATAGTATTTTATTTTGTATTTATTTCTTTGTATATGAAAAGAGATGGTGTTGATATTTCACCATCCTGGACAAAAAGAAGCAATGAGGAACCGGGGTGCAGAAATGGAATTCAGAACGCACAATCATTATACTCATTTTCTTCTTTAAAACGTCAGTAAAATATTAAAAATAGCATTCTACAGTTTATTTTCGTCTCTAACTCAAAGACAGTGGCTCTGCTAACTTATAAGCTTAGATGTTATGAAATGGGCTTTTTGTTCTCAGACTACAACCACCTTTAAGATATCTGGAAAATTAACTTTGACTTTATTTGTCGTGGTATTTGGTATTTTTTTGTTAAAGAGATCGACGCCATCCTCGCCAATTTTCTGCTGGTCGGCTTTTGTGCGTCAAACTTCTTTTCAGCGCAATATAGGCAACAGTTTTTATCGGATTTTTCTGGAACTTTCAGGACACTTGTATTATGAGAAGACGAGCCCCCCCCCCCTCCCCTGTTGCCGAAAATTGGTGTTGTGATCGATGGCCTCTACTGCATGAAAATCCGGTTGTTGTGGAAGGTCGCGTCAGAGGCCATAAGAGCGTCTTTTGACCCCATGACGCCAGACATTTGATTAATCAATCAGTGTTGATGTTTCTAGTGGGTTACCCATAGTTCCGTGCACGTCACGCCAAAACCTCACCGTAACAGACTGTTTCATTGGCTAATCCCTCATATCATTCAGAACGCGGGTTATATAACAACACTTCCAGATCCTAGTGTAGCGAAGTCAAGTAAAACGAAATTTTGAACTATTAAAAACGTAACGAAATAGGATCTGTGTTTTAATTAGATTGAGCAGAATACTATCCTAATAGACAGTATTTTTAAATTGATACATTGACGGACTGGAAGTAAATGGCGATCTTTCAGAATTGGTATCATATGTTAACAGAGAAGTTGATTCGACACAGCTAGTTTGTCAGTCACATCCAAAAGTACCACCATGAAACCATTTCGTTTCGTAAAAACCGACAAGTAATTATCTTTTGACACCCATCATGTTGTCTTTATAAAAAGCGAATTATTGTACAGGTTTACTGTTTGCTTACTCTAATTTATTCTGATCAAAAGGACACAGGGAATATGGCTACAGAGACTGTCTTTGTTATTGTATTATAAAACAAATCCTAAATTGGATCTTAAACTAAAATAAATTACAAAACAAATTATTCCGTAGTCAATTATTTTGTTTAATTAGGGGATTAAAGAATCATTCAGGCGTTAATGAGTACACATTAAGGAATGAACATTCCGAATATTGCATTCGGTCACTGTGACGTCATTGACGTATGGGGGAAGTGTTTTCGATAATTGGCAAAGTCGTTTTTACGGGAGATCTATATTTACGACTTTAAGTGAAGATGGCTGATTTACTTTTAATCATACTGGCATTGTGTGAACTTGCCGTAAAGTGCATATAGTAAACACTGACTACAAGTACATAACATTTAGTCTGGCGTCCTTATGTAAATGAAATTGGGTTAACGTGCTACCTCCAAATGGGCTAATGAAGACGGGGGGTGACCTTATGTGCTCTTTAATACAATCTAATTCCAATATAAATATAAGCGTAATCTATTTCTGAAATGAAATGAAATGAAATGGTGTTTAATGTCATACTGTTCTGCTCCGATCTGGTCTAATGAAGACGAGCATTCGCCATACCGAAATACACCGTGCATTGTAATACAAGGTAAATTATTCTCGTACAGCAGCACACCAGTCTACTCTTAATTCCAACTGTCAAGGGATCCTTCACGTACACGCCAATATGTACACAGGACCTCGGGTTTTTGTACCGTCCGAAATACTAGACAGCTGTCCTTGTCTGGCACTCCTTCCTGCACCACGTAATATATTTCTGGGTAGGGGCTTGGCAGGGGCCCACACTTGTTTTGTTGGAAGTACCATTACAATAAATTATGTTTAATTTTATCGATTATTTACATGTTTTTCTTATGGGTGGTTTTGTAGATAAGGGCATCAGTGCACCGTCTTTTTAAGGCCCCTATACGTCTTAATCTGTCACTGATTGGTCTCGAGAGTTTCTTGAGAATTTTTAATTTTACTTCCCTACTATGTCATATTCGAACATTCATAAGCCAAAAAACCCCACAAGGTTTGATATAACTACTTCTTTGTTAACTTATTGAAGTCACGATTTCAAGTTGATGATAAATGTACATCAAATCGTCCTATTTATACCTAAACACGATTGCAGGGGCGGATTCGGGAATATTTGCAGGAGGGGGTTTGCCATGATCGTGAGACAATTATCTTTTGTGGGGGGGGGGGGGGGGCACAATTATGACTCCAAAGGGAGGGGGAGGGGGTCCTGGATTGTCAGTCATAAAGAGAGGGAGAGAGCGAGATATGGAGTTTAACTCCAATATAATGTATTGTAGATATAAAGAATTGTAAATATAAAAGATTGTAAATATAAAAGATTGTAAATATTGTAATTATACTAGTTTGTAAATATAATTGACTGTAAAATTGTAATATAATAGATTGTAAATATAACATAATTGTAAATATGATAGCTTGTAAATAGAATAGAGTGTAAATATAATAAATTGTAAATATGATAGATTATAATATAATATATTGTAAATATGATCGCATGTAAATAGAATAGATTGTAAATATAATAAATTGTAAATATAATAGATTGTGATATAATATATGGTAAATAGAACAAATTGTAAATATAATATATTATAAATATAAGATATTATAAATGGAAAGATTGCAAATCTGATAGATTGTAAATATGATAGATTGTAAATATGACAGATTGTAATATAATATATTGTAAATGGAATACACCCTAAATATGATAGATTGTAAATATGGTAGATTGTAAATATGGTAGATTGTAAGTATAATTTGGGACAAATCGTTCAATCCATCACTGGCATTTCAATTGTCAAATGTCCACTCTACCTTCCTAGAATATATGAGCATGAGCTATATAAAAATAAACATCAAAAGTTTGGTACTAGCTTGTCATACAGGACATGCATATTTTTTGTTCGTGACAAGCCATACGTTAAACTCAATTTCTATACAATCCGATTTGATGTACTCGCCACTGTCTGTCTGCCTGGCTGCCTGTCTGTCTGTCCAACATTTCGCAGCCACTCTACAGGACAGACGTATTCAGAACAAAAAATGAAAATTTGCTGTGATTGTTCGACTAGTCATGAACTCGTAACTTTTTGAAGTATAGCGTGTTATAGCACAATTAAAGTCGAATTGTCATGACTTCGGTCAAAAATAAAATTGTGCATTTGTTAAATTTTATGTATTAATTTGAGATGACATTAATTTCGAAAACTATCACGCCAAATACTTAAAGAGCGTATGTCTCTATTCATTGGGACCATAAAATCGACGAAAATGGGTCTAAAAGCACATAATTATTAATGTCGTATGAATCTATATAAAGTGTTTTGTATTCAATTTTTTATTATTTCTTATTGTAAATTTTAATCATTTATGTTCTGTGAAATACGCACGAACAGTTCTACATGTATTTTTTTTATTGTTATTTTGTCTTTTGTGAATCAGCCATTACTAATTACGTCTGCATTGTCTTTTGTATGATGTTTTTCTTTGTTCATTACATATGGCGACCGCAACCATGGAATACACACGACTCGTGCACTGATTTTAAAATGTTCATTTTATCTTAAATATTGGATTTTAGGATCCCATTTTTTTAAGGCAAGATAACAACATTAATATTGAATGATATGGATTTTAATTCGTGTTTTTAATTTCGAATTTTATGCGAAAATTGAGATACAGGTTTAGCTTCTTTAATACGGAGTAGGTCTGTTTTATCGCACGTTCACACCTGCAGATACCTTCCAGTTGCTGAAGAAAATAAACCCTAAAACGTCATTCCACGATATAAATCTCATTTACAGATAGATTTGTTCTTTCCATTGCTATTTCTGGTGTACGTAAAATGGCATCAATATGCGCGAAATGTTAAAATATCGTGGTCAATAAAATTATATGATGCGAAAGAAGAACCCCGAGGCGGGGATTCGTTGACGTCTACGTATATTTATCAGTATCAAATATGTATGGTGGCTGTTAGCGGCCATTCAAATGAATCTTAATCGTCGACTTGTCGCCTTCTTCACGACAGGACAAAATGAAGGCGACGATCGTCGGGTTATTTTGTCGTGTCGGCGGTTTGATTTTGTCGACTTGTCGCCTTCGACTTATTCACAACCCGACAAGGCGACAAGTCGACAGTCGACAAAATACAATTATGTCGACTTGTCGTGCGGCGACTTGTCGCCTCGTGTCGACTTGTCGCCTTCTTCATAAGGCGACGATTTAGATGGCCGCTAACAGCCACCATAAATATGTGTAAAATACCAAACAAAAAAAACAAACAGTAACATCATAAGCAGAGTTACATAGAACATGAACAACACAACACAGAGTTATATAGAGCAGTTACACCATAATCAGAGTTAAGTAACAGTTTAAAAATAAACAGCCGGTATACGCAATCAGTATATAAATATCTTTTGATATTATGTTGAATATTACGTAACAATGACAATGGTAACAATATTCTCAAAATATTAAAATATTGTGGCGAAAAATTTTGAAACAAAAGAAGAACCCTCGGGCGAAGATTCATTGACGTCTATGAAACTGTCAGTCACATGACTATATGTATGTTTAAAATACATATAGAAATATTAACAACAGAAGCAGGCATATATAGCAGTTTAGTATTAAACAGCTGGTAAGCAATGTTTGATTAATTTTGTTACGAACTGAACATTTCATTAAAGAGTGAACATTTCAAATTAATTAATCGGAAATCTCACCGAAAAGAAAACCGCTGCTACTGAAAATACATTTATTGGTATGTTTAGATCCCAACAAGAGGATATTTGTTTTTGTATTTGCGATAGATCATAGAGTTTTTAACGGATTCGTTTCAATTTGGTCATTGTGGTTATCAAAGGACAAACCCTATCGATATTCCGCGTTCTGCAACTTTCTGTGCCGCCAGTTGCCGAAAAACCTTGTCAGTTGACGACATTTGCCCACAGGCAAGATAAATATCTTGATGGCCGTTAAAAAAACATTAAAGTTTTAACACCAGATCTTGAGTGTACGGAACAATACCTAATTGTTATTCTTCTTATAGTTACTGGTTCTTAAGCCTCAATTTGTGGAACCTGTAGTGGGGCAACATTAGATATTGGTAAGTATAGCCTTGTATTTCAGTGCTTTACAGTTCCCTTTTCCTGTCAGGCTGTTTTCAAAACATAATTTCAAACAATTTTCTGACACGTCAATAGTTTCAGATTAGGTTAAAGATACATTATGTAAAACTAAATCTGCCTTTTGTAGGCCCTTTAGCTTCAGATGTTATGTAAATTAATAATTAGATATTCATTCACATGACAGACAAGCCCATGGTTAACCCTGTAATCCGTCGGATTGCCGTTATATTGAAGGATTAGCGAAAATCCGCCATTTAATGATTTAACGTTAAAATGGATAATCAAGACTTTGTTTATTATCGCAGCAATGGTACTATTGCTACCTTGTCAAAACCCATAACTTAGCTCAGAATGAAGTAGTTTTTCTGAAATTTTCAATACGCATGTATTCATATTACATTATATATTTTTGAAGTATTATAGCGAGAACAGTCAGCTCTTTATCTGAATCTTACACAAGGTATCTATAATTATATTCAAATAGTTTAGTCTTGTTAATGGCATACGAGGGGTCGTATCATAAAGTTATACACATCCGGGACCGGTTATTCAAAGCTCCGTTAACTTTTAACGAATCGTTTACATGGAGTTAAGGGATCGTTATCGTTAACGGAGAGAAAGTCTGTTGCTGGAAGACCCATGTCGTTAACCTGCCGTTATATTTACGGAGGTGTTGGGCTCCGTTATCGGTTTAACGATGGCATTAGTCGGTTGTCAGTCGAAGTATACCCTTAATAAAAAGTCATAGATTACCAGTGTAATTTTCTATAGAACATTCTACAGGGTTGGACGATGGGAGGCTATTCCATTTTCTATAGGATGAAATTCTATAGTATTCTACAGAATTTTGGGGGCCTGTAGGAAATAATGACCCCAGATATTCTACAGTTTCTGTAGTGCAAATCCCACAAGACAATACTATAGTATTCTATAGATTTTTTATAGTGTTTTTTGTAGTAAACTCTACAGTTATCATTTTGTCTTTAATCAAGTTTTGTGAACAGATTGCACAGTTGTCCCACTGTCTTAAAGTTTCTTGTTAATACTAACTTCTATGAAGTTGTTATGCATGTACATTGAATTTAAAACTTCAAAATTCTGTCATCTCTTGGATTAACTTTAATTAGTTCGTTAGCTAACGGGTAATGAAATTGACTTTCCAGCAACATAAATTTAACAGATCGTTATAACAAACGACACGTTAGCAAGATAACGATCCGTTAGAGTTTAAATAACTCAGTTTTGAGCAACCGGCCCCAGTTCAATCCAATAGGCCATGTTGATTTAGAGGTCAATATTTTATATTATTTTACTATAGTTTATCAATGGGCCATGTTGTTTTAGAGGTTAATATTTGATATTATTTCACTATAGTAACACAATAGGCCATGTTGTTTTAGAGGTTAATATTTGATATTATTTTATTATAGTTTACTAGTATTAAATCCAATAGACCATGTTGTTTTATAGGTTAATATTTGATATTATTTGACTGTAGTTTACCAGTATTAAATCCACACAATCCATCAACATGCAGATGTTAGTATGTCTAGTACTTGTATCCATTGCTATGATAATGCCTACAGATGGTTACCGCACCCATTTTCAACTTATTAATCAGTTATCAAGAACCATAGCGTGTAAGTAAAACATATTAATCATTCATCGTACGGTACGTTGTACATTTTAGCTACAAAAAAGCGCCAACCGAGATCGGCCATGTTGAACTAAGTGCGATTCGGGCACATCTTCTGAGCAGAACAAATCAATATTAATCTTAATAGCGTTCATTATTTGTTCCATCTGTTGATAGGGGGAATTGCCGAATGGTTAGCGCGTGTGCGCTGTATCATGAGGTCTGCCATTGAGTCAACTGGCATGGTTTCGATTAACCGGTTGTAAGTAACAAGGAGTAGGTCACCTGTCTATCCTCTTGAGTTTTCTCTGGGTCCTCCGCTTTCCTCTCATTGCTAAAGACCCCTACGCGCATCTGAATTATTGAAATAAAATTGAATGATATGTTAGTTCCGAAATGATCTAGTTCGTGTCTCTCTCTCTCCCTCTCTCTTTCCCTCTCTCTCTCTCTCTCTCTCTCTCTCTCTCTCTGTGTTGAGGCATCAGTATTCCAAATGGGTATGATAATGGTGTCCTATTTTAGATATGAGGGAAATTTTGCCCGGATAGCGGCACTACGGCCTACTCTTATATCGAATTCCAACTGTGAAGGGATCTTTTACGTGCACGCCAATGTGTACACGGGACCTCGGTTTTTCGTCCGATCTGAACGACTAGACAGCTGTCCTGCATAACTGACACGGGGGGGGGGGGGGCACGCCGGAAAATCTGGATGAACTTTTTCGGCCAATGCAGACATCGAACACTCGACCTCCAGGCTAGCGAGCCAGCGTCTTACCCACTTAGCCACCGTGACTCCCCGATCTAATTAGAAGAACACCATAAAAGGTCCAATTTGCACAGGTTTATGCATCTTCCAAATACAAGGATAGCATGAATGAGCCAATATATTTGTAACTGCTGATTGGCTGGAGATCCAGTGTGACATTGTCAATACGATACAATAACTGTGGTAAATTCCTTAAATTGGTATTAAAGAAATCCTCGTAAAACGCGAATCCCCGATAATGGGAGAGAGGGAGGGGGGAGAGAGAGAGAGAGAAAGAGAGAGAGAGAGATTGGGTTTAACGCCCACTCGACACAAACTAGGTAATTTCGGGACTAACACATGGTTCAATTTTATTTCAATAATTCGCTTGTGCTTAGGGGTCTTTAGCAGTGGAAGGAAGCCGGAGGACCCGGAGAAAACCTACGAGTCGACCCTACTCCTTGTCACGTAACAACCGGGGAATCGAAACCCGGCCAGTTGACTCAATGAGAGACCACGTATGGTTCAGCGCGCACGTGCTAACCATTCGGCCATCCAACACCCTCCCGAAAATGGGGTTAAAAATGCAACAACCAAAAACGTAAACCAAGGTCAGTCAGCTAGCTTTAACACTTGTGTCTAAAAAACGGGGAACAGGTAGTTTTTCCAAGTCATTTTCAGTGCAATTGAAGAACTTCGCATTTCGTTAAGAATTTGAGCTCGGATAACTCTCGAAATATTATGGAGTTGGCCAACATTATCAAGATGCTTGATCTATTACAGAATTGTACTTCACACCCATTTATCTAATTCGTATCGTTTACAGCTCCAGCGGCTCCAATTAAACCACCACCTCGGGCACCAGCTCCTGTATTTCAGCCTCCAAATAGATCAACCAATTGGGTACCTGCTCCTGCATTCCCGCCCCGAAATAAACCAACGCAATGGGAACCTGCTAGATCACCTCCGCTTCAATATAAACCAATACCCCAGGCACCAGCTCCTGCATTCCCACCTCAAAATAAACCGACACAATGGGCACCTGCTCCTGCATTCCCGCCTCCAAATAGACTACCACCTCGGGCACCAGCTCCCGTATTCCCGCCTCAAAATAAACCAACACAATGGGCACCAGCTCAAGTATTTCCGCCCCCAAATGGACCAACACGTTGGGTATCAGCTCCAAACTTTCCACCACCAATTAAACCATTACCTATGGAACCAGAAGAACTACCAACTACCCCAGCACCTCCGACGCCAGCAGCTGCAGCAGCAGCAATAATTTTAGCCAATTTCTCTTCAATGGGAGTTGAGACACTACACAAACTTGATATGGAGTTGAGCAGGCTAAGACATGAATCAATGACACAGGTAGGCATACTGTTCTGTGGTTTGTGTTAAATAATGTCTGCAGAATATTTATTTTACCACTGATTCTGATTCTCGTTGGCAATGGTTATCATAACTAATATATAACTTATATACAACTGATAATTATTAGGCAGTGGATATTTAACCGTATACGGCACTTTACTTTATTTACTATTTTGCCGTACGCTTCCGTTTAACATGCGCAGTTCTCTGATACCTGGACTTGGCAGTTTTCGCTTTGGCGTCTGACATTAACCCACAACCCAAACCCAACAGTTCTATTCGTTCTTTGTCTAACATTGCTTCTTTTTCCGTTTCTTATAAAGGAACGAAATAGCCATACTTGAATTTCTATGGTAGAAACTGGAGAATTATTTTTAAAAGAAAATAAGATAATAAATGTAAATTGTAGAAATGCATGTAGAATATTATTCTATTTTTGGTCGAGGGCGCATTTCTGCGGATTTTGGTTTTAATTTAAGTACTAAAACTGTCAGTGGTTTATAGCCATACTTGAATTTCTATGGTAGAAACTGGAAAATTATTTTTAAAATAAAATAAGATAATAAATGTAAATTGTAGAAAAGCATTTAGAATATTATTCTATTTTGGTCGAGGGCGCATTTCTGCGGATTTTGGTTTTAATTTAAGTACTAAGACTGTCAGTGGTTTATGTTTTTCCCGTAAAATCGTGCTTCTGCGCCGAAACGATGTACGGTAAAATAGCGGAAGTAGATACTTTGCCGTATACGGTTAAATATCCACTTCGTAATTATTATAACTAATATACAACTAGAGAGAGAGAGAGAAATCGGGTTTAACGTCCACTCGACAGAAACTAGGTCATTTCTGGACTAACATATGGTTTAATTTTATTTCAATAATTCGCTTGCGCATAGGGGTCTTTAGCAGTGGGAGGAAACCGGAGGACCCGGAGAAAACCCACGAGGTTGGACAGGCGACCCTACTCCTTGTCATGTACAACCGGGGATTCGAAACCACGCCAGTCGACTCAATGACAGACTTTATGATAAAGCGCGCGCACGCTAAACATTCAGCCATTCACCCCCAATATACAACTAATAACCATAAATAATATACAGCTAATATACAACTAACAATTACCGTAACTGATATACAACTAATATACAACTGTTAATAACCATTACTAATATACAGCTAATATACAACCAACCATTACAATAACTGATATATAACTAATAGTATCACAACTAATATACAACTAATAGTTATCATAACTAATATACAACTAATATATAATTAATACGCAACTAATAGTTATCATAACTAATATACATACACAACTAATAGTTATCATAACTAATACACAACTAATAGTTATCATAACTAATACACAACTAATGATAAACATAACTAAAATACAACTAATGATAAACATAACCAATGTATAACCATATACAACTAACAATTACCGTAACTAATATATAATTAATAACTATCACAACTAAAGTACAACTTATAATAACCATAACTAATAAACAACTAAACATTATCATAACTAATATACAGCCAATAGTTAGCATAAGTAATACACAACTAATATTTATCATAACTAACATACAACTAATATACAACTAATATTTATCATAACTAACATACAACTAATATAGAGTCAATATTTATTATAACTAACATACAACTACTATAGAGCCAATATTTATCATAACTAACATACAACTAATATACAACTAATATTTATCATAACTAACATACAACTAATATACAACCAATATTTATCATAACTAATATACAACTAATATTTATCATAACCAATATACAACAAATATACAACTTATAACTATTATAACTAATATACAACCAACTAATATTTATCATAACTAACATACAACTAATATACAACCAATATTTATCATAACTAATATATAACTAATATGCAACCAATATTTATCATAACTAATATACAACTAATATTTATCATAACTAATATACAACTAGTATACAACTAATATCTATCATAACTAATATACAACTAATATTTATCATAACTAACATACAACTAATATACAACCAATAGTTAGCATAAGTAATACACAACTAATATTTATCATAACTAACATACAACTAATATACAACCAATATTTATCATAACTAACATACAACTAATATACAACCATATTTATCATATACAACTAATATCTATCTTAACTAATATACAACTAATATACAGCCAATATTTATCATAACTAACATGCAACTAATATATAACTAATACACAACTACTAATCTACTGATAATTATCAAGATTAAATGCAAAATATTTAATTAATGTTCCTCATATTGTTCCGACCATGTGCTAAATATCAGAATCCATTCACCACTCCCATTACCCGTATTACACCTGCCCTGGAGAAGGTTAGAGTTCGGGTAAGCTAAAGCTGCACAACGGATTCAGAAATCCGGACATCATACGGTGTATTCGAAGGATACCGAAAGCTCCATGACCGTTACTAAAGATGTAGAATCAGGCCAGGCATTAATTTGCTTCTTTCATTACAAGTTATACGACTCGTAGTTTATTAATATTTCAATATGTTTTTTACATTATTCAGATAGACCTAATTCCTGTTGTGGATGTTCTGGAGGATGTTCTGCCGCTGATCGAAGATTTTTCCATAGAATTAAAGGACTCGATGATAAAATTTAAGGAAATACTGCCACTTTCTGTCATTCCCAATCTTAATACTCCCAAACTATCCCCTCTGTTTCGGCGTATGATGGGAACCGGCGTCAGGCGTCAAGTACCGACACAGTACAATTGGATCTGAATATTAGGAATTTTGTAACGTTTAACAACGCAAAATTTTACATTATTGATGGCAATTATTGAACATGATGCCATAATGTATTTAGTTACATATATGATGATCTAAACATTGCGCAATTGTTATATAAAAAATCTCTTTAAATATTGAAAATCTTTACCCATTTTCATATAAAGTTTTTTTTATTAAATCTCAACCTTTGTTAATTTGACTATAGATTAATTATCAAGGCTCTGCATGCCAAATAATAGACACAACTATATTAACAGTCAAATTTTATGAAACCATATTACTGCTAATAATGTTATTACAATCAAAGTTTGAAAGCATACGAGCATAAAAAAATTTTGTATAAATAATGCTCCGCTTAGTATAGTATTATTATTATTGATATACAAAGACGAGTAAAGAAATCACTAGAAACTTCAGTTACAATCTGATTAAAATACAGATCTATATTTTGTTTCGTTTTTTTTTTATACTTTCAATGGCCTACACTACATGAAGATCTGACCGGTTGTAGCGATAGGTCGCGTCAGAGGTCATGCGAGCGGCTTTTGGCCCTATGACGTCAGACATTTGATTAACCAATCAGCATTGATGTTACTAGTGGATTATCCACAGTTCCGTGCAAAACACGCCTAAAGCTCGCCGTAACAGACCGTTTCATTGGCTAATTCCTCACACCATTCAGAACACGTCAATTATAACAACTCTTCCAGGGGCCTATTTCACGAAATTTTAACTAAGATAAAATCCAAATTTTAGTAATTTGATTGGACAGTATTAGGTTGATTTTAGTGCTTAGCCAATCAAAATTGAAGTATCTACTAAAATTTTGGATTTTATCTTTAGTTAAGATTTCGAGAAACAGGGCCCAGGTCCTAGTGTAGTAAAGACAAGTAAAACTAAATTTTGAACTATAAAAACGAAACGAAATAGGATCTGTGTTTTAATCAGATTGCTTCAGTTAGAATTGATAAATCTGGGTACTTTTTGTACGAACATGTTTGCTGTGTAAGAATATTCTACTTGTATATAATTAGATTGAAATATCGGGACATTATCATCAGACAATGCTCTGTTGTTATTGTAATATTATAAAACCTTTGGATGGGGACGACAACCCGAGGTCCCAAGGAAAAAAATGTCTCTATCCAGTCCGTTAGACTAACTTATTTTATTTTGGATGCCAATTAAAAGTACTCTGTCCAATTAAAGTTTAAAAGTTAAATGGTTATGTGTGTACAGCGGTTTTAGTATATATTTTTTTTCTTTTTTAAAATTAAATTTAAGGTACATTTGTACAGTGTAAAAGTGAAATGCTTAAGTGTACAACGGTTTTGGTTTCTTTTATTATGCCTGTCCTCATTAGCCCAGTCATTTACAACTCAACAATTAAATCCAAGAGAAATAGGGGGTGGGGTGGGGGATTTACTACATTGATATACTATTGTAAATATTATAAATTTAATCCTATTTATGGAAACAGCGGTGGCTCGGTCACTAAGATGGTAGCTCGCTAACCAGGAGGACTCGGGTTCACTTCCGGTGCTGACCGAGAAAGTTCCTCTGGGTATTTCGTTGTATTTCCCCCGTATCAGTTGTACAGGAAGGAAGATCTGGCAATGATGGTGTCTAGTACTTCGGATGGGACAAAAAGGCGAGGTCCCGCGTACACATTGGCGTGCAGGGAAAAGAACCCTGACAGATGGAATTCGATATAAGAGTAGATCGTAGCACCCCTTCCTGGGCAAAATTTCCCTCATAGCACATTGTATGGGTATTTCCATTTTCATTAGCCCAGCCGGAGTTTAAGTACAATGCTAAACCCCACTGCATTCCTATTTATATTACAAGTATACAGCTACTTGCTTCAGTATGTAATAATGTATAATTATTTTTAAAAATTTGTTAGTAAAGCAAGTTTTATTGGCATCGATGGATTATTGTTGGTTTTCTTGTGTCGGTAAATGCTAGCTATAGACATAATACAGCTGAAATTTGGTGTTTTGGCCTGTTTGTATGTTGGACATTTCCAAATCAACAACAATTAAATACAAGAGAAATGGGGCTTAACTCCACTCAACACAAACTAATTCATTTCGGGACTAACATACGGTACCCTTTTATTTCAATAATTGGCGTCGCGTACGCGTAACTGGTCTTTAGTAGTGGTAGAAAACCGGATGTCTCGGAAAAAAAACATGCGTTTTCTTCTTGCCACGTACAAGTTGAATTGCAGAACTCAAAGTCAAAAGCCCCCGTGTTAGACAACCCAAACCCCGCCCCCTCACCCTCACCCTCACTCCACCCCCAACAACGCCGCGCATGGATGAGGATGAGATCAACGTCTTGATGGCAGCTTCATACTCTTTGGCTCAGTGTCGATTTGACATCGGAATAAAACCTTTCTTCACTAAACGTTAAGGGGATAATACCGGATTACTAATTCACAGTACACAAGTATGCCAATTAAAGTGCGACAAAATAGCCAAAGTGTCAAATCCAAATAATGAGTCGTGCAGGACTGGTCGCTAGATTTGCTTTAGGAATTACATAACACATTTAAGGAGTTTCGTTTTTGTTTATTTGTATGGCAGATCTGAAAATTTATTTCTCTTCGCAAAAGTACCAGAATTGTTCAGAACAAAAGTTTCTTTGTCTGCGATATCACTCTAGGTGGAAGCGGACGTTAAGCTCGACAACAACAACAACTTTACACAGAATTAACAAGTTTTATTCACTGAAATATATCTGAGACGACTCCTTAAAAGATAACCAATTTTGTGTGGAGCATTTCGACTAAAGCAACGATGACCCGTCGAATTAACTAGTTGACATGTTCGATTCCTTCCCCAGCGAACACCAGGTGATGTTGTGTTCGACATGAAACGAATACCAGGACCAGATTAAGCCCTGGTCAAGTTGAAGCATTGTGGGGTCAGATTAACGGTAAGTAAAATTAAGGTGCTTTTATAAATATTAAAATATTACGTACTAGAAAAACATACTATAACGTCACAATTTACAATGAATTTTACAATATCAGGTCCGGGAAAAACAACGTCACAGTTTACAATGAATTTTAAAATATCACGCATGGGGAAAACGTAAAATTGAGTACTATACTACGTCACGTCACAATACAATGAATTTTAAAATATCACACACGGGAAAAACATACCAATATTGAGTACTACACTACGTCACAATTTACAATGAATTCTAAAATATCACGTACGGGAAACTATACATATTTATCGCTCGAAAACTAAATATAGCTAGCTCTTTTATCTCCGCGGGTCTCTTACGTTCAGAATGGGGAAAACATAATACCGAGTATCATACTACGTCACACTTTAAAAACAATGTACAACGTCGACCATATACTAATTTGATTTCAATGTCACTTTTTCTTTATTAATGCCCTTGGCAGTTGGAATTCAAAATAAGAGCAGGCCGTTGCACCACCGTCCAGGTAAAATGTCCCTCATAGAACACTGTGAAGTATACCCATCATCAATAGCCCAGTCGCTGCAGAAAGGAGGAACGTTAAATCCACATTTCATTTATGACGTTTCAAGCACTGGTAAATCTTAGCTTACTTTTTTGAAAGTACGTTTAATTCCGTTCGCAATGTCAGCAGTCTTTTAACAACAATCCAATTTTTATCGTATGTAGACAACCCAATATATCCATTCATCCAGAAAAATTGTGTAACTTTCTCAAATAATTTTGTCAGAAACAGAATTAATTGACTTATAAAATATGTCACATGTCACGTGTCACATTAGAAACTGACGAAATGTTACCCAGATTTTATCACATCTAATATTAAAGGAGCTAAACCTCTAACTCAGTATTTTCCATAATATTCGAAATAAAAAAACACGAATTAGAATTCAATGTTGGTCTATTTCAATCAATAATGATGTTATCTTGCCGTAACAATATGGATCCAATATTTGAAAGACATTTTATAATCAGTACACGAGTCGTGTATTATAAAGTTTCGGTGCCATTTGTAATGAGCAAAGAAAAACATTTCCTACAAGACAATGTGTTAAAAATCTTAGTTTTATGATGGATTCTGGTCATCTCTAAATATGAAATATGAAAAAATGTCGTGATTATTTCGGTAGTAGTCAGGAAACATCCTTCATCAGTTAACGCTCAGTATAAATGGACCTTAAAACTTTTGTACTTACACCCTTCTGAAAATGTCCTATAGAAAATGTGAAGAATTCTACAGAATTCTGTATTATTCTAAAATATTCTATAGAATACTACAGGAAATATGCGTGTTTCTGTAGTTTTCATAGATGGTGTAAATATTGTTTCTGATAAACTGTAGGTTCCTGTAGTTTTCTGAGGGGAGATCAAGTAAATCTGTAGAATTGTTATCTGAATTATAGTTTCCTATAGATTTTGTGTAGTAAACTAAAGTATGTATTGAATACTATAGTTTCCTATAGAACCAGAAAATATACCATTTCTACGTTATGGCGCACTATAGTATTCTATAGAATTTTATACGAAATAATATAATATTCTGACGAATAGAGCAGTCAACTATAGTAACCTTGTCAATTTGAATTGCATTCTATAGGAAAGGTTCCTCTTTTTTACTTTGCTGAGTTGTTGTTTTGTACCGATGTAAAGGACTTCAGTCGTGTCTGGATTTACTTTTTAAAAAATGAAGTGCCATCCAGTTGTGAATTTCATATAAACAGTTCTCAACATCATGTACAATGGCAGTTTCGGATGAATGATCAAAGCTGATGTATAACTGTGTCCATATTTCTGGGCTATTGCATTAAGTGGTCTTGTGAATATTATAAATAAGATAGGCCCCGGGACTGATCCTTGAGGCACTCCGCGGGGCGTTGAAACAAAGCCTGAAGAAGTCCCATCAATGCACACAGCCGGCCTTCTGTTGGTTAAGTAAGATCGGAACCAGCTGAACACACTGTTACATAAGCCAATTTCAATCCATAGTGTGTCTAGGAGATCCTTGATGTCGAGAGTATCAGATACAGCGAATAGGTCCAGCAAAATCAGCAATACGCTCTGTTGTTGATCAATGCACTTGTGGATATCATCAACAATTTTTATACGGGCAGTTTCCGTACTATGCAATTTCTTTGTAAGCCGACTGAAGAGGATTATCAAGAGCATTCTGACTAATATGTACGTTAAAGCGCTGTAGCACGCATTTCTCAATGAGTTTTGATATGTAGCTCAGGTTACTCACTGGCCTGTAGTTCTTCAGCAGATCAGCATCTAAGGATGATTAGGGGTGTGATCATGGCTTGCTTCAGGGCAATTGAAAAGACAACGTCTGGATGCGACTTGTTCAGAACAATTAAAAATATTGGTAGGAAAGCATCCAAATTGTCTTTTAGAAGCCATGTTGGAAGTGGGTCTAACTGGCAAGATTTCGTTTTGGTTTAAAGCACCACAGTTTTAAGTTCCCCTAAGCTGCATGGTGTAAATTCTGCTAGCAGATGAAGAGTGGGAACTTTGTAAGATGGACATTGGGTTTGGTCAAGAAGGGGCGGGGGGGGGGTCTTTGTGATGATGTCATCTCTAATTTGCACAATTTTTGTTATTCAAATATGTCGCAAATTTATCGGCAAGATTGGATAGAGATTTATGATCTGGTAGAGTTTGTTCTTTCTTTGAGTTCAGTAACTCATTTGATAAATTAAATAATTTCTTTTGATCAGAAGCACAGTCGAAGACTGTCGACGACTTTAGTATTGTAGTACTCCGGGTTTTTTTTGGTTTTGGTTTTTTTTTTTTTTTTTTTTTTTGATTGAACCAACTTTGCAACCGTTCGTTCGTTCGTTTATAGAGTATTACGTCCACTTCCACCTAGGGTGATATCGTACACAAACTTTGCAACCAGTTTCATTTATGTAGATTTGTTTGTGAACAGATCAACCCGTCCTCACCCAGGTGCGTGGTAGCTTTCCTCCTGACTTTTCTGGCATCCCGAATTGTATCACAGAACCAGGGGTTTTCAAGTTTTACAACTATAATCTTTAAGAGGCATTTAGTAACTGGGTAGAGCAATACACAAAAAACACATACTTATGGAAAAACAGCTACTTATTTATTTGGGCGACGTTTCGAAGAGTATTCTCTCAACGTTATCAAGCTAATACAGTAATACAAGAATAATGAGATCAATATATACAGAAAACTGTAACAACAATTCATGAAACCATACAGGACAACAACAAGATCAAAGGGGTTTATTCTACAACAACTAATTAAGTGTGAAGAGTAGCCATTGAGTATAGTTAAGCAATTAGGTAGCTATGATATTAGATACAATACTACCGGCAGAATGGGATAGTACCTACAATACAATTATGATATACCATGGTTTGTTTAGATAATGGTAATTAACTTTATATGTCTGTGTGATTAAATGTACAATTAGACTAGAGTAACCCATATGTGTAATAATTCTAAGAAATAGAGTGGATATAACTGATAAATTGATAATAATATTAGAAAAATGAAAAATAATAAAACTCATAAAAATTCAAAGGTTTCTTATCCACTGTACTGTAGAATGAGTGGGGGTGATGGAAAACACATAATTTAGGTATATTTAATAAGTTCATCATAAGCACTAGGCAGGAATATCCCTGTGTCGCGGTTGAGGTCTGGACTGTTTCTTTTAATGTGTATGGCCTCAATAATTTTGCGGGTTTTTTCTATCGGTAGGTTGGCCGCCAGGGTTCTATACGTTTTAATTCTGTGTCCTGGGTTGGATTGTGTGTGTTGGGCCACAGCTGAATTGGTAGTAGAGGATTTAGATTTATGCTGACTGATTCTCTTGTCTAAAGGCTGTCTAGTTTCTCCAATGTATTTTTTGTCACACGTGCAGGATATTTCATAAACACATTCTTTTGGGTTCAGTTGTTTGGTTGGGGGAAGTTTGCCACTGGCCTTCAGGAGATCTTTGAGAGTTCTTCCTTTGGAAAATGTTACCTGGATGCCTGTTGGGGTTAGGAGTCTTTTGAGGTGGTACGATAGTTTGCCTTGAAAAGGTATTGTTATTCTCACTGGTGGTTTGTCTGGTTTAGGTTGGCTTATATCTGTAGGAGGATTGGTGGTTGCTTTGATGATTTTCTGCACTAATTGTCGGGGGTAGTTATTGAAGTTGGTTAGAGATGTTTCAATGTGATCAAGTTCTGCTATGATGTAGTCTTTGTCGCAGATGTTCACGGCTCTGCGCGCTAAAGTGGATACAGTAGCTTTCTTTACGCTGTGCGGATGATTCGACTTATAATTGATGTACTGGTTGGTATGTGTGGGCTTCCTATATACGCTGGTGTTTAGTTTGTCAGCAGATCTCTTAACTAGGACATCCAGGAACGGGAGGGATTGGTGCTGTTCTTTTTCTATCGTGAATTTTATTCTGTTATTTTGGTTGTTGAGGTGGATGAGGAGGAGGTTGGGGTCTTCATTCTGTTTGAGAATGACAAAAATATCATCTACCTTACGAAGCCAAGCTGTAGGTTGAACCGGTGAAGTGGATAGGGCATCCTTTTCAAAACTAGTCATATAGATCTCGCTGAGGACTGGGGACAAGGGGCTTCCCATGGGTAATCCATGTACTTGCTCGTAAAAATCATCTCCCCAGGAAAAGTAGGTGGAATCAATGCAGGTTTTAGTGAGGTTAATGATGTCTTCCGTGCTGAGGTTGGTGTCAAGTGGGTTCTCTAGGGAAGATAATCTGTGGCGTAGTGCTTCAATGGCTTCATCTCGAGGAATATTAGTAAAAAGATCGATGACATCGTACGATAGAATCTGTATGTCTTGTGGTTGGTCCTGTAGTTTTTCGCAGAAATCTTTAGAGTCTTTTATGAACGAAGGGGCTTCTTTACCTAATGGGGAGAGGAGTTTAGACAGGTGTTGCGCTGTATTATAAAATACAGAGTCTCTGGAGCATACTAGGAGTCTGGCTTTAATAGGATTCTTGTGGGTTTTAATCGTGGCTCTGGCATATGGAGGTCTGGGATGAGAAGGCTTGAGCTTGTAGAATAACGGGTTGGTAAGTCTTCCTTGTTCTTTCAGGTTCAATAACTGGGCAGTATGTTTATCGCTATAGCTGTGGGTGGGATCCTTCCTAATCCTCCTGTAGGTGGCTTTATCTGCCAGTAGATGAGATACCGTGTTGAGATAGTCAGTGTTATCCATTATAACAGTGGATTTCCCTTTATCAGCAGCTACTATTGTGATGTTATGGTCTTTCTTCAGTTCCTGCAGGGCGGTGTTTTGGGACTTGTTCAGGTTGTGGGCACCTCGTCGCATCTTGGATTTGGTTATCAGATCGGTAATTTGATGTCTCAGGGAGTCAATCTTTCCACCGGGTGCCAGCTGTCTCAAGCCTCTTTCGATATTCGCAATTAGAAGGTCTTGGTTGGCAGATCGGTGGGATGGCACAAACTTTAGTCCTTTACTTAGGAGTGTGATCTGATCATCGCTTAGATTCTTTGTGTCTTCTTGGGAGCATGGACATCAATAATGTTTTTAATGAGCTGATTATAATTATTGACAAGTTCTTCGAGAGGTCTATTGGGTAGAGTTAGCACCTCATTCTTAAATGTATCTTTATTGATATTTTTGAATTTTCTATATTCCACATGGCAAGGTGATGACATATTCTGTGGTTTAAACGGCACGATAAACTGGACAGCACAATGATCGCTGATCTGTGGGTCAATTACAATAACTTGAGCAACGACGGATTCATCAGCCTTCGTCAGGAGAGGATCTAGGATATGCCCAAGACGATGTGTTGGGTTATCCCGTGTACACATTGGCGTGCACGTTATAGATCCCTAGACAGTTGGAATTCGATTTAAGAGTAGGCCGTAGTGCCGCTGTCTGTGCAAAAACCCGAGGTCCTGTGTACATATTGGCGTGTACGTAAAAGATCCCTTGACAGTTGGAATTAAGAGTAGACTGGCGTGCTGCTGTACGAGAATAATTTACCTTGTATTACAATGCATGGTGTATTTCGGTATGGCGAATGTTCGTCTTCATTAGCCCAGTTTGGAGCAGAACAGTAGGACGTTAAACTCCATTTCATTTCATTTTGTATAGCCCAACAAAGTAAGATTAATTTAGCAAAAGTTGTCCAGTTAATGAAAAGCACCCTCGTGTGTCTTAGAAATCACGCTTCATTCTATGAAGAACAATAAATAATATCTTTTATATCTATCACTTAACTATAAGGTACCTCCCATAGGTCACTTAAAGTTATGTAGATTTTTCTCACTGGCCTTGAATACCACTAATTAGGGCGGCTTAATTTTAAGGCAAAATTTGATACTTAAAGATACATTCCCGGGTACAAACTGGGTGATTTGATGAGATATTTGGACTAAAAACATATTCAAACTAATTTGAATCGGGCTGTCGATTAAGGAAACCCTTACATTTTCGTCCTGTATGCGCTCCATGAGTGTTTTTCAGGGAATCCAGTATTTTTCTAGTAAGATTGGATATTTCTGCTTTCTATATATACCAAAATTGCCATACTTTTATTGGAAATAACCACCCGATAAATACTTTTCTGGGAACCAATCTTTAACACGTCCTTTGAATACCACTTACCCTTAACTTACAGGAAGTTACGTATATTTAAGTGAAATATAGTACATGTAGGCTAGTTAATTGACTAGGCCTATCTTAAACTTAAAATATCCTTTAAAAACGGACAGGTTATTATGGGGGTAGGAACCCAAAAACAGAAAGTTCAACGGGATTTTCCGACGTGGTTTCCCCTTGTCAGTAGTGCAGGAAGGAGGGTCTGGCAAGCACAGCTGTCTAGTCGTTCGGATAGTACAAAAACCTTGGCAGTTGGAATTTATAAGAGTAGGCCATATAGTGCCGCTGTCCAGGCGAAATTTCCCTCATAGCACACTGTACGGCCTATGCAATATATGCCCGTCTTCATTAGCCCAGTCGAAGCAGAACAGTATGACGTTAAACCCCGTTTCATTTCATTTCATTTGAGAACAATCGGCGGTCGTCGGCGGTGAAATGACATTGTGATTGACAGTATGACAGTGACACACCGCCCTGGATGCCAGAGGTCAGAGGTGAGAAACAATCACTACTCTTGTCTGTTTCGTTGCGGTCTGTTTCACAGGGCTATACGTTTATTTATTTATTTATTCAAAATGACACAGTATTGTTCGCGGGAAAGTAATCTATTTTAGAGTATGTATGCTGCCCTTGCTTAATGTAATAGGAGCAATGTGCAAATAAAAGTACAAAATTTAGTGGTCTGTTCCCCTGCAAACTTCCGGTTGGGTTCTGAAAATTTTTACCACGGCATTATCGCAGAATACTGGATCATCGATGAGTCGCTATATACTTCAATGGCGGCATAGATAATACCGTACGGTATTATCTATGATGGCGGCAATGGCGATACTAACGATTATCCAGTACCTACTTCCAAACATGTCTAAATTACCACGTTTTACCTTAGAGGCCACGACTACCGTCTTCACGTAAGGTTTTGTTTCTACTTACTTTTACGAAATTTCTTGATTTCTTGATCATTTTAAAAGCAAAGCGGTCATGGCTGAACTTTGTCTATTAGGTCATTCTTTCATTCGTCGCGTAGCCCCGAGCGTAGGTTATAGACTACCAATTGAGTTGGGGGGTGGAGGGCGTGTCCATCAATATCATGTTTCGCATAGCGGTGGCACTTCACGAAATTTAAGACAGGATGTTAGAAAGATTCCTGTTAGCGTTGCTGTAGTTTTCGTTCAGACTGGGGGTAATGACATAGGTCCACACTATCAACAGGCTGTTCGCATTGTTGACGACATAATTAACTTAGTTAATTTGATTCGTCAGCAATGTCCATGGGCTGTTATTGTTGTGGGCAGTTTGTTTGTTCGCCGCAAACCTCGTGGTCTGACCGAAAGCCAGTACAACGACGTTAAGGCTTCTGTGAACAGCCTGCTCCGCCACAGGTTGTCATATTTATATCGAATGCTTTTTTGGAATTCCAGTCGGAAGATGAGGTATAGGGAATTGCACTTTGATCATGAGGGAGTTCACCTTAATGCTGCAGGCAATCGTCTTTTTGCGAGTTCGATTCGTGCAGCATTTAAGAATGCTCTTTCCCTATTCTAGTGAACTGTTCACTTATTAATTTTATCGTTTTCCCTTTTCTTGGTGGAAGCATTATTGTTTAATAATGCACCACAATAAAGGCTACCGGTAGCCTTCAAATCAAGTAATACTAGTAATAGTCAGTGATCCTGATTGACCTGAATGTGGTGTTAAAAAAAACTGGTGTTTGACATGTAAGTTTACATTTTTTTTTTTATTGAATACCGTATATTACTTGACCTTGTTTGTAGTTGTAAACAAATAAAGATATCATCGATCTTTTCTGTATTGAATTTATATGCATTATTTAAAATAAAGTAATTGAATTTCAATAATTTCCATTAATTACTTCTTTTACTACTGTTCAGTAGTTTTAATGCAGATGATGAAAGGCAAACTTTCATACCGTACACCTAGCCTAGAACTAGTAGAAGAACTTGGCATAACTTTCCTGTCTTTTGAAGTTGTGTAATTATGAAATAAATGGTGATAGTAGTTTGTAATTAAGTCCATTTATGTTTACTATGTCCAGGTAGCATAATAATGAATAATGCCTGATACTATTTGCAATATACATCTACATTACTAGTGTTTGATAGTAGTACATGTACATTACTAGTATTGTCTATCACAAATTATTGAACAATTGTTTATATCAATTACATTTTCAGTGAAAGAGGTAAAACTGCATGCCCCAATAAAAACAGAAAATAATAAAGAAGTTAACAAAAATGAAAGTATTGACAGTAGATGAATTTGAGGATATACTGAAGTAAGTAAAGGCAATCACTATATTATTATTAGTTCAAAGAGAAAAAGAGCATAACATCTTCTCACAGCTATGCCAACTATCATAGTACTTGAATTAGGGGATTCCAGGTAGACCATTCATTATTTTCTGTCAATGTATTTTTGTGTTAAAGTTACGTTCCCACAAAAGTATTAATCAGATGGTTATTTCCAATGAAAGTATGGCAATTTTGGTATTGGCTATTTTCACAAAAACATACAAATACCGGAAAAAAATGGTTTACCCAATATGAGATATAAAATTTTGCAACCATGAAAAAAAATTATATATTGTACATCAGCATGGAAGTAGCCTACCTTCTTTGGGAAATATTTTGACAAAGTTATTATTCAAGATAAAATCAGTATAAATTGTGTGGTCAAAATGTCCATTCCATTATGTGGTAAGACTTTTCATTCTCAACTTTGACCTTGAAAATCTGCTTTTAAAATTGAAAGGTCACTATTAAATCAAAGACAGGGTTATGGTCAAGCAGGAAAATCCCACAATAGAAAGAAACAGTTTATACCAAAACTTTGATAGATTAATTAGTTTGAATAGGTTTTTAGTCAAAGTATGTCATCCAATCACATAGTTCTGTCTACAGATCACTTCCAGACTTGATATTTTTGTTGAATTTGTTAATTGACCTTTTGCCACATTATATCTTAACAAATTCTTCTCATTTTCTTTGCAGGTGTGTATTTTGTTGAGATTAATCTAAAAGACTTTTCTTCTAATATGATGATGCAAGAACCAGATTTACTGATTTCTACTCTCAACATTAAACATACATTATGCAAGAGCTAAATCTGCCTATTGTAGGTCTTTCTTTAGGCCTGAAATGTTATCTAAATTATTAATTAGACATTAACGTATCCAGACCATAATCAACGCTAGCCTGCAATAATTGTTGGATTATGATCTGATTTGCTGCATAACTTTCCTTCTCGATTTAATGATTAAATGGATAATCGAGACTATGATTTTTGTCGTACCGACTTTAATAATGATGACCGAGGCTATGCGGGCTTTCGATCGCTTATTTCTCGGTTCATAGTGGATCAATTTGACTGACATTTTCAACAAATTGCCTTTACATTATCTAATTTTTAACCATTATAGTGAGAACTGCCAACGCGTTATCTAATCTCCAATAATGTATCTTTAAGACACTGTGGCAGAATCTGTGAAATACAATTACAAGGAGGATATATAATAAAATATATTATCTGTTGATTTATTTAGTTATTAACATTTATCTGTATGACAATATATTGTTAGCAAGCTGTTTGATTTAAAAGGAGCTGGAGAGAGAAATGGGGAGGACCCAGAGAAAACCCACAAAGTTGGACAAGTGACCCTAGTGCTTGTCACATTCAATTAGTTACTGGTATTCTAAACCATGCCACACAAACTAGGTCATTTCGCGACTAACGTATGGGTTAATTTTATTTTGCTTGCACATACAGGGGTCTTGAGCAATGGGAGGACCGAGAGAAAACCCACAAGGTTGGTTATCCTACTGCTTGTCACCTTCAATTATTTATTTGAAACCAGTCCACTTGACTCAATGACAGACTTTGTAATTTCACTAGACCCCCTCCCCCACCCCACCCCTCAAAGGAGTGGAAATAAATGATTATATTGTAGCTCTATCAACATATATCTACCAGTACATTAGTGTCATAGATTTGTAATGATCGAATATCTACTACTAATTAGAACCCACAGGGTCAGATTAAGTTTGTATGAGGCCCCTGGCTGGAAATGGTAAGAGTGTCCTTGAATTAACAGGGAAAGGGGGCATATTCTGCTCTGCTAATTATCTGCCACATTCATACCAATAATGCAATCCACTTTTTGGGGTATCCGGCAGACTCCCATCGTAGTCATTTTAGATAGTCACTCATTTTGTAGTTATTAACCATATCATCTGTATAAATATGAACAAGTGGTTCACATTTTCCAATTTAACAACAGATGAGAATCATGCTCAACGGTGACAGATAATTCAAGCTGCAGTTCATTTAGACCTAACCTTCCCATCTCCCAGGAGTCACTCTTTCAATTTGCCAGAGCTACTAGTCATATGGAAATGATTGAGACAATACAAGTGTGCAAGTTTCTGCTCCAATAATGGAATGGCTTTTAATCTTTGTTCATTCATTAATACAACAGTGCAGATAAACATACAAAAGAAATCTATAAAAAGTGTCTGGGGGTGTTGGGAGATAACTGTCTAACAAAGTCTCCAGGGTCTTCCATAGTAGCGCACTGCCAAGAGAGAAATGAAATGAAATGGGGTTGACTGTCCTACTCCGAACTGGGATAATGAAGTCGGTCACACGCCATACAGTGTACTATGAGGGAAATTTTGCCTGGGCAGCAGCACTATGGCCTATTCTTACATCAAATTCCAACTGTCAAGGGATCTTTTATGTGCATGCCAATTTGTACACGGGACCTCGTTTTTTCGTCCCATCCATCGTGGTGGGAGATAATGGTGTAAAAAAGTCCCTAGGGTCTTCCACAGTAGCGCACTGCCAAGAAAAAGACTTGGGGCTTAACTAGGTCATTTCATGATTAACATGGTTAAATATGTAGGGATCTTTAACAGTGGGAGGACAGTCGACCCTACTCCTGAAAATGTGGAATCAAAACTAAGCCACATCACTAAATGACAGACCTTATGATCTACATGCATTAATCATTTAACCCCACCCCCTACACAGTTACACAGTGACTAAATGAAGGGTACCCAGCAAGTATAAAGATATGGTAGCCCATGATCGTCATACTAATCTATGAAATGATTAATTTCGTATCAATTTGTTATGAACTTCTCATCTCACCTTCAGGTTTCTAATAAATATTTACTTTTAAGCTGAAAACTGTTGCCAAATTTAGATTACTTAAACAAGTCCTTCACATTAGACCTTATCTGCTATATTGCTGTAGCACTGTTCTATTTTTTGCATGTACTCGATATGATGACACTGTCTTCTACGAAGGCGGGTGACGACGACGAGTCATGAGTGAAATGATGTTATTTCGTTTGATCTATATGTTATACTAATAAAGAGAAAATACAATTTACATTTTATGGATACAACTGTAATAATGAATAATGCATCTACGCAAATTTTAAGTAGGAATGGACATATTTCAATCAAAGTAGGTAAGTATTGTTTATACATGTATTCCCATTATGCGTGGTAGTGGAACTGTGACATTGACATAATATTGTACATCATTGACTTCAGAGTTAGGTTAACATCTTCCACTACACTGCAAAGTCAGTAACATCATCAAGCTAACCTTTGCCAAAAGGTTAATGTTACTAATATCCGCCAATTTGATTAAACACAAGACCAGCATTCAATCTCTGTGATCTGTAAATAATTCATAAAAAACATAAACTTACTTCAAATTTACAAACTACACTCTATAACTTATTACGTAAACTTTATGTAGATAACAACAGTGAATTTTGAGATGCACTCCAATGACAAGTAGTTGAATTACAGAAAATTTACAAAAATAAGAACTTTTAATGAAAATAATAAAATGATTTACCTCAATTATATCTATCATTAATACATGTACTATTACATATAGGGCCTAAGTACATACATGTATGTAGGCCTAGTCACGTGACCTCTAGTCTAGTGCACAGACATCAAATCAAATCTTGTTTGTACATACATTAAATACATAACTAATAAAATAGTTAGAACTTTTTTACATTCATTCAGACTGGATTATTATAGTCAACTGAATAATAATGATTGATAATGTAAATGATAAGAACTGAATTCGACAGATCCATGTTTTTTCTTATCATTATCATTCAATCAATGCTCCATGCTGTGCAGTGGTGCTGGTGCCTATTATTATTAATTTAATATGCTTGAAATAAAGTTAATGTATTATATAGTATTAGTATAGCCTACGGCGGGTGTCTACATTTAAACTAGCCACCTGCAGGTCTAGCGACTTGAGACCCCGTCTCCGACCAAGGCCAATTTATAGGCAATACATTACATAATATTTCACTTTAATTTCACTTCAGCGAAAAAAGATTCTTCACTCATTCATGAAGTCTGTAGTCTAGTAGTAGTACAATATTAAACTTTATACGTACCAAGATCAGAAAATCTCCTCGGAAATAAAAGACAACTGTTTGTGCTAGATAAAAAAAAATATAGGCCTAAGTAATAAGAACGCTGGTGAACGAAGTCCTACTTTTAGTTTTAGCCTAACGTCCAGAAAAAGCGCTAAATCATACGAGATATTCTCGAGAAGATAACTCTGTTTGGAAGAATGCATCAAGTAGGTACTGGATAATCGTTAGTATCACCAGACTAGCAATTATTTGCCCATTGACTTCAATGTTAAATGACTGTAACATCACAGGCTGTAGCTTTTTGCTCAACATTCCGTTGGTTCCAATCTTTATAGGCACAATGGGGACAACATTTGGCAATCTCCTCATCATAATTTTGTAGGGGGTTGACCCTTTAGATTTTTTGCTACACGGATTTGAAGTTGACAGGGGTGAAAATCTCACTTCCGACACAATGATTGCTCTGCAGAAAGACACTTTACACCCCCTATCCCTCCGCTGTAATATCATCAGTATTACCCAAAACTGCTATGAAATTGCAAATTTGATCCCTTTTCTCCAATTCTAGACTAAAAAGTCAACCCAAAAATGCAGGAAGAGGGGAGAAAAAAATTAAGGGAAAAATTGTCTATTTATAACTCGCACTACATTCGTAATTACTAGTCTTAGTCCATATAGCGACTCATCGATGATCCAGTATTCTGCGGCACTATCTGCGATTACAGAAGATTGTCTTTAAAATGTTAAATGGGAAACAGTTCTTTACCGTGATATCTTTAATGGGTTCCGTATATTGTTTGATGAAAATATATATGCTCCAGAGTCGTATGTTCCCTGACGATTGGCGTATGTTATAAAATATCTTTCACTTTTCTTCTTACTTACTGTTTTCTTACGAAGAGCAAGAGATAAAGTTATCTCCCTTAAATTGATGAACAATTATTAATTTTAATTAAAAGTTCACACTCTAATTGAAGTTTGATTCATAAAACACAGAATGAAAATTTTCACTGCCGAATAATTAGCCTGTAATCCAAATTAATGTTAATTTGAGTTCATTTGGGGGTAACTGTGAGAACTTACACGGTTATTATTATAGGCCCTACTAAGATAAGACATTTAATTACTGTGTAGGCTATACAATGTATGTCACATGTACTTGTATTTTAGCTACGATTGGATGCCTTTATTTTCACCTGAGAAACTTAATTTCTTTATTAATGCATGTAACATCTTAGAAATAAGTTAAGTTTAAGGAGCAAAATCGCCATTCTTTGGCAACTAGAAATGTCCAGACACAAATGGGTCGCAACGCATATTGATATGTACAGGTAGCCTACCTAGTAGTAGTAATATGAATGTATCGGTATATAAACTGATTACATTCATTCGTTTCTGTTTTTACTGTCACTTCTATTCAGTTATATTCAGCGAAATACGTGAAGAGTACAAACTGAATGGCAGTCTTTGGCATCCGGTTATTCCAGTCTACACCGGTAGTATTCTCCCGTGGATATGATTAGCCTCGTTCATCGAGTCGCTTTATTACAAATGGGGCTTGAAAGCATTCTGGCACGCCGTTCATTTTGTCTTAAATAATGGATATCACTCAGGCCATCATTTCTTTGTAAGATAACAACATCAATGTTGATTTAAATTGACCAATAAGTATTTATAAGTCGTGCTTGCTGTATGCTGCGAAAAATGTAATAGAGCCAGGCCCTTATTCAGAGCATACATCATCACTTTTTGTAAACAAAATGTTTGCATTTCAATAAGCAAGAAATTTCAGTGACGTGATTTAGAGTAAGGGTCAACCAATATCAACTATGGTTTAAAGTTCTTATTGTGTAGGAGCTGCAGTGGCTTAATGAGTAAGACGGTGGCTGGCTAACTAAAAGGTCCGGAACATGTTGGCTGATTTCTTTCAGTGCGGTTTCCGCCTTGTCAGTGATGTAGGATGAGGACCTGGCAAGGACAACATCTAGTCATTGGTATGGAACAAAAGAACCTGAGGTGCCATGTAAATGTTGGCGTACACGTAAAATGACCCTTGATAGTTGGAATTTGATGTAAAAGTAGTCTGTAGGGTACACTGTATGGTGTATGCCCAGCTTCATTAGCCAAGTAAAACATTAAACTTACTGTAAATAATAACCTATTTGTTTCATTCTTCAATATTTGTTTCAGAGAAAATGCTTAAAAAAGGGGGATTTGCAGCAGATTACAATGAAGATAAAGTACAACCTGAAGGTGAGTTTTTTCTAGTTATTCTTCCATCTGCAGGTCTAGTTGTATCCAAAAAAATGTCAGACTCTAATGACGTTGTACCAGAAATCTTGAACTTGTGCCGGACACGTATTAGAATATCATTAAAAACTTTGAAAAACGACAAATCTTTGCCGAACAAGATGACAGGCACAAGAGAGATTATGTCTGACAAAGTGTATATTTGTGAATGACAATGTCTGTGACATGTGCCTATGTCCAGGTTTGTTCATCTGTAAACTTAAAAGTACCTTTATGGAATTAATAAATGAATATCCATTTTAAGAAAAAAATGAGATAGCCATTGCCCCCATCCGTAGGTCCATCCGTCGGTCCAGCGTCCACAACTGCTTGTGGACGATCTAGAGGCTAAAGTTAGTATTTGATTTACTTTAAATTTATGCAGATGAGACGAAGAGGTCAGGGTTATGGCCCTTGATCACTTTGAAAAATCTTGCTTATGCTCTAGAGGTTACAGTAAATATCAGATAGACTTATACACAGTGTTTACGGTCATGAGACGAAGAAGCCTGTGGATTTTCAACAATATCCGATAATTACTGCCTGTGTTATGGCCCTTGATACCTTTGAAAAATCTTGTGGATGCTCTAGTCTAAAGTTAATATACGATTGACTTTAAATTTATACACAGTGCTTAAGGTCATGAGACGAAGAAGCCCATTGATTTTCAACAATTTCCCATAATTACTACCAGAGTTATGGCTCTTGATCACTTGAGAAATCTTATGGACGCACTAGAGGCTGAAGTTAATATAAATTTATACACAGTGTTTAAGATCGTGAGACAAACAATCGAAACAAATTCTAATGATTTCTGATAATTATTTAATGGGTTGTTACTAGTAATCGGATTTTAGTGAGTTGTAAATGTTTTCATTACTGACAATTTTAAAAAAAAAGATGCGTCAACCCTTGTTGACTGGTCAGAAGTCTTAGCTCCAGTAGGCGCATGTTTCTTTGCTTGGCAACCCATCTTAATTACATGTATTTTTTTTATTATTCAGGTAAAAAAGAATAAAATAAATGAGGGTAATAAAGGACAGATTTATTTTTTGATGCTTACACGTAATAAAGCAACATTTGATAAATGAAATCTGAATTGGTTAAATACTACTACTGCTACTACATAATTATTTGATGAATGAAACAGAACATGATTCATCTAAATTATACTGGTGTGTGTTTATCTACTGTGTACTCTGTGCTGTCTGTGATGCTTCTGTTAAAGGCCTGATGCATCAATTAACATTATAGGCCTGATGCAACAATTAACATTATAGGAATGTCTAAATGAAATCTCATCAATGTATGCTGCTCGAGTGTAACAAGATGCCACCATAGGCCTAGTTTAAATCCAATTTAATCCAAGCTGAGAGATTATCTAGAGTTGGCATTTTGGTTTCGTTTTCTTAATTATAAGCTAAATAATCAATCTGAGTACATATTTGGTGTGTATTAAGCCGTGAGAAATTTGATATTTTAGCAAAAATGCAAATGGCGCATCAAGACTTTAAGAAAGAGGAAATTCCAGCTATATATTAAATCTTGACTGACCTACAGTATGAAATCAACAACTGTGTTTGCAGATGTATCAATATAGTGCATTTACAAACCATAATTTTAGTTCAATAGTAATTTAGTTATTATATGTAGCTAAGCTATAAGAAAGACTTTAAGAAAGAGGAAATTCCAGCTATATATTAAATCTTGACTGACCTACAGTATGAAATCAACAACTGTGTTTGCAGATGTATCAATATAGTGCATTTACAAACCATAATTTTAGTTCAATAGTAATTTAGTTATTATATGTAGCTAAGCTAATGCATCTGCACAATGTCAAGGTGAAAATGGTACCATTGTAATTGAGAAAGAAAAATTAAATCAGATGTTTTCTTCAGAACCAAACTCATATTTTATTTTTTTCAGACAAATTCGTTTCATCATTCATTTTAGTTCACTTCCTTTAATTTTCAAATAATTTAATTTGTATAATCTGGGGCCCCTGCTGAACTTAAAGCGACCTCCCTCCCCCTCCCCCACCCCCACCTCACCCCTGACCTTGGTGTTGTGGCTTCCAACTGGTTGTGTGTTTGTCAGACTTTTGGAAGTAATTTTATGCTGAGTGAGAGAGACTTATTAAGTGGTATTCAAATTCATTTTAGGAATAAAATTAGGAATAAATGTTAACATTTCAATGCTGTAAATGATAACTATCAATAACAGAATAGTCAAGAGTGTATGTGTGTAACTGACTATTTGTTGTGACATTTGCAATATCTAATAAGTTCCATGCCTCTAATATTATTTGATTTACAGTGTTTGGAATATGGTTTAATTATGTGTAAATATAGAATTGAGTAAACATTAAAACAAAAATTTTAATTTGTTATTTTATGAATTTGTTGATTTGTGCAGAGGTGATGACAATATTGGCAACTAGTGCATGGGGTGGTGATGACAATAGTGGCAGCACATGGGGTGCTGATAACATTAGTGGCATTAGCAGTACATTGGGTGGTGATGAAAATAGTGATATAGTGCCTGGGGTGGTGATGACGATAGTGGCAGTGCATGGGGTGGTGATGACAATAGTGGCAGTGCATCTGGTGGTGGTGACAATAGTCACAACTAGTGCCTGGGGTGGTGATGATGATAGCAGCAGTGCATGGGGTGGTGAAGACAATAGGCGCAACGGATGCCTGGGGTGGTGATGATGATAGTGGCAGTGCATGGGGTGGTGATGACAATAGTGGCAGTGCATGAGAGGGGGGTGGGGGAAGAGATGAAATGCCCGAAAAATACCTTTTTAGAGCCTCTGAGCAAAGTGAAAGTTAGATGGCTGCCGTTTGAGTACAGAAACTAGAAAGTGATCCAATTAGCAATGAATGAAATGAGTTTAACTTCCTACTTTCCTGCAAAACGATCTAATGGAGATGAGCATATATGCAGTGTTCTATGAGGGAAGCTGTGCCTGGAAGGCAAGGGATTTTTTTACATGCACGCAAACGTGTAGCCTACCGTAGGCTTATCATGGGACCTTGGTTTTTCATCCCATTCAAACGACACTGACATCGGGCAACCACTCTGGAAAATCATGGGGAACCTTCTCGGCCAATGCAGGGATCAAATCCCCGGACCTCCAGGTTAGTGAGCCAGTGTCTTACTGAGGTACCGTAGCCTGGGGTCCAACTTTGCTTTACAAATGACATATGAGGTGGCCAAAAAGCCAGTGGACTTTATGAGGCAAAATAACTTTTTTTCAATAATATACTAAATTAAAGTTTTTTTTAGCTTTAACTGTCTGTCTGAAAATACAGCATTTAATTTTGGATTTAATGTTGAATTAAAATTAAATTAGCACCCTTAACTAAAGTTTTCTTTATATTTTAACTCATTTCATTTAGTGTTTTAGACTTTAGATGATCTATATTTAATTTAATATTTTATATTTTTTTTAATGTTATTTCATATTTGGGTTCTTTTCTGTGTTTTTTTTTTCTCTTTTAATTTCTGGGCGGATGCACATCAGTTTATGTCCAGTAATCATTCCTTTCAAACTAAATTAGGCCCTTAAATAGATTAAGCCATCAATCAAATCAAGGTCATCATGACACAGAGCTTATCACACCCAAAGACTTGATTATCTAGTAACCACCATTGAATAGAATGGAATTTAATACAACCTGATAATCTCGTCTATAAGGAGTTATTTCCCTTCTCATAAACACAGGAAGTAACCGATTCTTATGATTTTTGTTGCAAAAATTATCAGATATTTTTCAATATAATCAAACTATATGCATAAAGTTGCCACCAAATGGCACATCTTTTGAAAGATAATGTATAAAACAACAAGTTGTGGTGGATTTTGAAATAAAAGGTTTGTTTGCTTGTTCGAGGCACGTATCGAAATGTTTTTGACGACTGTCATTTCAAGTATTCATTCAATTCATTAATCATAATCATAAATAAATATAATCTCTGGGTTGTTTTAATTATCCGGTATTTTATGGTTTCGTTTCTTTATGATTTTTATTACAACTTTTAAGTAGTTCTTTTGGGATCTTTACAAACATGTTTGTCGATATGTTGTGATTACTACAACAGTTGTATATTTACTGACTGATGACGATGTGATAGAATTGGTTCCACTACTGTCTACATGTAGGCGGAGGCCCCTACTTCTGTCGTTGGCTTGACCTAGTGGTCTAGAGTGTCACACTTCTATCTCTAGCTGGCCGGTCACCTCTGTCTCGCCGTCGTGGTTTCGAACGCTGGTGTAAGCGTGTGTGGCTTGGCAATAGGGGCGCCTTCTCAACCTCGTGGGTTTACTCAGGGTACTCCGGTTTCCTCCCACAGGAAAGACCTCTCTGTGTGCGCTAAGATAATAAAATTGAAAATAAGACAACTTTTTTGCGATATCGGTCCTCGGTGGAAACGGACGTTAAACACTGAGAACGACAACAATGTCGTTCCAGATGTCTTTCGTCTTGCCTCCAACAATGGATGGTTCTACTAAGGACTTCCTCTGAGCAAGTTTTGTTTACAAAAACTCCCTTAATATCCATTTTAGCTACCCCCAAATTGTATTGCACATTTACATGTACATATATAATAAACCAATTCCCATTGAAATAAAGGTGAAACCTTGCCACATAATTATGTGATATCTTATTCAGTTTCGTACTTTAAATTACAGTCAGGTCATGCAGAATTAGCATATTACGACATCGCACAAACAGCACTTTCCATATATTGAGTCCATGTCCATATTTATTGCTAATAAACTTGCAGGTGGGAGAAATGTTCAAAAAATACTAGACAGCATGTTGGGAAGGATTTATCACTTAAACCTGAACAAAAGATTATAATTGATAATGTTGTTCGAAGATGGGAGTCTTACCAAATGGATTTGGCAAATCTATGACCATAAAGAAAACCATAAATGCAGAGTCTGTTGATAGCTTTAAAGGTAGCCTTGCAAACATTCCTAACTGTTGATCATTCACCAGCATTGGTTGGACATATTCATACATATTGTAGCCTCACAGATGTTCAAGTTTGAAATTGTTAGGCCATATGCATGTTGAGTATGATTAATATCATAATAACAGTAGGCCTGGCAAGGAAAAGTTGTTCAGATGAGAGGAAAGACAGAGATTCCATAACTGGCAACACGTTAAATATTGCCAGACAACAGTTGCAAATCAAAGTATGAATATGCCAAAGTGCTACTGCCTGGGCAGCATTTTTAGCGTAACACACTGCATGATGTAAGTCCGTCTACGTTAGCACGGTTAGTGTAGAAAAGTAAGATATTAAGCCCCATTTCATTTTGTCCTAAAATATTTCAGATTTAATTTGTTCAGTTAGTGGAGTTAAAAAGCGGTGAAGCAAAAAAATGGCTGCTGGAGAGAAGATTACATTGACTGATGCATTACAGAATGTGGATGTGTTAGATGAATTAACATTACCAGATCGACAACCATGTATAGAAGCACTGAATAAATCAATACACTACCAGGCTAACTTTGATACAAATTTTGAGGATAGAAATGCATGTGTTACTGGTGTGGCAAAGTATATTGAACAAGCTACTATCCATGCTGATATGGTAAGTAATATGGCTAAATTATTGGGACAATGTGAGGATGATCATTATAGATTTTCCACTTTGCTCCCGTCCTTCTCTTGCAAAATGTGATCATATTTTGCATGGCAACCAGTTATTATTCGATTTAGATGAAACTTGAAATATGTCTTAACGATTAAAGGATGATTTTGATTTCGGTGTGCATCATACCTTCCGTTACAGAGTTATGCCCCCTGCATTATACATAAAATGTGAAATATGTAGTACATGTATTACTAAAGGAAAGTAAATCCACTCGCTAGACTGAGTGATATAAATTAGTGTTAATAGTGAAGCAATCTTGGAATCCTAGGATACATATTTGTTCCTTAGACTCCATTAATAAAGGCTTTTTTTTAGTAAAGTAGGGATCATTTGATAAAATAAAAACAAAAAATAATAACTCCTCTTCCACATCAGATTATTTGAAAATATTTTCTAAAACCAGAATATGTTGTCTTCTATGGCCTAAGCTAACTAGATATAAATATTTGTTAATTTTGTTGATATTTTAGAACAAGTTACTGGAGGAAGGTAAAGAATATGCTGTTATGTTATTTACATGGAGATGTTGTTCAAGAGCTTTACCACAGGTAAATGTATAAAATAATTCCAACCATTAAGATATTATAGGGCCTAACGGTAAATCAAACTCCTGATCATATAAGAATTTGACATTTTAGTTTTCTATGTCTCAATGACATCTGTATGTGCAAATCTTACGAGCAGCCAGACAGGGCACACATGTACATGTAGCTAGTGTAATGAAGATTGTTATGTATGTAGCTAGGCATAGAGAAAACTTATCATCAATAAATGTTCATATGCATTCCCCTTCCCTAAATACTGAGGTATCCCTATTGTTGTGCCTTCCTGGGATCTTAACAATTAAGATTTAGTGCATGTGTGCAAAACCAGTTTGAAGACAAATGTGATCTTTAATGATTTTGAGACTTGTGGGAACTAATTCAGTCAATATAACATGTACAGCAGAAATTTAGCAAGTACATGTGTTGACACTCTTGTTCAAAGGTATTGGGCCATAATGACCGTGACAAACTTAAGAGTCAGCTTTTGGCCTGTAAACTGACACCATTTCAAACACTCTGTGTACAATTTATAGAGCAAGGCCATGTTAATATCTGCTGCTGTCCAATAAAGATACAACTTAATGGTCATTTCATGTATTTTCATTTAGAAATAGAGTAGAGCTCTATTTGTTATGTATTGTCTGTAACTCTAGTTTTGTATGTTATGTAGGTAAAGAGTAACGATCAGCCAAATAGAACTCAGATTTATCAGAAGATTGTCGAAGTTTTAGAACCACAAGTCAGTAAATTAGTCAGATTCATGCACTTCCAGGTAAGTACATTATAACCAATATATCCTATTTGGCAAGTCAAATGGTCATATCAGAGTTTTACAAAAATTTGCAGGCAAACTATGAATGTACATAGGTTAAGATTTGAGATATTGTACCAAAAACATCACATCAAATGGTGTGTGCAAAATATTGCATCTCTAAAGATTTTCTCAATTATTCTATAAACTTGCTTAAACAATATGTTACTATTCTCACCTGTCACTATTATCTATATATTACTGTTTAATGAAGAGGTGCTGGATAGTAGAGTTGTCTGATGCATCATTGACAAGGAGTAGGGTCGCTTACCCATCCTCCCTATGCATAAGCGAATTATTGAAATGAAGTTGTACCATATATTAGTCCCGAAATGTTGATGTTTAACTTTCTCTATGAAATATATAACCATCAACTGTTGTTTATTTTCTAGAATCGTGCCATAAAGAGATTTACAGAAGAAGTCAAGCGTTTATGCCATAAAGAAAAGAAAAATGATTTTGTGTCGGAAGCATACTTATTGACTTTAGGAAAGTTTATGAATATGTTTGCTGAGTTGGATGAATTGAAGAATATGAAATCTAGTGTTAGAAATGATTACGCTGCTTATCGAAGGTATGTACAGATTATATACGTAGATATGGCTTTGTATCGTTTGGTGGTAGAATACTAACACATGCGCTTTAGATCATAAAAGGTGTGTAATTGAGTCAAGTGGCGTTGTTTCTATACCGAAGTTGTACGTGACTTGATGAGTAGGGTCACGTGTCCAACCTCGTAGGTTTTTCAAAGGGTTATTCTTATATATTTATATTTTCAGAGCTGCTCAATTCCTGAAAGTAATGTCTGATCCAGTAGCATTACAAGAGTCCCAGACATTGTCTATAAATATGGCCACCCAGAACAAAATAAGAGATACACTGAAAGAAGAATTGGTGAAACTTCCCGGTTATGAAGAATTATTAGCTGATATTGTCAATATATGTTTAAGTATGTACGAAACTCGAATGTATCTTGAACCAGAGGAGAAATACATGTTAGTTAAGGTAAGAATTTATTTATGTGATTTTTATACTATCGGCAAGGCTAGGCAGAAGGCACCTGTCACAGACTTTGTCATACACAATTTATCACACAACATTTTTATTATAATATATACCTTGTGTGATAATTTGCACCTGACAGTGTCTGTGACTTGTACCTTAAGTTAAAGAAGCTAAATCGCTAACATTTGGGACCTAGAAATTGACAAAAGTAGGTCGCAACGCATATAATACTGTAATATGAATGTATGTAAACGGATTTACATTCAATGGTCTCCGTTTTTACTCCAATTTCAAATCAGTTATGTTCGGCGAAATAAGCCAGCAGTCTCAAGCGAGTGCAAATTTCTAGCGTCTGGTTATTCCAGTCTACATACGACGTTTGATTTGGTGCAGTGTATCTAGCCTCGTCCCTCGAGTCTCTTGATACAACTGGAGCTGAAACGCATTATGGTACACGATTTGTGTACAAATGGTAAAATGTTTATTTTGTCTTAAATATTGGATATCAAAAGCCCATCTTTTTCCGGTAATATCACAACATGAATGTTGATTTAATTTGACAAATAAATCGTGTTTTCAATGTTGAAGAGTTTGGATGATATTGAGTTAGAGACTTCGCTACTTTAATAAGTCTTGACTATCGGCTTATATTGCCTATTGGCCTTAATTGGTATCATCTGATAATTGGTAGATGTACATTGTTTCTCTCTATTGAACATCCTGCTCAGACAAAACTTGGAAGCTTAAACTGCAAACCTGGCCTCGAGTTCACAAAGTGTTTTTCAGATTTAAGTTAAGAATTTACTCAACTTTCATTCACGATTTATGAGAAATATCTTTGATCCACAAATACAAAACTTTGCACAGTTTATTAAAGGGCATAAAAGTCTATGTTTTAGTTGAAATAAGGCGAACAGTTTTGAGTAAATTCTTAACATAACTTAAGTCTGAGAATGCTTTGTAAACTCGGGGCCTGTTTTCTTATTCCATAAATTTGACTCGACATGTATATTTTTTGTTATAAATCTATATATTCTATATGTTGTTTAACTTTAAATTTTCTCTATGTCCAGATGAGTCTCTGTAAGTTCCTGTATCATATTCCTGATTTATGTATACCATGTTTAAACGTAGAATAAAGGGGAGGTTATTCAAAGTTTGTTTCTTTGTCTTGTACACTGATTTTGTGTTATTTGTACAGGTCATGGCGTTTGGTTTAAACTTGATGGATTCCACCATGTGTAATATTTACAGAATGGATGCCAAGAAGAGAATTAATATCACTAAAATTGATAAAATATTAAAGGTAGGTTCATTAAGAATTATTATCACTAAAATTGATAAGATAAGCCTATTGAAGTGATAAAAATTTTAACACTTGTATAGGAAGATAATACCATGTAAGTGTCTTGAAATAAATGTGTGATTGTGTTAAATTAATTTGCTATCAGGATTGAATTACAATTTCTACTGTGTGTTTTATTTTGATGACTTGATCATATTTAATCCTCATTTCAGACATTAGAGATCGTTCCCTTATATGGTGATATGCAGATAGCTCCATATCACTATATCAAATATTCACCGAACTATGATCCATCTAAATGGCCATTATGTGAATCCAGTCAGCCAAGTCCCCAGTCAAATCTATTGGCTAATTTAGAAGCAATACGTGAAGATCACATGGAATACATCAGTCAACTCTCTCGACACAGCAATGAGGTGAGTTTCTGAACCTGATGGGTATAACCATCTTTACGAAATACCAGGATTCCGATTAAAACAATAAAGATGCTGAAATAATTTTAAAAATACTAAGAATTAACTTGATTACAGCACACTGGTAGTAAATAGGGACAATTAGTTATTTAATTTTTTACAGTTCACGTCTATAATTTAACAAGTTTTCTGGGCCCAAAACATGGAAGAAACATATGTTAACCATTGTAGCACCATGGGTCTTCTGTCAGACGTGGAGAGTGGACGTTGTCAAACCGGTCGCCACATCCTACGTATGACTCATACATAATTCAGATGTTGGATTTTTTATTTGATAATTTGTAGGGGAAATTTATCAGCAAGTGGTAGGTATCCCCATGGGCACCTTTGCTTGCTGATTTGTTTCTCTATTCCTACGAAGCCGATTACATACAGGCACTCGTAAAATCAAATAAACGATTAGTCAGACATTTTAATTTCACTTATCGATATATCGATGATGTTCTATCACTGAATAATCCAAACTTTAGTGATTATGTAGAATTCATATATCCTGATGAGCTCGAAATTAAAAACACTACTGACAGTGACAATTACGCTTCCTACTTGGATCTGCGTCTCGATTTTGACAATTGCCATAAACTTAGTGTTAAATTGTACGATAAACATGATGACTTTGACTTTCCGATTGTTAACTTTCCATTTATTAGTAGAAACATTCCAATATCACCAGCTTATGGAGTGTTTGTGTCTCAACTAATTCGTTGCGCGAGAGCTTGTTCATTTTATTCTGATTTTTTAAGTAGATCGAGGCATTTGTCATCTAAGCTTCAACTACAGGGATACTTGCGAACTAAACTTATTAAAACCTTTAAAAAGTTTTATGGGCGTCATATTGACTTGATTGGTAAATATAACATGTCTCTCTCGGCTATTATTCTAGATATATTTAATTGACGCGTATACAATCTCCCTGATAATGTCTGTCTGCTACATCGTTAACACTGTTCATCACGTGCATTTTGCATACCGATAGTCCATTGGCCAATCACGCTATTTTACCGAGATTTCGCCTAATAGTTTGGATGCAGCTATGGCGGGTTTGGCGCCAGGCAGGGTAAGCTTACTCTTCCGGACACCTGTTACCACAGTTACCACGGTGAACAGTCCATATGCTGATTACACTATTTTGCCTTATTACACTATTTTGCCTATACCGTTTTTATTGGACTTCGAATTTTGTCTAATGGTTTGGATTGTTCGTACTTGGTTTTATTTTATTCTTACTACATATCTTAGTAGCCTTGTGATCGTCTAGAATTTGTCTGTAGCTGTCTTTGCTTCCCCTTCATGTTGTGTATTTACTTCTTACTGTGTTCTTAAGACGTTTGTCTTACCAGGAATAACAATGCAACAGTTCGTTTTTACATTTTATATATCATAGCTGCTTACATATGGTACAAAGCATAAAAGAATAAAGTCATTCTCTCAAACCTCATTCAGCCAGACTCGCTGGGTGAGTCTGCTGATAGAAATTGCTACATCTTTCCCCTTCTGGAATCAAGCTGCTGTCTAGGAACTCAGATGGTAATCTCTCCGGAATCCAATGAAATCTGGCTTAAAAGTTTGCCATGATTTCTTTTATAGTACCTATGAACAAAACGCACAAAACTAGTGCATTCATGACCCTGAACCTGTGCAATTACTGAAATGATTGGTCCCTTAAACCAAATGATGCAATAGGTAAATTTCCAATCACATGTATTTTGTTGACACATAGAACCAGCTATGTTTTGGCTCTATAACTCATTTTATGTGTTAATCTGTGACTTATATTTTTAGTGCACATTTAGTACAATTGGCCAAAGACATATAATGCCACCATTAATTATAAGAGCAAAAATTCTAGCAATATTAATACACCATGTATTTGTATATTTGTAGGCTATAACATCTATGAGAGATCAACCGAGAACAGATAAAGAAAATAAAGAATTGAGTGATTTAGCTCTACGTGGTTTACAACTTCTATCAGCTTGGACACAACAAGTTATGGAACTAGTGAGTATATCTTAATTTCTATATAAACATTGTTTTCTGTATTTAGCAGGTGGGCTGAAAAGAGCTGTTCTTAATTTACTAATGTCAAAAATCGCTCTCTTTAAAAAGCTTCCTCAGTTTGGAAAAGGAAGGGAATTTTATAAATCTTAATTAAGAGAGAAATTCAAGTCATTCACAAAACTTAGAACACAAGATTTAGAGTCAATATAGCCATAACTTCATTCAAAGTATCACAGTTCAACAATTTTGCAGTGACTTTTGACCATTTGTTAATGTAAGATAAGGTCCATATTTTTACGCCACAGACATTTTCATCCAAAAGACCATCTACGGGTCACAGTTTTTATCTAATTTTTACGGAACTTGAAATATAGGATTATTTCCTAAAGATCTTGGTTCCTTTCGATGGCCCCTGATTGTACGAAAAATCGTGTTTTTAGCTTTCCGATTTTGATGAAACTTGAAATGTATTTTTATAACCCAAAGATCTCAGTTCTTTTCGATATCCGTGCATATTGGACTGTAATTTCGTGGATGGTGGTCCCTGATTGTACGAAACATCTTGCAAAATGTTGGTGTATCTTGCATAGCAACCGCTTGTTTCTCCCTGGTATTGCACCGTGTAACCATAGAAAGAGAGAACTGAATCTTAGTGTCAAATTGAGTGAAGTATTATATATGTTGATGTTAAAACTCCATAGCTTCCTGTTCCATGTTCACAAATTATTTAAGATGGATGAGATGGTTATATTAAGATTTTTTTTGTTATTCAAATCTGTAGTGTAAAGTAAAACTAGAGTTCATTGTTTTTTTTGTAGTATTCCTGGAAATTGTTGAATCCTACTGATCCACATCAGAATCCAGATTGTCCACAAGAAGCTGAGGAGTATGAAAGGGTACGTATCATATTTTATATAACAGAGAGATCACAGAGAAGATATTATTCTTTAAATCATATAATGAATGAATGAAATGGGGTTTAATGTCATACTGTTCTCCACCAACCAGGCAAATGAAGTCAGGCATACGCCTTAAAGTGTGCTATGAGGGAAATTTTGCCCAGCCGGCCGCATACTAGACGTTGTTGTTTGCGAGACCCTCCATCCTGCACATCTGACAAGGGGCAACCAAGCTGGAAAATCCCAGCGAACTCTCTCAGCCAATATCGTGGTTGAATCCCAGACCCCTGATAAATGAGCCAGCCAAAATGTATTAAATATTGAAATATTGTTAATTGTACTGAAATGTTATAAACTGTACTGAATACTGAAATGTTATAAACTGTACTGAATATTGAAATATTATAAACTGTACTGAATATTGAAATATTGCTAAATGTACTGAATATCGAAATATTGTTAATTGTACTGAAATGTTACAAACTACTGAATATTGAAATATTATAAACTGTACTGAATATTGAAATATTATAAAATTCACTGAATATTGAAATATTATAAACTTTCATCTTTATAGGCTACTCGATATAATTATAGTAGTAGTGAGAAGTTTGCTCTGATAGAAGTTATTGCTATGATTAAAGGGCTACAACTCCTAATGGCACGGATGGAATCAGTATTCATGGATGCCATTAGAAAACACATTTATCAAGAGTTACAGGACTTTGTACAGTTATATTTACGTGATCCCTTACGTAAAGCTATTAAAAAGAAAAGTGATGTTATTAAAGGGTAGGTATTATCTTTTATCCGGATCACCTGCTGGACTGTAGATTTGATGGTGGAGGGGGTGCAGTGGTCTAAGGCTAACGTGTAAAAGTTTATTAAAAAGAAAAGTGATGTTATTAAAGGAAGCTATCAATTATCCATTTTCTGAATAGTCTGCTTAACTGTAGCTTTGAGGGTGTGTGTGTGTGTGTGGAGAGGGGGGGGGGCTTAGTTTTGATCCCCAGCTTATAGGGTCGTTTGCCCATCCTATGGGTTTGCTCTGGGTCCTCCATTTTTGAAATAGATTTGAACCATATGTTAGTCCAACAATGACCTAGTTTATGTTAAGAGGATGTTAAACCACACCTCTCTCTGTGTATTTTTATTGAACAATAAAATGATAAAGAAAAAATGATTGGCTTGAGTGTTGTACAAGCATGAGAGAATTTTTAACTTTTTTACCTGCCTTATGTTATAGTATTATCATGGCTGTAAGAGACACATGTGTTGATTGGTTGAGAGGCGTTGAACCTCATGATGACCCAGCTTTACGTGGTAAAAAAGATCCTGATGACGGATTCCTGATTAAAGTTCCAAGACGTAATGTTGGTCCATCAAGCACCCAGGTAATTAAACATAGATCATGGTCAATAACTACACACTACAATATAGCATATGATTTAGATCAGTCAGGGGATTCTAAGGAATAAATATTCAAACTAAAAGACAAGTATAGACTTCAGATAATACACACACAAAAAATAGTCTTGCCAAAAAGGATATGTGTTAGACAGGATTAAAATTGATTGATTCAAATCAAGAATTGGCTGAGCCTTAGGTTTTGTTTAAAGAGTGTCGCCCACAAGAAGAAGATGAGTAGTGATTGGTGTATAGCTGTATATAAACTAATTATGTTATTTTATTTAATTGTAGCTGTATATGGTTCGTACAATGTTAGAATCATTGACAGCCGAAAAAAGTGGTGGAAAGAAAACATTACGTAAAGATATGGACATACATCATATCTCCAGCATTGAGGCTTTTCACAAAACATCCTTCTTCTGGAATTATCTTATTAATTTTAACGGTGAGTCCATCTTGTTGAAATACAGATCTGACCAGATTGTCACTGGTCATATACATGTTGGTGAACTTGACTGAATGGCATTGCTATTGACATTTAGCTTTTGTTCTCTTCTGGTTCAAACAATATTTTATTCAATATAATTAGATATAATAATACAGGTGTACAGTGTAAAGGATACGAAAAGAAACAAAATGTTTTTGCTATGTGTAGATGTATCCCATTATCCATTGAACACCTTGCCAGCCACAATTGTTTACAGCTAATCGGAGCATTTAACGAACTCGCCAAAGTACTTTGAAATCGACTATACTGTCACATGACATCTCCAGTAAATTCAAATCGATTTGGCAAGTCGATAAAAAAGCCTTTAACATGTAAAAAAAACAGCTACTAACTTATTTGGGCGACGTTTCAAAGAGTATTCTCTCAACGTTAAAGCTTTTCCATTAGTATGTGTTATAGTCTATTGCTCTATCCAGTAACTAAATGCCACTAAAAGACTAACATATTTTATCACCTGATAATACATTCTACAGTAGAGATCGCTTGTGTGATAAATTTGATTGGTTAGTTAAAAAGGAACTACTTTTTTGTATTTTCAAAGAACAGTTCTTTTTTTTATTAAAAGTAACTTCTTTTTTTATTAAAAATGAATTATTTTTATTTAATTGACCTTGATGGAAACACTGGGTCAATATAAAGGACTTTGCAATGGTTGAATTGCTCTCAAATGATGTATCACTATGCTGTTATGTAATCAGGTTCAGTAAAAGTGAAATCTATAGTAAAGAATTATATTTATTTATTTGTGCATGTAAGAAAGGATTGGGTGATAAATAAAATCTCCTACTCGTCTTTTTTGATATCAAAAAATATCAACACTTTATCGACTTTTGTTGATATATTTTGATATCATAAAAGACTCGTAGGAGATTCTCTATATCAAATTGGGTGATAAATAAAATCTCCTACTCGTCTTTTTTGATATCAAAAAATATCAACACTTTATCGACTTTTGTTGATATTTTTTGATATCATAAAAGACTCGTAGGAGATTCTCTATATATGCTACATGATCTGTGTTTGAGATCTACACTATCATGTTGAGCTTGTGTATTTTATATTGTAGAAACTTTATTTAACTGCTGTGATCTGTCGCAGCTGTGGTATCGGGAATTTTATCTAGAATTAACCATGGGCAAAAGAATTCAGGTAATTGACTGTTTTTAACACAAGTAAAATTAGAACATTCTACATAATATCTTAGTTTGTCTAAAGTTGCATTATGCGAGAGCTAAATTTGTCTAGTGCAGGTCTTTTTTCTGACTTCAAATATTAAATTAATTACTATTTAGACATTTTTTTACAAGATAAGCCGATAATCAACTTACTAGATTATCGGATTGCTTACATATTGAGTCAATTAGATAGTGCTTGCAAAATCCTGAATACTGCCACTTATTGTGGGGACCCTGGTTCAACTGCGGCGTTGGCTCAATAGTAAATCTATCTCAATAGTAATTTTCTATCTTATTTTATATTCTAGTTCCCAATTGAGATGTCAATGCCATGGGTTTTAACAGATCATATTCTAGAAACTAAGGAACCTTCCATGATGGAGTAAGTATATACAGGCAGAAATCTTATGCTATTTCTGAAACCTTAAGATAAATCTGGATGCAGTTAAAAAAAAATTAAAATATTATTTGGGTTCATGATTGTGTATACAAAAATCTCCTGACACTTGGTGGGGGTGGGAGCGTCTCAAAACTTTGATATTATATAGACCTGTGTATTGTAATTTGTCCTTGTTTTTAAGTATTGTTCTTCATAGCTGTACAATATCTACACAATTACAATATGTGGTATGTAAAGGAGGAAATTTTGTAATTATTTTTTTGTAGGTATATTTTGTGAGAGGAAATTCTGTAATTATTTTTTTCTAGGTATATTTTGTGAGAGGTAACATTGTATTTTTTTTCCAGGTATATTTTGTACCCGTTAGATCTGTATAACGATAGTGCTCATTACGCTTTAACTAAATTCTGTCAACAATTTCTATATGATGAAGTCGAAGCTGAGGTAAGTCATAATATGTAGAAAAATCTAATTTATTAAATGTAATTTGTAGTTGAATTTGATTAGTGCATGTATGTCTCTGCTCAGCCAAATAAAAGTTAGATGTTATTTTGGTTTCGCTTATTCTGATGGTCACTCCATTTTAATCTAACAATGTGTGTAAGAAAAATGGATCTGTGACTACTGCATAATAATACAGTTGACCTGGATTAGACAACCAATCAAATCTCTAAATAATCAAAGCTTTTCAAAGGATTTTGTGAAATTGTTTGTATTCATGGGTTTTTATTGGTAAGTTAATCTGCAGCAACAGTTTGTATCATGGGTTTTGATTGGTAAGTTAATCTGCAGCAACAGTTTGTATCATGGGTTTTTATTGGTAAGTTAATTTGCAGCAACAGTTTGTGGTTTTGATCCTAGACTTGTATGTGGCAAGGAGTATTTAAAGAATATAATTATTTATTTGTAATTTCAGGTGAATCTATGTTTTGATCAGTTTGTTTATAAACTGAGTGATCAGATCTTTGCCTACTATAAACATCTGTCGGGCAGGTAATATATAATTTATAATTATATAACTTTACAGCCTGTTAGGATGGGGTTTTTTCCCAGTGTTTTATTGTTATAAGTTAAACCAAAAAATGCTTGGTACTAGTTCATTAGTGTCTGACATGTTATCAGATACATCTAAAATCTTTTCCAGCTTGATTCCCCCTTGTCAGTGATGCAGGACATAGGGCTTGACAAGGACAGCTGTCTGGTCGTTCGGATGGAATGAAAAACCGAGGTCCCGTGTACACATTGGCATGAAGTCGATATAAGAGTAGGCCGAAGCGCCGCTGTCCGAGTAAAAATTTCCCTCATAGCAGTAGGACATTAAACCTCATTTCATTTCATTTACATCTAAAATCATCATTTCCAGCCTCATTTACCAGTATATTAACTAATGTATACTCCCAGATATAAGAACAAAAAAAAAACCACCGGATTTAAATTGATTTTATGTGAATATGCAATAGTTTCTGCTGAATGATCTATATTATGATAATTGATTATTTACAGCATTATGTTAGATAAACGATTCCGTGCTGAATGTGCTAGTCAAGGTGCTAAAATAAATTATCCTGTAGCTAACAGATATCAAACACTGCTTAAACAAAGACATGTTTCCGTAAGTAGATATTTTTACTTGTACCAATATAGAATAAAATTATTTTCAAACTTGACGTTAATTTTCCAATTGTATCAGTGAAATTGATCATTATTTGTTTCTATGTAGACTAGTCAACTTAATTAATAATAGTATCTCATGTGTTTTTCAATTGAATGACAATTGTGGTTATATCAAATAGAGTCTAAGCACACGCTGTTATATGTCACTCAAGATGATTGGCTTTTTGCATGCAAACTTTTATACATACATATGGACAGATTCTGTGGTACCTGCACAAGAAAGGTTTGTTTCGCCTTTCATAAAGTAACAATATTTGAAAATGTTTTTTTATGATGTTTTATTGTGTTGATCTGTTTTCAGATATTGGGTCGATATATAGATTTAAATCGTTTAATTGGACAACGAATAAACGCAGCTCTACAGAAAGCTCTTGATGTTTCTATATCACGGTTTGAGGCTGGTGACATCACAGGAATAGTGGTGAGTTATTGCCCTTGTTAATGTATTATTGTTAATTAATAAAGATGCATTCTGTAAGATTTAGATAAAGAGCTGGCCATTCTTGCTATAATAGTTCAAAACTAGATAATGATAAATGAATATATGAAAAATTTCAGTCATATTACTTTCTGTACGAAGTTGTGAGTGTTTGAAGTTTTGACAAATTGTAGCATGAATTGTTTATTATTATTGTAGCAAATCTACTTGACAATCAAGACTAAGTCTCGGTCAATTATCTATTTTATTGTTAAACTCTTAAATGATGGTGGTGTTCTATTTATTTGAAATCAGAACCATTTGATGGCCCAGAGATTGATTATGGGCTTGTCATTTTAAATGTTTAAATAATAATTTATATTATATTTAACATGAAAAAGACATCCAATAGGCAGTTTTAGATCTTTATATACTATTCAAAAAAAGTAGGGGATATTTGATTTTTAAGTGTTATTAAAGTCACCTACTGAAACTGACGAAGAAACAAATGACAAAATGAAATGAAGTTCACATTCATCGATTTATTCCAAATGATCGTTAGACTAAGTAAGGCACAGACTGACCATTATAAGGGTAAAATGATACCTGGGGTCAAACAGCAAAGTTACCACAGCATCACAACCAAGTCAGTAACGGGTAAATCCTCCTCTGTTTGCCAAACAAGCATTGATCCGACGTGGCATACTCCTAATGAGACGTCTAAGTTCATTTTGGTCCAGATTGTCCCATTCCTGTGGCAACGCAGCAGCAAGTTCTTGGACATTGGCAGGACGTTGTTGACGTTGACGTAACCTCTGTCCAAGCATGTCCCAGACATGCTCGATGGGGGAGAGGTCGGGACTCAGTGCTGGCCAAGGTAATGTGGTGATGTTCTGTTGTTGGAGGTAACCTGTAACGATCCTGGCCCTGTGACATCTTGCGTTGTCATCCTGGAAGATGAAACGGCGGCCATGACGTCGTGCGAACGGCACAACATGGACTGCCAAGATGTTGTCCCGGTAGTACTGGCCTGTAACACGCCCTGCAACAACATGTAAAGCCGTTCTTCCAGCAACAGTGATGCCTCCCCACACCATAACAGAACCACCCCCAAATCGATCATGTCTGATGACGTTAACGTCTTGGAAGCGCTCGTTTCGACGACGCCACACCCTCCTACGTCTGTCCAAAAAATCAACAGTGAACCTTGACTCATCTGAAAACATCACATTGCTCCAGCGTCTATTATCCCAGTGTTGACGATCCCTACACCAACGACGTCTTGCCTGAATGTGATGATCTCTCAAACAAGGGATCACGCGAGGACGTCGGGCGCGAAGGTGACCCCTATGCAGTCGATTCCGAATCGTCTGGCCACTGATTTGCTGTGATGACACGATTTCTCAAGGCCAAGGTACGGAGGATAAATCGATCCTGGGCTTGAGTTGTCGCCCTTGGTCGACCTGAGCGTGGTCTGTCCTGTACAGATTGTGTATCACGGTATCTGGACCATAACCTGCTTATGACAGACTGAGATACATTCATCGTCCGCGCCACAACCGCCTGTGTTGTGCCAATCTGTAGCATGCCAAGGGCATGTAACCTTTCATTTTGGGTAAGCCGACGCATATCAAAATTTGTTTTCTGGTCACTAAAACAATTAAACTGATGTTTCCACCCTGGAATTCAATGCCACAATGACTGTAACATTCAAAGTCAGAGTCGTGCAAATCTTGGGTTGGACCCCCATGATGATCCCAAGCATCACCTGCATTCCATGCGGTAGCTATTGGTGCGTTTGGGCGTCACATGTAACTGGAAATGTTTCTTCTGTTAGGTTCTATAGTGACTTTTTTCGTAGTCATTTTCATATTTTAGTATTTTGCCCCCAAAATCAAATATCCCCTACTTTTTTTGAATAGTATATAATGCATCTTTAAGGTATATATGCTTGGATATTGGCATCCTTCAGTGCTCAAAACAAACAGTTACAGTTCTTAAGTTTAATAAGAATTATATCTTTATATTATTCTGGTTATAATATTTGTTGATTTGGACTACATGAAAATATAACTACTCCTTCATCCAGTCTGTACTGCTTACATTTTCAGGGATTGTTCATTTGGACATTCTAAATTTCCCAATCACAAATCATGGAGTTATGCCTCTTTTTTACGTTAATTCTTGTGAATAGATTTCTCAAGAAAGTATCCTCTTGAATTTTGAAATTTTTGGGACAGATTTCATCGTTTATTTGTTTAAACTCGCTTTACACTATTTTAGAGCTAGAATAACAGACGACTTTGCTGCTGGTGACCGTATTAGATGATTTGACAAGGCCATGTCTTTGTTTATATGAATAGACTATCACTTTAGATCACAACGTCTGTCATTGAGTCAAGTGGCAAGGAGTAGAATTGCTTTGCTAACCTCATGGGTTTCCTCCCACTGCAAAGATCCATACAAGCAAACAAATTATTTATATAAAATTGTTCCTCATGTTAGTGTTGGGTGGACATTAAAATGTCTCTTTCTCTTTTTATTTTTATTTTAACAGGAGTTGGAAGGTTTGGTAGAATGTAATAGATTAACACATAAACTACTCAGTAAATATTTATCACTAAATGATTTCGACGCCATGATGCGTGAAGCTAACCATAATGTATCAGCACCATATGGAAGGATAACTCTACATGTGTTCTGGGAGTTAAATTACGATTTCTTGCCAAATTATTGTTATAATGCAGCCACCAATAGGTAAGTTTTTTTAGTTAATTTTCAACATTTAACCAATCCTTTAATTTTCAGCTCCAGTTAGGCTAATGAATATAGGCATATGCCATGCCATGTGCTTTGAGAGAATTTTGTCCAGACAGTGGACATTCCAACTATCAAGGGTTCTTCTTATGTACACACCAACATAATTCATTGAAAAGTCATTTAATTTCTATACTATTAAAAGAAAACGAAGGCTATATGTACTTGGAGATACAGATTTTGATACAGAAACCCATGGAATACCGAGTGGTCTACACCATTGTGCTACAAGGGCCTCACTCATGAAAAATTTAAACCAACCAAAATATTTAAAGGATGCAGTCATTTCATTGGTAGAGAGTTATAATCCTTCTGGCCAATGAATGAGCTGTATCCTTTAAATATTTTAGTTTTTGTGAATATGGCGGCCAAGGTCTTCTGTCTATTCTGAAATGCGGTCCCTTGTACAGTTGTACGTAGAAAGTACCATGGTTACCGACCTGGCCTTGTGGTATTTCTCCAGTGTCCTCCCATTGCTAAAATATTCTCAGATTCAAGTAAAATTATAATTGTTATGATTATTGTAGGTTTGTAAAGACGAAGTTACCATTTGTAACTGATGCTAAAAGAGATAAAGCTCCTAATCCTTCACCACATTATATCTGGGGTACAAAGGTAAACAAATTACTATTTAGTATGTGTTCATTGTCAAATTAAAGTGTAATGGAAAACTGGTAAAACCTTAAATTTTAATTGCTAATATCTCGGTTCAGAGTGGACAGGCCTGGAATTAACGGTTTTAGATGTACCTCACAAAATGTCACACTAATGAAATAGTACCTGACATTTTCAACTTAGTGCCAGACATATATTAATCATATCAATAAAAAATACAAATCGGTGCCGGACAAAGCCTGAATCTGTGCCTGACATTGTCTGTGGAGCAATTTAACTGAAATTTTCAGCATATTCTATTTACGTTATCTATATTTTAACTATTATATCGAGAACTGTGAGCTCTTTATCTATTCTTACATAATGCCACTTTAAGCTTTTATATTGATCAGGGAACTTATTCATGAAAACATAAACTAAAATATTTTAACGATACTGTCATTTCATTCGTTGAGGTTTGAATCCTAGTCCAAATTTGAGCCCTTATCCAATGAAATGGCTGCATTCTTAAAATGTTTTAATTTATCTTTATTGAACAAAGCCCTGGGGCCTGTTTCACGAAATTTTAACTAAGATAAAATCCAAATTTTAGTAATTTGATTGGATAATACTAGATTGATTTTAGTGCTTAGCCAATCAAAATTGAAGTATCTACTAAAATTTGGATTTTATCTTTAGTTAAAATTTCGTGAAACAGGGCCCTGGGTTGTTATTTATTTGCGTAAACGATTTAACATGAATGTTTGTATATTTTTCATAAGATTACTCAATATATCTTTAAATCTGTTTCAGAATTTAACAACAGCATACAGTACTATTTATAGCTTATACACACAGTTTGTTGGTCCGCCTCATTTTCATTCTATTGTACGTCTGCTGGGTTACCAGGGTATCGCCGTGGTAATAGAAGAACTCCTTAAAACTATTGAAGGATTTGTAAGTTTATTAGCTTTAGAATTTTAACATATTGATTTAATTGTCCATTTCACAGGGCCAGCCCCTGTCTATATCTACCGCAATGAGTGGTTTTTCCCAGTAAATTCCCTCTCTACGAGTTATTGTTCATTGTTAACACCCTAAAGAATAAATTATTAATACCAGCCTCCATTCTTGTCAATATGATTAACACAGATCTGATTAACTTGTTTAATGAAATTGAAATAAGATTGTTTAGTCAAATTTATTAAAAGAATAAAGAAAGCCAATTACTTTATAAAGAATGTTTTAATAATTTATTCCAGTTAAAGGGTACAACTCAGGAATATGTAAAGATGTTGATGAAAGTTATGCCACCTACATGTAAATTACTTAGATTTGATTACGGATCACCAGGTAAAATATCTAAAAATGTATTAAAAAGAATATTCTTATAATAGTAATAGTTTCTATTAAATGTATATTAAAAATAAACTGAAAAGACTGAAAGGCAGGTTTCAATATAAGGGAATGGACATGGTTTCCAACAGTTTTATAGCAAAGCCCTTTTAGTATAGCATATGGTGGACCCACTAAAACAAAGGTTATATGATGTGAACACCAATAACCCCTTCATATAAAGGAATCGAAATCTGTCTGCATTTTCAAAACCAGATAAAAAACACATCTGTACATACAACACTATGGATAAATTTGGAACTCCTGATACAAGTGTTTTTTGGGCTATATAAATTAGGATGTCTATATCGAATTCACAGAGTATTTCTATTAATGATGTTTTATTCAAGGTGTGATGGCATATTATAATGCCCAGCTAGTAGATCTGATACAGTATCCTGATCTGAGAACTGAAGTCTTCCAGAGTTTCAGAGAAATAGGAAACGCCATTCTATTTACAGTTTTATTAGAACAAGCTATGGTAAGTTTTATTATCAATATTTCTATATTTTGTATAAATCAATATTTTTGAAAAAATAATACCTAAATTTTCTAACATTGCTAATGAATTGTAAGAATAAAAAATTATAGTTTTTAACATTATAAATGTTCATGAGACAGATTTGATTGTTGTCTCTGTAGTTACAGCTATAGAGATAATCTAAACATTGATGTGTAATAATGACCTGTACCATGTTGTACAAATGATACAAACACACAGATTTGATTGTTGTCTCTGTAGTTACAGCTGACAGGTATACCAGTTATAGGGTTAATCTAAACAATGATGTGTAATGACCTGCACCATGTTGCACAAATGATACAAACACACAAGGCCATACCCAAAAAAAATATTCTGGTTTGCAGTTACTCAGGTGTCACTTAAAAAGGGATGCATGAACAGTTATTATTTTAAAACAAAAAAAAATATCATTAATTGCCTATGTAAATATTTCCCTCAGTTACAGGAAGCAAAAATTTGAAGTGTACAAAACCCTGTTAAATGTTACTGGCAATCATAAATGACACTGTTTAATCATACATTCCGAAAAACAGCATGCTGAGATAAATATAGTGTCTTGAAATGTGATCTTTGTAAGAAGTCATTTAACCTAGTAGTGACTTGATCCTTTGACAAACTAAAAACACAAAACTTAAAAACCTCCCTCCTGCATCATATTCTTTTGAAGGATTGGTTTTTTTTGTATGGCCTAATAGAGCTATGGGTCCATAAACTAATACTGCTCTTTTGATAGTGTCTGACAAGGACAGCTGTCTAGTTGTTTGGATGGGACAAAAAACCAACGTCCCTTGTATACCCGTCTTCATTAGCTCAGTTGGAGCAGAACAGTAGGACCTTAAAGCCCATTTCATTTCAATTTCTTTTGATAGTATTACATCATCTAGTTAGGGCTACAGAGCAGGCTTGTAGGGGGTAGAGGGGTCTAAGATCACAAAGCCAGTCATTAAGTCAAGTAACATAAACAATAATATCTGTCTATCTCGGGAGTGTATCCCTGCGCCATAGGGATACACTCGAGTGAACCATTGAATAACCCGAGCGATATTCAATGGTCATTGAGTTCTGTTTTTATTCTATAACTACATGCAAATCTCAAAATACACTGTACTATCCAGATTATCAAAAAAAAAGATCAGCAGCAATAATGTTAATATTCATAATCATATATAGGTTCCGCCCTTTTTTCTTTCGTTTTAAAAAAATTGTAGTTGCCTAGTGGCGACGGCATTACAGTTTGACGTAATTCTGAAAGTGAGGTCATTCTGGACAAAAGTAGTACGTGTCCTAGCCATTGAATACAACCATAGGTTATTCTATGGCTGTATTCAATGGCTGTATTCAATGAAATTTGCTTGTATTTGCATGTAGTTATAGAATAATAATATATCTACAAATTACACAACTGATTTTAATCACACTACATGTTACACGTTTTAACAGTTGTCTGACTGACACAATTCTTTAAAGCCAATAATTAACACAACAAAATCAAAATACCAACTCTAGATAATTTCACGGCTTGGATTCAGTCAGTTTTAAAAAAGGCCCATCAATTTGGTTCACCACAAATAAAGATGGCAGAGGGTTTGTAAATGGAAAGAAGCAAAGATTGATGGAATTTTCAACTTGTTTATATTTTAGTAAATAATAAACGGAATTGAAACATTTTTAGAGAATCAACTTTCACAATATTGTAATATTCAAGGGATTCTATAGCGCTAATATCATGCTCAGAGCCTTTAATGGAAATTTCTCCTGAATTTAAGTAATTTAGCCCCAGCTTGACGTACTTCAGTCTGTCTGAAACCATAAATTAAAGGATTCAGTAGAGAGTTAAACTGAGTTATTACTGCTAAACAATAAACATAGTCAGTATTGTAATGTCCTCGAAATGCCAACAAATAGATCAGAAACGGCATCCAGCAAATATAGAAAGATCCCAGTATTATTCCAGCAGTTTTAATCGCTTTAAAAGATGGATGATTTGCGTGGAAACTTTTCATGATTGATTTGGGGTTCTTTTGCGCTTTGTTAGATTTTATTACCCCTGAAGATGTTGGTTTCTTGGTGAAGGTAATTTTGAAGCAAGTTTCTATATTCTGTCCTGTTTGAAGCAACTGCTCCACATGGTTTGGTTGTTCTTCAAAAGCTTGGTGGATATTCACACTAGCAGAAGTTTGAGTCAAACTTTGACTGAATTTTTGCGATCTGTTGTCATCAACTTCTGGTAGAGTTGAAGTTTCTTGTACTGTAAATGACGTGATTTCCATTTGTTTGTCATCCAGAAATGCTGGGTTAATGTTGGTACTAAGAGATGCTTGAACTGACTTTCTAGAACTTTGACTGGAATTCTGCGATCTTTTATCCTCAATATCTTGTTGACTGGATTTACTTGAAGTTTCTGCCACTGTAAATGACATTATGCTACTTTCCGACTTGAATGCTGGGTTAATGTTGGTACAAAGAGATGCTGGAACTGACTTTCTAGAACTTTCAGTGGTTTCCAAACTTTTTTTGTCCTGGCCCCGAATCTGTTTTGTAGCATTTTGTTGAATATTAATTCGTCTGTTGTGACGATAAGCCACAAGTAAAATTTTTACGTACATGTATAGTATCCCAGCTGCCGTGATAAAACAAGAGCTACTCCAAAATAACATGTAATCATAATCTATCAGATGGGTCAACTGACAGACGCCTTTATACGTATTACGAAAAATCGGTAGAATTCCAGCGAGAAACGACATAATCCACGTAATGATCACAGCAACGACAGCTCTCTTCTCATTCAGAATAATATGGTATCTGTACGTGTGCACAACAGCGATATAACGATCCAGGGCAATGAGAGTGAGGCTCAATAAGCTAGACATCAGGCTACAAAACATCAACACGGGTCCGTCAAAAATCATACACAGATAAAAATTTGATCGTTTCATCGAGTAGAAAGAATAATCCGTCACATCCAGCTGAAACTTCGAACGTAGCAAAATATGATTCCATATGGATATATAAAGAAATATTATGCCGATCAAAATGTCGGAAAATGCTAAACTCAACATCAAGATATTGGTGATTGTCAATAGATGTTTGTTTTTAAGAAATATTATGATAATAAACATATTACTTATTATGATACATACACTGGTGATGATTGATATCCAGTAGATGACGTGAATCAATTCATGTTTATTAAAACAATCATGTTCACTGGCATGACTTAATAACTTTTCATAATGACCTTGTGACCATCCAAATCTGGTCAGGTTGATTTGATTAACGTGAAGCTCCTTACAGAACATCATCCATTTTGTGATGAGCTGTTGTGAATCATTAGTTGAAAGAAAGTCAATATCATGTCTGGAGATGTTGTCCACAGTTTCCATTTTGGTCGTAAAGCTAATTGGAGTGCACTTTGTCTCTTAGATTAGTTTTTCTTATAGTCGAGCTGCCATAGTCCATTTATAATGAATCGCATTAAGGAATAGTTAAACAATATAGACATAGATTTTTTGCAGTATATGAACGGAACAATTTGAAATACAACTGTGAAATAATATGATATTATCAATAGTCCATTTATATTAAATCACATTAAGGAATTGTCATTGTATCTACGAGAAATAGACACAATCATAGTACTAAATAGATTGCCTGTTGCATATGAACGGAATAAATTTGAAATAACATGATATTATTAATAGTCCATTTCTATTAAATCACAGTAAGAAATAGTCATCGTATCTACGAGAAATAGACACCATCCTGGTACTTAATAGATTGCTTGCAGCATGTGAAAGAAACAAGTTTACAATACAAACTGTGGAATAACATGATATTATCAATATTTTTGTTATCATTCTTAATTGTTATGGTGTTTAAAGAGGAAATGTCACATACGGTAGTTGCCGTAATCTCACATCACAACATATTCACATATTGTAGCCTATGCCGAGGTATACACATGTCTTATCATTGGTTAAAAGAAAGATTAACCATTACCTTACTTTTGAAGAATGCAGAATGTGTTGTTGTTGACTGGTTGATTGACGTGTGTCTTATGATTGGTTGAAAGGAAGATTAACCATTACCTTACGTTTCAAGAATGCAGAATGTCTTGTTGTTGGCTGGTCAATGGAGACAAAATTATCCAAAAGTCATGCATGAATGTTGTAGTACCACACCCAGAAAACTAGCTAGGTATATAGTAGTTATCAATATTGGGGATAAATTGGGACAGATCAATGAAGACGATCTGAGATTTAATAAATCAGTCACAGATATGATGTGTTATATTAAAAATGTGCAGACAGATCATGAAAAAGTATTTTTAAAATAGCTAGCACTATTTAATTGTCCCCTTTGCCTTTCGAAGAAAGCAGGGGTGTATTGAAATGGGTTTAAACACGATGCACACTTTATTTAAACACGATGACCCTGTTTCTAATTGAGATAAAATGTTCAACTTGGTGAAGATGTTCTTGACAGAGTTTGGTGATATCATTATCCACCTAGGTTAACCAGAGATGTTGATGCTCTGGAAGACAGCAACTTTTATGACAGTAACTTTTATTTGTAATGCAGTGAGAGTGATGAAACTTGTTTTATTGTCTCATCAGATCAATATTTTGACTTAGTTAGATAATGATCAAGTTCTGCTCAGGTTAAGCAGTGTGATAAGCAGTTTGATTTCTCGATGCTATGGAACACAAAAACTTTGATTCTAATTGAGTCTAGAGTGATAAAACTTGGTGTAGATGTTCATTGACTGAGATTAATGATGAGCATTTTCTGCTTAGGCTAAGCAGAGAAAAGCAATTTGTTTGACCAAGAATAGTAAACCAAAAAACAACTCTTTCAAGATACAACAGTTCACTTAGTTCAGTTTCTTCATCAAAATTAAGTTTCTTACCTCAATCAAATCAGGAGGGGTGTGGGGATGGGGCTGAATGGTTAACACATGCTTGGTTTCGATTTCCTGCTTCTACGTGGCAAGGAGTATGGTTGCCTGCCCAACCTCATGGGTTTTCTCAGGGTCTTCTGGTTTCCTCCCACTGCTAAACACTTGTACATGCAAGCAAATTATTGAAATAAAATTGTACCATGTTAGTCCCGAAATGACCTAGATTGTGTGAGTGGACATTAAACGTTAAATTTAAGTTAAATTAAACTTTGTAAACAAACCAACTTCTGCTTGATGTTTCCAAACAAAAATTTAATTGCAAAGAGCTTGACCCATTAGATATCAGATCAACCCAAAAAATAATTTGTCTTTTTTTTTTTTTTGTACATGTGGGGAGGGTGGGGGAGGGTAGGGGGAAGTCTCACATGTGTGCTTTGGGTCATAAGGTCTGTCACTGAGTCAAATGAAGTGGTTTCAATCCCAAGCTTGTACATGACAAAGAGTAGGATCAATTGCCCAACCTCATGGGTTTTGTACTTAAAGGAGCTAAATCGTTAATATTTGGGACCTAAAATTTGAGACAAATGGGTCGTAGCGCATAAAGTAATGTAATATATAAATATATAAACTTTTTTTGAATTCAATCGTTTCCATTTTTACTCTTTCAAATCAATTATTTCTCAGTCGAATGACAATCTCTACGACTCTAGCGTCTGGTTATTCACTCTACACCGGTAGTATTTATTGCGCATGCTCTCCAGATTAGAATATGGCATCACGCATTATGAAACGCATTATAGTACACTATTCATGTACCAATGGTAAAATGTTTATTTTGTCTTAAATATTGGATATCAGAAGTCCATCTTTTCCTGTTAAGATCACATCATCAATGTTGATTTAAATTGATAAATAACTTGTGTTTTTAATGTCGAAGACTGTGGACGATATTGAGTTAGAGACATAGCTACTTTAATATAAGAGGTTTACCGCCTTTAAGTTTAATGGGAACGTTTGTTGCTACTTAAAGATAAGCATTGTGTTTTAATGGTGGACTGTATATAAATTCTCTGGTAGTCGATCTGATAATACAATCTTGTTGGCACATTGATCTGTGAATACAATCTTGTTCGCACATTGCAGTATAATGAATGATTAGGTCAGTAATACTGTATGCTGTGTCAATAGTTAGCTAATTCTATTATCGATTATTTAATCTCTATAGCCATTATTCAATCAAAAATAAATGGAAACTGATAAAATCATTTGTAACTAAGGATATGTTGTCAAGTTGTTAGAAATCTGGGGATTTTTTTTATATATCAAAGATGGAGGATTTTCTCTTGAATTTTATTCATTTTTTTAAAACCTATCTGTTTCTATGTTCTAATAAAACATAATGATGACATCTACTCTAAGAGTTCCACCAATTTACATATTGGCTTGCATATAAAAGTTGATTAGAAATGGAAGGAAAGTACGTAGACATGCCACTGTCTGGGCAAAATTCTTGTAACTCGCATTGCACACATAACAATAGACATAAAAACTAAACATACATTATACAAGAGCTAAATCTGCCTATTGCAGGTCTTTCTTTAGGCCTGAAATGTTATCTAAATTATTAATTAGACATTAATTAACTTGTCCAGATGATGATAACTCTCGATGCCATCGCTAGCCTGTGATATTTAGTGTTTTGGAATACATTTTATGAAAAATAATTACACGTAAAAATGGATGATCGAGTCATTGTTTTCTTAAGTACTGACTTTAGTAATGATGATTGAGGCTTAGCCTAAAATTCAATCGCTAATATCTCGGTCCAGCATATTCTGTTTACATTATCTATTTTTTTTTAACTATTATGGCGAGAACTGTCAACTCTTGATCTAATCTCCCATAATGCCCCATATGTTTATCTCACAATATCCAAAGTATTGAATTCCATTGATATTTCCAGAGAAAAATTATACGGTTTAAACAAATAAGAAAACTATTTATAGATAATGAAATCATCTGTAATTTAAGATAGCTACATCCTATCTATATTAGTTACGGTAGAATATGTTTGATTACCTGTCCATTAGTAAATAGTACTCGACAGACACAAAACAAACTAAAACCCATTAACACTAGGTAACATTAGTGCAGCAAAATCAAACCACACATAAACAGCCAGAAATCCTGAAGACAAACACATGGACCTGCACATTACACACATTTATTCCAAGTATTAAACAATGAAATAAGTATCAAATCAAGTGAATAGATTTAGTACTAATTTCTTTATGGTTGTTAATTGAAATCTTCATGCTGGCCGTTAAAGGTACATGAATAAACACCCCTTTCCCTGTATCACCTAGTTATTTATTTCAAGTTTACCCATCATGTTGGTCTCGTGGTTCCGCATCCTGAAAAAATATTAAGGTCACCTGCAGATTTTGTCAAGGTCACAAGATTGCCGAGGATTGTGGGTTAATTCTAGGGTTAGGGTTAGCCCTAGCCCTGTTTACATCTCAAGGCATTGACGAAATCTGCAGGTGCCCTTAATATTGAGATCTAAGCGTCTATTATACAAAATGTCATCATTATTACATTCATCAAATACAAAACCCTGACCATAATGAAATAATGACTTACCATATGTTAATTCAGAAATCTCGAGTTGTGTTCAATTATCCTTCAACCCAATCTCTGTTTTGATATTCTATTACATGTATTTGTTTATTTCAGACTCAAGCTGAAGTTTGTGATTTAAAGCATGCTGCACCTTTTCAAAATATTATCCCTAAACCTCACATTCCTATAAAAGGTTGGTATATATTACAACATTAAATACTATTTATATGAACAAAATTTATGATCTTTTAAAAGAATATGATCTGAGAGAAAAAAACTTCAATGGTTAAAAGACTGTAGTACCAGTTCAGATGTAACAGGTGACAGGTTTCAATTCTATGGAATACAATTACTGTTTATTACTGAGCAAAATGATGACCAGTCTTTATCAAGTCTTTATCAAGTCTTTATCAAGTCTTTATATTGTGTAATTGCTTGATAAATGTGATAATAGCTCTTTAATTCGGTAGGGGAAGGGGCTTAGATCGAAAGTGTCATCGTTTCAAACCAAGCTTGTACGTGACAAGGAGTCGAAGGAGTAGGGTAGCCTGCCAAACTTATGGGTTTTGTCGTTAAGGCCTTTGGTTACTATACACTGCTATGGTAATCCCATGCACAAGCAAATTATTGAAAAATGAAACTGTACCATCTTTAGGTCCTGAAATGGCCTACCTTATGATGAGTTGATCTCTTGAATTCAGGCTTTAATTGTCCCAAACTATTGTATGTATAATTCATAATTCATTTCTACTAGAATTTCGTCAAGTTGGTAATATATTTATAAAACTTATTTATTATTTTTAAAACTTTTTATTCATTTACTTACAGAGGGAGATAATCGTAAAGATAAAGAATCTGAATTAAAGTCATTTATGAAACAGTTAGAGAAGAAATATGCTGCTTTACAAGTTGTTTCCGTTATAAAGAAACTGGGCAACCAAACAGTAAGTAAAACTGGGATTTTTGGACAAACAGAATCTTGAACAGGAATTGTTTTTAAGGGTGTATGGCTCTATTCTTTGGAACCTTAAAATAGACGGAAATTGGTCTGAAAGCTCATATTAATATACTATTCAAAAAAAGTAGGGGATATTTGATTTTGGGGGCATAATACTAAAATATGCAAATGACTACGAAAAAAGTCACTCTAGAACCTAACAGAAGAAACATTTCCAGTTACATGTGACGCCCAAACGCACCAATAGCTACCGCATGGAATGCAGGTGATGCTTGGGATCATCATGGGGGTCCAACCCAAGATTTGCACGACTCTGACTTTGAATGTTACAGTCATTGTGGCATTGAATTCCAGGGTGGAAACATCAGTTTAATTGTTTTAGTGACCAGAAAACAAATTTTGATATGCGTCGGCTTACCCAAAATGAAAGGTTACGTGCCCTTGGCATGCTACAGATCGGCACAACACAGGCGGTTGTGGCGCGGACGATGAATGTTTCTCAGTCTGTCATAAGCAGGCTATGGTCCAGATACCGTGATACACAATCTGTACAGGACAGACCACGCTCAGGTCGACCAAGGGCGACAACTCAAGCCCAGGATCGATTTATCCGTACCTTGGCCTTGAGAAATCGTGTCATCACAGCAAATCAGATCAGCGCTCGTCTTCAAACAGACACTGGTGTGAGAGTGAGTGGCCAGACGATTCGGAATCGACTGCATAGGGGTCACCTTCGCGCCCGACGTCCTCGCGTGATCCCTTGTTCGAGAGATCATCACATTCAGGCAAGACGTCGTTGGTGTAGGGATCGTCAACACTGGGATAATCGACGCTGGAGCAATGTGATGTTTTCAGATGAGTCAAGGTTCACTGTTGATTTTTTGGACAGACGTAGGAGGGTGTGGCGTCGTCGAAACGAGCGCTTCCAAGACGTTAACGTCATCAGACATGATCGATTTGGGGGTGGTTCTGTTATGGTGTGGGGAGGCATCACTGTTGCTGGAAGAACGGCTTTACATGTTGTTGCAGGGCGTGTTACAGGCCAGTACTACCGGGACAACATCTTGGCAGTCCATGTTGTGCCGTTCGCACGACGTCATGGCCGCCGTTTCATCTTCCAGGATGACAACGCAAGATGTCACAGGGCCAGGATCGTTACAGGTTACCTCCAACAACAGAACATCACCACATTACCTTGGCCAGCACTGAGTCCCGACCTCTCCCCCATCGAGCATGTCTGGGACATGCTTGGACAGAGGTTACGTCAACGTCAACAACGTCCTGCCAATGTCCAAGAACTTGCTGCTGCGTTGCAACAGGAATGGGACAATCTGGACCAAAATGACCTTAGACGTCTCATTAGGAGTATGCCACGTCGGATCAATGCTTGTTTGGCAAACAGAGGAGGATTTACCCGTTACTGACTTGGTTGTGATGCTGTGGTAACTTTGCTGTTTGACCCCGGGTATCATTTTACCCTTATAATGGTCAGTCTGTGCCTTACTTAGTCTAACGATCATTTGGAATAAATCGATGAATGTGAACTTCATTTCATTTTGTCATTTGTTTCTTCGTCAGTTTCATTAGGTGACTTTAATAACACTTAAAAATCAAATATCCCCTACTTTTTTTGAATAGTATATAAATGTATTTAAAGTGATTCATATTCAATTTTAAAAAGAATATTGTTATTTATAATCAATTATGTTCGGTGAATCAGTCCAAATTGAACGACTGTTGTTTACACCCGCTTAGTCCATTCTACACGTTTTTTTTTTATTATTATTTTGTCATTCGTGAATCAGCCATTACTAATTACTTCACATTGAAATGAACCAATATTGAATTCTAATTCATGCTTTTAATTTCAAATATTATGTACAATCTTGGAATTAGCTCCTTTGATTGTTACTTTGAATCGGTTTAAATTTTCTATTTATGTAGATAATTTATGGATAAGGCCAAACTAATTTCAAATTTATGGGAGAAATGAAATGAAATGAAATGAAATGGGGTTTAACGTCCTACTGTTCTGCTCCTAACCTGGGCTAATGAAGACGGGCATACGCCATACAGTGTGCTATGAGGGAAATTTTGCCCGGACAGCGGCACTACGGCCTACTCTTATATCGAATTCCAACTGCCAAGGGATCTTTTACGTGCACGCCAATGTGTACACGGGACCTCGGTTTTTCGTCCCATCCGAACGACTAGACAGCTTTCCTTGTCAGCCCCTCCGTCCTGCATCACTGACAAGGGGGAACCACGCCGGAAAATCTGGATGAACTTTCTCGGCCAATGCAGGGATCGAACACCCGACCTCCAGGCTAGCGAGCTAGCATCTTACCCACTTAGCCACGTGATCCCCATTTATGGGAGAGGCCTCATAAGTGGAATAGACTAGAGCCACTCTTCGTCTAAATCCAGCAATGTATAAACCTTGTTTATATTTTATATTATTAAACCTTGTTTATATTTTATATTATTAAACATTGTTTATATTTTATATTATTAAACATTGTTTATATTTTATATTATCAAAGCTTGTTTATATTTTATATTATTATTAAACATTGTTTATATTTTATATTATTAAAAATTGATTATATTTTATAGTATTAAACCTTGTTTATATTTTTTATTATTATACCTTGTTTATATTTTATATTTATAGCAAGCTGATATTGCAGCAGAAGGTGATTTATTAACAAGAGAAAGACTATGTTGTGGTCTGTCTATGTTTGAGATAGTATTGACTAGGATGAAATCATTTCTACAAGATTCTCTATGGCATGGTGAACCACCTGCTAATGGTGTCATAAACATTGACAAGTCAACAGAATTTCATAGACTGTGGAGTGCTGTACAGTTTGTATTCTGTATGCCTATTGGTGAAAACGAGTTCACTATTGAGTAAGTACTGATTATTTGTGATATTTCCATCAATGAAAAATTTAAATTTCCTGAAGCTAAACGAGCTGTTGAAACCTCTATGATTTAGTTCCAAATAAAGTCTAGAAAATTGATTATTTTTATTTTTTATGGGGCAAGCTCTATATGATTTAATTTTTGTTTCAAAATATCAAGTGGGAGTTATTGTTGGTGTTTGTGTTCAATAGTAGAACACAATATCTGTTATATCTCAAAATTGACTCTATCCATGAACATAGACTTTTTGACACACATCAAATTGAATTAAATCAACACTTTTCTATTTTAGCAAGTCAAAAATGTCTAATCGCTTTAAAATTTTCTAAATAACAATTGTGGTTATTTTATGTTTTATTTACACATATATATTTTGTATTTTACAGAGAATTATTTGGTGAAGGTTTAAACTGGGCTGGTTGTTCTATTATTATGTTACTAGGACAACAGAGAAGATTTGAAGCTCTAGATTTCTGTTATCATATATTAAAAGTCAATAGAGTTGATATGAAAGATGAAAATGTTAAAGGAATTGTAAGTTGTTTATTTAGGAACAATCCCCAATTATAACCAGTTATCATTCCTGGACATATATATGTTTAGTACTGAATGCTCCAACGCTTTCTCTTAGCCATGGTAGTTCAGTGGTCATGTGACGTGCTGACTCACTAATTAGGATGTCCTGAATTTGGTGCCGATGTGGTCTGTGATTTTCTAGTCCAGTTGTTCAAATATGACAAAAATCAGAGGTCCTGTGTACAACTTTGGCAGTGCGTTTGTAAAAAAAGTAATCTAGCTGTTCGGATGAGATGGAAAACTGGTCCACTCATTTACTTGGTGGCTTGCATGTAAAAAAAACTTGACAGTTGGAATTCAATGAGGTATAGTCGGAAAGTATGGTATGGGCAAAATTCCCTTATAGGTTTAGTGTTCGAGTGGTCCAACCCATCCGCTTTAAATCATAAGGTCTGTCAATGAGTCAAGTGGTATGGTTTCAATCCTAAGCTTGTACATGACGAGAAGGGTCGTCTGTCCAACCTCATGTTAACCATATGTTAGTTTCGAAATGACCTAGTTTGTTTCAAGTGGACATTAAACTCCACCTTGTATTGCCTCATCAGAAAACTGAAACTTAGTACTTAATATATGGAACAGTTTTAGCCAGATTGAATTGTATGAAATTAATACTTAAATAGTTTCATCTTCAAACAAAATTATATTTTAATTGATATATATATATATTTTTTTCGATGTTTTTATAGCAACTAAAGAAAATGGTGGACAGAATACGTAAATTTCAGATTTTGAACAATCAGATATTTTCTGTTTTGAATAAGTATATGAAGACAACAGATGCCGAGAGTATGCCTGTAGAACATGTCCGCTGTTTTCCTCCACCCATACATCAGTCATTAGCTACAACTATATAGACACTATCACTCATCATTACACCAAACACCAGATGAAAATGATACTGCTATTCAACTCAAATAACATTCTTTTTACACTCTTATCTTTAATTATTTACTTTAATTATTTACCTTAATGTATATTCTGATATATTTTACCTATACAGCCACTCAAGGGAATTGTCATGCTTGACCTCTTAATAAAATCTCAGTGTTTGATAGTGCCGATATCAAGTAAAACATCGATATTCGATTGATCCATCAGTAGATTTGGCAGGTTATGGACAAGTAGTCCTTGTATTATCACTAATTGTAAACCATCAGGATTAACTATCCATTGTATCAATTGTATTTTTTATTTCCCATATTTAAGAAAAAATTTCCTACAAATTATTTTATATTCATTAAAACCATCTTATGTTGTCAGTATAAAGAAATATTTATTGTTATTTTTTGTACTATATTGCATGTAGATATTTATTAATTAGAAGAAAATCAATCAGTCTATGTTGATGTAATGGAAATTTAACCTCTTCCAATGCTATTTTTGGTCTAATCCTCTGATGTAATGGAATTTTATCATCTTCCAATGTTATTTTTGATCTAATATTAACACTGTACAAATCTTGAATGTAAATATGATGATTCAGATTTGGACTTAACATTCTGTAATTTAGCTCATGTATGTACAGGTTCATGTTATTAATGTCAGCTCAATTTCATTCACTAGAAAAATCTTGATGTGAAGTCACTGTTTGTTATTTGCATTTTTCTGACAATAATTAATCTTTCAGTTTAATCCATTATTTAACATTATATTAAGAAAATAAGACCAAAATATCAGGAGTAGATAATCTTTGGGCTTGGATTTTAATCGGATTTTTAAAAAAAGGCCCATGAAAAGATTTTACTCAACACTTATAGGTGGTGCTGGATTGTTTATATTGTCTGCAGACAATAACGAAGGTTGGGGAAATTTCAATTCATCATGCCTTTGGAAATACTGAACGAAACTGAACAATTTGGGGACTGATTTGGACTGACAATCCTTTTAGAAATTCTACTTTCAAGTTTGCTGAGAATTCAAAATTCCTAAAAACTCTAGAGAAATGGCCAAGTGGTTTTTCATCTGGATGGTGCAAGCTGACAGTAGGCCTACATGTGTATGTCATTGATAAATATACCAAATATTATATACATCCATTCCATAACCCAAAGTTTGTATGGAAACACCATCACATCACCTTTTATGTACACCTAAATTAATTTGAGCTCAATTAGTGCAATTCTCATTATTACATGTACTAACATGTATTTGATTTTCACTGTTTTCAAGTTTTCTCATTATTCACATTTAGTAAGTATTATATATAGGACCAATATCATTTTCTCTATATGTAGGTTTGAATAGTTTTTGTATAGCAATGTATGTTTTGAATTTATTTAGTGGTAATAGTTTACCATGGCAGAATATACCAGATAAAAAATCTTAGAGATATTGAAATCACAGTCTGTATCACTATAGACGTGTTCAATATATACTAGGATTCTGTGTTTTTATTGTGTATTATTAATAATGTTTATAGCCTTCTATTTTCGTCTTGTCTTGTCATTATTTCGGCTCCTAATATTATGTTGTGAGCTTGGCCCTGACTGAAAATATAACCCTTATGTGTGGTTTATGTTTGAGAGTGAGACATATACTGCATGAGGCTGTTAGCCAATATTACGCAATGTGCCCCTCAAAACCTTTAAACAAAAGAAATTTCAGAAATACTATCACATAATTTTTCAAATGAGGTCCCATCTGTATTTTAACTGGTTGGAGTGCCCAAGTGTAGATTTGCTGTTGATTCCATAAAGTAGTTAGGTTTTTTAAATGTTAAATACTGTGCAATTCAACATGGCACCTGGAAGTGGACGTAAAACTCCAGAAACGAACGAACAAACGAACCTAAGTCCAATCAGTCTGAAGAGTTCAGTACAAATGAAACTAGTCACTGACACCCGGGATAACCAGGTCTTCATAGCCACTCTTATATTAGGGTTAATGCTAGAATTTTATGTATAATAGACCAATGGAAAACCAAGTTCGGTTTAAGTTAACAGAGATTTCGTCACAGCAGGATAAACCACTTATAAATTAGCCGAATATTGGAAAATAAGTTAAATGATTGATTTTGAAGATTGTTTGTATATATAATATTATACATGTTTTTATATTAATGTTTTTGTTATGATGTTTCTATGCTATTACTTTGTATGCTGTAGAACATTGAATTACAGCAACATTATAGTTCAAAAATGGATAATTGCCATTAATTGCTGATCGTTGAAGCTCGGCATTATAGGCAAATTTAGTTCTCACATAATGCCTCTTTTATTCAGAACTTCTGTAGTTGCAACTAAAATGTATCATAAAATTAATACTAGTTAATAACATCCAATTACCATCATATTTATCAAGTACCTCACAATTTCACACAAAATCAATTTGATTGAGATTCATTTTAAATTTTCTAATTAATTTTTTTGTAGTTTTATAATCTGACCTTAAAGCCGCCTATTGTCATTTGCATTTTAAGACAATATCTAATTTTTTTATGGCTTAATTCACAGCAAAATGCACTCAAATAATTTAACATTTAATTAAGAAAAGAAAATCAACAGTAGGCTATCTTCCAGCATAGATTCAATTGGATTTTAAAAGTAAAAAAAAAGAGACCCATCAAAAGATGTTATAAAATTTTCAATTCATCATATCTTGATAAATACGGAGTGGTATTGAGCCATCTTTGGTCTAATATTCCTTTTAGAGTTTCAAGCCTCACAATAAGTTTACAAGGGATTCAAAATCCCACAAATGACTTTCTGCGGCTTTAATGAGAGGACTTCGTAGATATCATTGTAATTCTTGACTTTTTATATATATATATATATTTACTGTAAAATATTGTTTATGCTTTTATCCCATTTAATAATGTAAAACTATTTTCTAATTAAATAATTGTGCTAGCTTTGTCTAAAAAAAAACTGCTTCTTTTTATATATTATAGAAATGGGTCCAAACCATGGAGGTTATTAAATGTACACCATGTTCCAAACATCAAATCTTATTGTATATATAGTTTTTGTATTATTACCTCTATATTGGGTTTAGATCTGATGCACTACTTATTGTATCATTAATGTAGCTGAAATTAAATAATTTGGAGAAGTCACATTTAATTACTTTTATCATAACAGATCAATTTAATTTGTAGATTGATGTCAAAGACATAAAATTATCAAATTCAGATTGCTTTTTGCCATACAGTAAATGGAATATTTTCAAAACTTTACTGTGTCTATGCTATTAACATTTTTCCAGATTTGGCCATGTATACATTTAAGACTAATTAAAAATCTAAGGCTTGACTACTGTGCTGTATTAATCAGGGTATCAAATGAGAGATAAAAGCTCTCATCAACTTTCATCTGTTAATTGGGATTGGGCAAGACGGTGATGAAATTTAAATTTTTGCTTACATGGACGATTTAAATTTGTATTTTCGAGTAATATATTTTAACTAGATTGTGTCCTTTTACCTTGCCCTTAATATTTATATCAAGGCAGCCAGATGATTTTGGATACAATAAATGTAATCAGGCTTTTCAGTTACTATAACTCCATGTATGTTACATTAAACATTTGCTTATTATAATTAACTGAGGTAGGATCAAGAACCATCTATATTTATTTATCTGTATTTAATGCTTTCATATAAAGTTAATAAATCATGTCTTCTTATTTCCATTGGGTTTTTTTTTCTACCAGGAGTTCTAGTTTTGTACCATTTTTCACCAGAAATAGCTGCACAAAATATAGGTTGTCTTGCAACCAATCATATGCCCACAGCAGCTAATTTGTTCTAGCAGTCCATAAAGATTGGTCCATCAACAGTTGGCTTGTTAACACAATAGAGGGTACAGATTTTCAGCACTCTGTGACCTTTCATTCCAGAGTTACACTCCTTTTCCGAAAACCTTGGTAAGGTAATACACTTTTTAATGGATATTCTTCAAATTTGGTGTGAAGCATTGGGGTCATCAAAGGATGAACATTATCGATATTCAGTGTTACAAAAGCACAAGTCCTTCAAACAGCCAAAAAGCTTGCACTTAATGCAAGAAAGAAGTCCTATAAATGATGAGACCGCTCTTGACAGCCGTTGTGTTCCGAATGGTGTGATTAAGTTAGAATGTTAAAAAAAACCTAACAATAAGGGCAATAATCTGTTATAATTTCGGATAGAGTTATAATTGATAAGAAAAATATTAATTAAATAGATGAAAACCATTGTATTATTCAACTATAATCATTGCACAAAATATGATCAGATATTGTAGCAGATGCCGTTCAAACTAGAAATAAACCCAATTATTCACAAATGAAGGGAGAACGGCAACACTCCCTTAAAAGAGTAGCAGAGACTGGACAGGCCGGTGGCCCCAGAGAGTAGACATAAATAAAACTATAAAACATCCCGCTCAATAGTAGTACAAACAGAGATTTTAAGTAGAAACAGTAAGTACCTGTAGTTTATTCTTCATAACGTTTCCAGTGAAAGGACCCATTTTCAAATGATATTGTTGATCGGGAATTTTTATATTTTTATTAAATGCTGAACAAGTTAATACTTTGTGCTATTGAATGAGATCAATGTATATATCTAAAATAATGGCTTGTAAGAAAACAATTCTAAATTGTAAATATAGAAATTTATTTACATAACAAATATATACAGCACAATATAACATTGGGGGGTGCTTTATTGTCGGTCTGAGCACTGGAAACAAAGACAAATTAGATAATTCTTGTTGATTTTAAACCATTTTTATGAATTTTTAAACAAAGATTTGATATTGAATTAATGTGAAAGAAATTAGTGCTAAATACACAAGATTAAATGATACCCGGGTTATAGTGCAATATTATCCCCAACATTCAAAATTAATAAAACCCTAAACATCAATATGAGTCTTATTTCAATCAATATTGACGATGTTATTTTCCCGTGAAAATATGTTCTCATGCCACAATATTTAATACACAATGAACAATTTAAAATCAGTTCTCGACATATGGGGTCTCAAGCACCATTTGCAAATCCCACAAATCAATATGGAAGTAGTTAAAAATGGCTGACCCACAAACAAAAAGCTAAATGTGTAGACTGGACTAACCTCTGGCATTCAATTTGGAGAGCTCACATGTTTAACCGAACCTAAATCTGTTTATATACATTCATATATACTCTTCAACCAATTTTCATCCATTATAGATACCTACTACTCAACTACCATGGAGTCTTATCCAATAAGGGTATTTTTAGTAATCTAGGATTTCATTACAATATAACAATGGTTTTACTATGGTTTATGGTACTGGGCTTGTGCTTCAAAATGTTGCCAACCATTTAATTTACCAACATATTTTTTTAATCTTAAATCAACAAGATATTTTATTCAAAGTATACAACAATTATTAGCATCATCTCAACATATAAATCAATTTGTGCTTTTACATGTAAAAAGTTACATTTAAATGTATTGTTTGTTTTCAGGTTAAAATCTTTAAAACACCTATTTTTATTGTAAGCATATTTATAGCCAAGGACATCTCCAGGAAATTAATTTAATTTCCAGTCAAATGTGGCAAATATGACCCAAACATATGTGATTGGTGTTAAAAGCCTTTGTGACTTCAATCGCCTTCTAGACCATGAAACAATAAGAGAGAGAGAAATGGGGTTTAACATCCACTCAACACAAACTAGGTCTGTTTGGTACTAACATATGGTTCTATTTTATTTCATTAATTCGCTTGCACGTGGGAGGAAACCGGAGGACCCGAAATAAATCCAAGCAGTTTGAGAGGTGACCCTACTCCTTGTCATGTATAAGTGGGGAATCGAAACCACTCCACTTGACTCAATGACAGACCTTATGATGCAATGTGCACGCGTTAAACATTCGACCATCCAACACCCCATTGATACAACAAAATTCCAGGATTAGGGCTGGGGACACGTTATCCAATTGCCCATCACATTTTGTTAAGACTTCCCATGTTGGGGTTTATCAAAGATTTATGTAAAATATAGTGCGACAAGCCCTACCGCTCGTAATATAGAAATGTTTCTAGAAGGCAGATGAGCAAGAATACACTTTACACTAACCATTAAGGCCAAGATAATGGATATCCTTGCCCCCAACATTATAGAAATACTTGTGTCTATAACAGATAATTTGTTATAGCAAATGAAATGGGGTTTAACATCCTACTTTTCTGCTCCATCCTAGCTAAGTAATGAAGACATGATTTGTTATAGCACCAATATAGTCCATGAATGAAAATATGAGTGGGGAGCCGAGTGTCATTATCACTTGTATTAATAAAGTAAAATCATTGTGTTGGTTTATCTAGTAAACTATGTTCTATAAGTTGTATATCTTGTGAATCTTCTTTTATAATCTGTATCAGATGTTCTAAACCTTCTTGTTGTTGTTTTAATAACTAAAATAGAGCAAATATATATACATTAACTGTTAATCTCATCCAAATATATATATACATTAACTGTTAATCTCATCCAAATATATATATACATTAACTGTTAATCTCATCCAAATCTTGTAGATTCAAATCTCTCAATGAGTAAATGAAATGAAATGACAAGGGCTTTTAACTTAATCTTTTAACTTAATCTCATCCAAAACTTGTAGATTCAAATCTCTCAATGAGTAAATGAAATGAAATGACAAGGGCTTTTAACTTAATCTTTTAACTTAATCTCATCCAAAGCTTGTAGATTCAAATCTCTCAATGAGTAAATGAAATGAAATGACGTGGGCTTTTAACTGTTAATCTCATCAAAATCTCTCAATGAGTAAATGAAATGAAATGACAAGGGCTTTTAACTTAATCTTTTAACTTAATCTCATCCAAAACTTGTAGATTCAAATCTCTCAATGAGTAAATGAAATGAAATGACGTGGGCTTTTAACTGTTAATCTCATCCAAATCTCTCAATGAGTAAGTTGACAACAACTACAAGTTATTTTAGATATTAATTTACCTGTTTCATTTCATGTTGTAATTCTATATCCATATGATAATTAACATCAGGTCGATTACTAAATAGATGATTCTGCATTCGTATCTGTGACATTAGTTCATTTAGTCGACCCTGTAACAAGTAAATAATATAATATACTCCATCAAGAAAGTAGGCCAATGACAAGATGTGGAAGATGGGTCTAAAGCCTAGCTGGCAACCCATCGTATGTGCTACTACGAGCAGTCTATGGAAATTTTAGTAAAAAATCACAGCCTGGTCATAGAGACTTTTGGTCCTGCACATACAAAAATTTTCACCTGGTTTCTTTAGGCTTGTCTGCGAGCTACCAAACCCTATGACCAGTTGTGTGCTAGGCTTAAGATTATTTGGTTGTCTCATTCAGCTGGACATGGTCATACATTGTGTTAGTTGCTCTAAGACAATACTAAAATTAATTTCCCTCTGGTTGGGGGTGGGGGAGAGTTAAAGAGAAATGTGTTTTAATGTCCACTCAATTTTGGATTAAAATATGCTACAATTTTATTTCGATAATTTGCTTAAGGGGTGGGAAAAAACACAATGTTGGAAACATGGACAGTACTTGTCACATACAAACTTGGCATAGAAACCACGCCATTTAACTCAATGACCGACTTCATATTATAAAGCCCACGTTAGACCAATGGCAGACATAATCATCAAAAGCGCATGCATTAGACTCCTCGACTCAATGACAGACCTTGTGTTCTAAAGTGTATGTGTTAGATCACTTTAGTCAATACCAAACTTTACCTTAAACTGTGTTGGATGATTGAGTTCTGTTTGTATAGCTTCTAGTTGTACTTTAGTATGTTCTTCCTCAGCTTGAATAGCAAAACCCATTTTACGATAAACTTCCTGTTTTACAACAACCTGAAACAGAAAGAATATCAATGATCTGAACAATTAAAATGTCAAAATGTGTTTGAAAAGAAAATTCTGTAAAACATGTTCAGTACCTGTAATAATTTATGACCTAGTTCTAAATGTATAACATATTATTTACCTGTAATAATCTATGACCTAGTTCTAAATATAACACACTATTTACCTGTAATTATCTAATATACTATTTACCTGTAATAATCTATGACCTAGTTCTAAATATAACATACTATTTACCTGTAATAATCTATGACCTAGTTCTAAATGTTTACGTTTATATTCCTCTAGCTTTGCCAACATGTTGCTGTGTTTATTCTGAAGTTCACTTAAATCTTCTCCCATTTCCTACAATCAAACATGTATAATAAATTACTCACACAGTGGATCTAATTTGAAATTAACAAAAACAAGTCTTACATACTTTCTGGCAATCTCTGATTCCACACACAAAGAATAATTTCTGATTTCACAGCACAGAACAATCTCTGGTTAAACACACAAAGAACAATCTCTGTTTACAGTAAATACAGAAATGTTATAAGTGCTCACACATAACTATATTACATGGCAAGTTTTGTATAATGTAAAACTTTTTAAACATTGACAGTTTGCAAAATAAATGCTTCAAGGGAATAAAGTTGGTAAAAATGTTCATTTTGCCAATTAAAAAAAGGCTGTCTTTTGAAATTTTGATTCCTGATCATTTATATTAATTTTTTGTAACTTACATCTATTCTCTGTTGATGTAAACCTGTTTGTTGTTCCTGAAATTTGAGGCGTTGCTGAACTTCTTTAAAACCAATCATTGGAACTGGAACATACTCTTCAGGATTAGGATTATCTAACTTAGCTTGTTGCCATAGTAATGGATCTATACCTACAAACAAAAAGAAGATTAGTTAGCAACATCCCGCTCCTTGTATACCAAAAACCATATCAATATTAAATCTAAGAAGCTACAATAGGTTGGATGGCAGAATGGATTGCGCGTGCGTGCTGTATCGTAAAGCCTGTCATTGAGTCAACTGGTGGGGTATCGATTCCCCGGTTGTACGTGACAAGGAGTAGGGTCGCCTGTCCAACCTTGTGGGTTTTCTCTGGGTCCTCCGGTTTCCTCCCACTGCTAAAGACCCCTACCTGCAAGCGAATTGTTGAAAAAAAATTGAACCATGTGTTAGTCCCGAAATGACCTAGTTTGTGTCAAGTGGATGTTAAAACCCATTTCTCTCTCTCTCTCTCAGCACAGGATAATAAAATAAAATAAAACCTCAGTTTTACCTTGCAATGCTTACCTGCTGGTGGTGTATTTAGATATTCTTTAAGTTGATCAAGTGATAATTCCATTTTAGGTAAAATAGTATCAACAGTTAACTGAGATACCAATTGACTCTTTATATTGGCTTGATTTAAAAAATTAAACAAATCTGATGCTGATACTCTCTTGGCTGGACCTGATGCTGGTCGTTCAATAACATAAAATACTAACTCAGTTCTGAAAAAAAGATGAAGAATTAAACATATTGAATTCTTAACTAACAATTTTATCATGAATCCTAACCCTTCCAGAATGTCTGCCTATATAAAATTGCTAACTGAGACTGTCATGCATATTATGAAGACCGTTCAGACCAATTCTTCTGTCAGTTCTGGATGTACTACCTTTAACAAGTGGGAGGAAAAATATGGTGGTTCTCCCCGGTCCATGCTAGGATTTGACTAGTTCAATCCTAGATCTGAGTTTAGTGTTGTAACTTCATGAACCTGTATTCAACCACCTGCTGAAATTACCGTGTAAATGATGTAATGCTGGTGATAGGATAGGAGTTGGTGTGTTAGAAATAAAGGGAGGTAAGTTTTATAAATGAAATGGAGTTCAACGCCCTACTTCTTCACCAACAGGATCATGAAGACAGGCATATGGCTTGCAGTGTGCAATGATGGAAATATTACCTGGACAGTGGCGCTACAGTCTGTCTACTCTCATTTTCAAATTTAAGGATTGTTAACATGGGATCCTAGTTTTCATGCAAAACTGTCTGCCTGACCTACTTTCACGACCAACACCGGGATCGAACTCTTGACCTCTTGATTAGTGAGCCAGTGCCTTAATCACTGAGTCACTGTGTCCCTACCAGAAAGTATAAAACTAACCTGTCATCAGGAAGTGGTTTACTGCCTTCAACACAAATTGACAGTGTAGGTTTACTACCCAGTATTTTATGTATAATATCAACTACTTGTTGTTGTACTTTACATACTTCACTATGTTTCTTCTTTAACGTTAATATAATTAAACCATCGCTGTTCTTTTCTACACCCCTGATAGCATTATAACCTATAGCCTGTAACAAAAGATTAATATAATTAAACCATCGCTGTTCTTTTCTACACCCCTGATAGCATTATAACCTATAGCCTGTAACAAAAGATTAATATAATTAAATCATCGCTGTTCTTTTCCACACCTCTGTAATTAAAACATCGTCTAGGGAATGCATTATTGTCAGTCTGGAAAGTTTCCAACTGATGGAATAGCAAAGTCACCGTTCCGGCGTTCTGGGAGTCCCAATGTAACATAATCAAATGTTTCAGCTATATGGTGACTGTTATGATTACTGTAATTCTTGAGTTCACTTGAGTGCAGCCTTTCAATGTTTTGAGAGAATTGACTTCCGTAAATTTGGGACTTAGGAGTGACACTAGACACAAATTAAGTAATTTTTGGACTAACATACAATACAATTTTCATTAGTAGTGGAAAGAAATAAGAAGATCTGGAGATTAGGCCGACCACCCTACATCACATACAAGTTTGCAATCGAAACCATGACAACTCATTAATAGACTTTAGGGTCTAAGAAGCACACATTAAATAACTCAACCATCCAACTCTCCCTGTTTTAGAGAGAGAGAGAGAGAAATGGGGTTTAACATCCACTCGACACAAACTAGGTCATTTTGGGACTAACAAATGGTTTAATTTCCATAATTCGCTTGTGCGTAGGGGTCATTAGCAGTGGGAGGAAACCCTCGAGGTTGGGTGTTTTAGAGAATATGTATCTTGAGAACTATATACAATACCTTGAATCGACAGAAAGGATTATCTGGTTTGAATTCTACAACTCCATCCTGACTATAAAAACCTTTACCAACACCCCAGAAAGCTTGTAGTTGATTCCACTTGGCAATAATAGCATCCCGTTCATCACCATAGATCTGGGGTAAAGACACAGCCATTGCCATTTGAGATAAATCTGTGGCCGCTTGTTGCTGCTGTTGTTGCTGAGTTTGTGGACCTAAAGATTTACATATTAAAACATATTAAACGAACATTAGTGTAAATCTCTTGTCTAAATTCCACTGTTTGGAATCAAATTTCAACAGTCTTTACAGCAATAGAATTAAACATTTCAGTAAACTGGTACAAAATGAATCTTTATTAGGGAAGCCAGATTTTACATCTATGGATTAACAATCCTATTCACAAACACTGAATATCAGAAATTAACTGTTGACACTAATTAATAGTTTTCACATTTACTGTTTTATAAAGCATAAAGCAATGGGACACTGATATAATGAATATTCACTGATAAACCAGTTTGTACAATTCTCATAATTCAATTCTTGAATAATGACTATTAATAAAGTTTAACTTTCAATAGATAAGTGACATGTATTTCATATTGAATGCAGAAAAATTTAGGAATTTATACTAGTAACCATTGTGCTACCTATTTTGATCCATCATTACCTCCTAATAATCCTGCTCCTAAACCAGTTGATGCTCCTCCAAATCCCCCAAACATTGTAGACGTTCCAGTTCCAAAACCAGTGGAGGTTCCAGTACCAAATCCTGTAGTTCCTGTTCCAAATCCTGTTGTTCCGGTTCCAAATCCTGTTGTTCCGGTTCCAAAAGATGTGGTTCCTGTTCCAAATCCTGTAGTTCCAGTTCCTGTTCCAAATCCTGTAGTTCCTGTTCCCGTTCCAAATCCTGTAGTTCCCGTTCCAAATCCTGTAGTTCCTGTTCCAAAACCAGTAGAAGTTCCTGTTCCAAAACCAGATGAAGTTCCAAAACCGCTCGAAGTTGCTGTTTGTGTTCCAAAACCAAATCCACCCAAACCTATATTTTAGAAGAAAATAAATATTCCAGAAAAAAGTATTCATAACATCCTAAACAAAATTTAAAATGTATATATGCGGTTGTCGCGCTTGGAGAGCACAGGACAATGCAGACTGTATCACTAATCATTAATCCAAAAGCACATCTTTGGCAATATCCAAATAACTATGGTTAATTGATATTATTACGATTTGGAAGATGTCTAATAAAGTAAGGCCAATCAATAAATAACCCACTTATTTCTTGTGTGAGATGTTTTGTTAAAATTTCAAAACTTTAATATTTGGAAATTGGAATTAAAAACTTCTGAGAAGAAGAACTACATGTAAGTACTTTTTGTTTATAAATTAGTTTTTGTCTTGAAGAAATAGGAAGTAAAGAGGATGGCAATTTGAAAAAATCAACGCAGAAATCTAGAGTAGAATTTTGAGTGGGGTCATAATGTTTTAATCAGCTACGTTCACATTATTTCATGTCCTATTAGGTTTTGTAGAACATTCACTATAATTGTACAACATTTGTGAAATGTATACATTGTCTGGTTTATTACTTTATTCATTAGTAAATAAATTCTTGTACTTGTACAGCCAATTTTTCATCAGAATACTTATGGTGAAAGTAAAATGAAAAAAAAAAGGCTATTGCCTTGAGATTTGTGAATTACCTGTTGACGGTGTGGTTGATGTTGCAGTTCCGAATCCCGACAAACCTGCAAAAAATACATAATATATATATATATATATATACACACATACAGTCATTAAAGAAACAAGAGGGAAAAATGGGCTGCCAGGCAATGAACCATACAGCCAGTGGTGTCAAATCGTTCAGGTATCTAAATAGAACTTGTCACATTGTGATTCCTTGAGGTAAATAAAGAGACAAAACTTTTATACTCTATAAGTCTATGTCCTTTGTTTGGATCCTGTTGAATCACCCCCTGTGTAATCTTTAGAATGAAGTTTTATTAAGGTTACTCATGGGGAGTGGCTTCACAGAATTCAGTGCTATTAAAAATAATGTCAGAAATGACTATGAGACTTGAATTACATGTACCGTACTGGTATATTGGTCACCACTTGCCACCCAATGTCCCAACCTGTTGAAATGCTAAATGATTGATTATAGATATTCTCATCCTCTTAATTTATTGTGTAAACTTATCAAGTGTTATAACTTTGATCATCACAAGTATTTTTAAAACTTAGGCAATGATTGTGGTTTTCGAAATATCCCTAAAAAGAGCGATCAGAGTACCATTACTGTCAGATATTTTAACCTAGCTATAACAATAACCTGTTAATAACCATCTGACCAACATCACTGGTGTCCTTATGACAAGACATGGATGGGCCACCAAAGAATCAGTGCTTTTAGTGTTTACTTTAAAGGACAATATTGGTGCCAGTCATTATCACATATGTGACAGAACTGGTTAAACACGTTCCAAATACTATTTTATTACAGAGATCATTGCTACGATAGAGGCATAATCAATGCTTCAACAATCGGAAATGACAAACGCAAAAGGAAAACACGAGTTATCCCTCTATATAACTGACTGAAATGACGAGTGATAACAGACACATGAGCGAATTTCTGCTCACTAATAATTCCTTCGAAGACCAAAAGTTGTTATATGAGACTGTAAGAGTATATCTGACAATTCAAAAAAGTAATTAAATGTCATTAGATAAGAGAACACGAATAAAATAGAAACAGTCTGTACATTCACACGTGTTTATTCATTCTATCCTTATAAAAACATGGTAATGCACGGATTTTTCTATTTTTCTTTCATGTTCTCTTATCTAGTGACAGTCAATTTTTTTTATGAATTGTCAGATATCCTTTCACAGTCTCACACAACAACTTTTGGTCTTCGAAGGAATTAATAGTGGGCAGAAATTCACCCATGTACCTGTTATCACCCGTCACTTTAATCAGTTATATAGGGGGATAACTCGTGTTTTCCTTTTGCGTTTGTCACTTCCGATTGTTGTAATATTGATTCCACATCTATCGTAGCAATGATCTCTGTGATAAAATAATATTTGGAACGTGTTTAACCAGTTCTATCACATATATGATAATGACTGGCACCAATATTGTCCTTTAAGCTGTAGCACTGCAATTTGCAATGCCATATCACAACTACATGTAGTACTGTATTTAGTAGCATTACCACATCAAAATTTCAAATAACAGATGATGTGTTTTTCTCTGTTTTAATGCATGCAGCCTGTTTCAAACATGAAGAAACTTTTAAAATTCTCAAAATCGGTTAATAAATAAGTTTTCTATGAACATTTTTCTCATCGCAGATGGCAACATTTTTCTAACAAAAAGTAATAGACTTATCTATAGGCAAAACACGCCCTCGAAATAGGGCTTTTTGAGGCTAAAATAGTCTTTTAAAGATCCTACAATAACTCTGGTAATATCAAAAGCAATAAGTTGAAATTTTGACACCCAGATGAAAAATAGACAACAAATTCAATTCTGTCGTCAAAATGCCTCTGCAACATACGCGTTCCCTGAGATGGTGGCCATCTTGGATTGCGGTTAAAACCGCCATTAAAATGTACTGCAATTATGAGGTCAGCATCAAATGACACTACACGGCTGTTAAAAATGCTTCATTCTGCACTCCATAAAGTAAGTTTGATCTACTTCATGACTTCAATCGGGTGTCATTTATTCGGTGCTCAAAGTATGGGTTGTAATATATCATTGGAAAGGTATTGAAGAGGGGATTACAGTTTCCAAATGTCCAATACCCACCAGAGAACATATTAAATAAAGAAGTTGTTTTTAGACATTGTTTATTTTGTTCAATATTTCAAAGATGAGACGTGGAATGTCGAAAGTTGATGCGCCTTCATGAAACTGCTTGCATCTTTCACAAATACATGAAAAATAGGTTTCAAAAGTTTTATATGATATAGGAATGCTAAATTCCCTCACATATTATAATTGGAAAATGAAATGAAAGATTATTCTATAATTATTTACCAAACATTTCATCAATAATCAAGTAGTCTAGCTTATATAGGCCCAGTAATCTTAACTGACAATCTAACATGTAAAATTAACTAATTCTAATTGAGTCACATTTTAATAAAAATAATAATTTTAATAGGCCTACTAGATTATTGAAAAAATTTTGGTAAATAATTATAGTTTTCCATAATTTTACTAATTATATTAATATCTAAAATTAAACAATTTTTATTGCGGTACATTTTAATCAAAATGATAATATTAATTAACCTACATGATTACTGATAAAATGATTGGTAAATAATTGTAGTTTTACATAATTTACTAATTATATTAATATCTAAAATTGATCCATTTTATTGAGTTTCATAATCAAAATGATAATATTATTTGATAGGCCTATATCTCTAGACTACTTGATTATTGATGAAATGTTTGGTAAATAATTATACTATTATAGTTTTAGTAATTCGATTAATATCTAAAATTAACTAATTTATGGGACATACATGTTTGTCATTCGGTTCCAAGACAACTGTCATGTCAAATCCATACATAAATGTCAAAATAACAAGTGCTTTGTTTATATCGTGCGTGATAGCATCCATGGAAGGATTACCCGCCTTCCACCCCCTACAGCTGAAATGACATGCGAGTTTGTCCAATCAGACTCAACAAAGACAATCACATGATGTCAACAATGTTCGTCATAGGGGAATACCATTTTGCTATGAATGGAATCGCCCGTGAAGTTTTCGCCGTAAGAACTCAGCTTGGCAATCAAACTTCTGCGGCTTATTCCTCAATGAAAACAGTTTTTATTACCGACGACACATATATCATTATAATCTACGATATTTCATAAAGGTTCTCACCGTTTTAAAATTCCAGCCGCAACATTGAGTTTTAGAAAAATTTGACTTCAATCTTTTAAAACATTTGTATCTCAAAAACTATACCCGCCATTTTGATCGGGAATGCCGCGGAACCTTGCAGGGTTCTTCCTGATGATTCGTTGAAAGTTTCAATGACGTACGTGAAGAACTTTCCGAGCTATGAGAATCCCCAGCGAGATACCGCTCAAAAACCCGGGCGTGCCGTGAACATTAATTAATTTGCTAATGGAAAAACAATGGCTAACTGCCAGTGACGTAATATTAGCGTGGGTATTTTATAACTTGTGTTTTGAGTGCATTATCAATAAAGAACAAAAACGAAACTTGTATCACTAGAAAGGTAATTTAATTGGCTTTTTATTCATATAGGTTAAAATATGTTGACACAAATTGTGAGTTTTTTATCGGATATTTTTTCTTGGCACTCTGTGCGCGAGGAGTGTAGGACACGGTCAATACGCTGACTGAGTGTCACACAGCGCTGAGGACGAATGTGGTAATGCTATATTTAGTGTGATCTATAAAAAGTAGAGACCTGTTGATGTTCCAGTCCCAAATCCAGTAAGGCCTGTTGGTGCTGTCGTGGCGGTTCCACCAAAACCAAATCCAGTGGTTGATGCCGCCGGCGTTGTACCAAATCCAGTCGCAGTTCCGCCAGTTGTCGATCCAAAACCAAACCCAGTTGACGGCGTAGACGTTGTGCCAGTAGAAGAGAAAAGCGACGCTTGGGTAGAAGCAGGAGCACCACCACCAAATGAAAATGACATCTTTGGTGTGATTATTTTACTCTTATTTTGTTAAATAATTTTCTGAAAAGTGCTAAAATTAAAATTCCCTCTACAGCATGTCTATCTTCTCAAAGAAGAGTCATTGTTAGAGTTGCTTCCCTTGAATCACTAGACTAGGTTTTCCAGTGCAAATAAAGGGCCGGTCACTCCCGGTGAGTCGGTCGGACAAAAAATGAACAAAATAATTCGTCTAAAAAAAACTTTTTTCTGCTGAACATTAAATGGGGGGGTATTGGACCGGAAATGGAGCGATGATGATCTTGTTGAATGGGCTGGTATAATAGACTTTCTGGGCCGGGTGTGCTGGTAGTATATGTATAGGCCGGAATTCGGAATCCTGCAATGAGTTAGGATTCCGAATTTCATCCGAAAATTTCATCGTATTCACTCAACACTGTCGCCCGGAAATTTACTAATTATTAAGTCACCTGCACCCTGTTTGTGGGGATACGCCAGAAACGTCTGCCGATGGTTCGTAACTCAAAAAAAGAATTCAATTTTAAGGCCTCAGCAAAATTTGATGATATTATAGCTGGTCTGCTGACTGAATATGATGAGTGCGGACGATTTCCCGAGGCTGGTGTTAAACATTCCTTGACAGTAAAAGGTTCCCGGCCCCAATCCGCCCCTGATTATATGCAGGCAGAAAGGTCTCCTCTACTTCACCGTGATAGTGACATTCAAAATCATGAAAAGAATTCATGCGTCCTTCATGCATGTGCTAAACATTATCAAGTTATACGCACTATACAAACCTTTTCACGAATACATACAGGGGCGGACCCAGAGGGGAGATTGTGCTCCCCCACCCCCCGCTCAGCTACATAAATTTTCACGTTGGTGTGCTTTATCCTTAACGTCAGATGGCAGGATGGGGATGGGCATTCAAAGCGCGAGATATTGATATATAGACATAATGTGATATCCCAATAATGTTTTGCGTCAATGAGAGAGAGATTGGGTTTAACGTCCACTAGGTCATTTCGGGACTAACACATGGTTCAATTTTATTTCAATAATTCGCTTGCGCGTAGGGGTCTTTAGCAGTGGGAGGAAACGGGGGGACCCGGAGAAAACCCACGAGGTTGTACAGGCGACCCTACCTTTGTCATGTACAACCGGGGAATCGAAACCACGCCAGTTGACTCAATGACAGACCTTATGATACAGCGCGCACGTGCTAACCATTCGTCCACCCCCCTTTTGCATCAATGAAATTGAATCACAAGGTGATCATATTAATTCATAATGCAAATTGACGTCAAACGGGGTGTTCGATTTCTCTCTTTGAAAGGCTCAGTCAGGGTTAATGTATATACGCCAAAATGAAGGTAGGGAGCAGACACCATGTATTTCTCAAAAATTTTCAAGACACCCCACCCCCACCCCTGCACCCCAAGATACGCTGTCTCAGGGACCAGACAAACCCCCTCCTGCAAAAATTCCGGGATCCGCCCCTGCATAGAATACAGTTTAATGAAGAGGCAATAAACATGGATATTCAAGTGTTTTGGAGACGGCTCTATGTGACCCACCATAAATAAATATCTCCAAATATCTCGACAATTACGCCACAATATTTATATATATACCAAGCCTCAAATCAGTTTCACACAATTATAGTCACTAAATAAACGATTATGTTGTACTTAATAAGCTATGACCATTAATCATGTAGAAATAATAGACTGAAAACTGGTTCCAAGTGTCGTCCATAACATCCAGTCACTTTTGAGTAAAAGATAGGTTACGTGCCCTTGTTTTGAAATTAGTCTCGCTTAACCAGTCTATCGATCATTCTACGTCTGATTGACAGGTCGGGATAATCAAGACTACTTTTTTACGAAACATAAGCTAGAACAAGAAATTGAATTTAGAAATAAGCACTTTAGACAACTCAACAATTGTTTTAAGAAACTTGTAAAAGTAAAATGAAACTACTGCTAGTATCACGTTCCTGTCTAACCCGAGTGTTTCAGAGATATTATTTGTACTAAACCAAAAGATGCCGCTCTTAACGGTACAGTTAATGATAAAGCAATTTAAAAAATAAAACAAACGTAATTTCTAAAGCTGCTGTAATAACCAAGAAGCTAAATTTTACTGCTATTCAAAATCGTCAACAATAGATTTTTTACGGCTGTAATAGTTGATATATTTGTAGAGAATTGCACGTGCATGGCTATTTATCGACTCAAAGAGAGTGCGGGGTAGTCAGAAATCAGTTCGAGACACGCAACTGAAGCGTGCACATTTAGCCGTGTCGAGACCAACTTTCTGTAGAGTGCACGGGTCATCCTAGTCTTTGTTAATGCACACACGGATGTAGATTATATTTTATTAGGATTATGAATCAATAAATCATAAATAGAGAAATAATTCTATATAGGTCCACATAAGTAAGTGTTACAAATATTGTATCATGAGTCGTGTCGTTTACTCTTCTATCAAAATTTAAAGATATCTAAAAAAATAAAGCACAACACAATTTCTATGGAAAACAATCACTGGTTTATACACATAGCACGACGTTTCAACAAGTATTCATCTTAAATGATCATCGTTTTCAAGAACGTGCTCAATCGCTAAATACCACCGAAGGATTATATAAAGATGTGTCTTGTTGAAAATTTCTGAGTAACCCAACCACGTTGACACGCTAAAACCAAGGGTCTCGTGTTCGTTCCCGATGGTCGAGAAAGTTCAGGAAGTGTCAAGTCGTTAGGGTGAAACAAAAAACAATTGTGCCGTGAACACGTTGGCGTGCCTGTAAAAGAATCATCAAAAGTTGGAATTCGAAATAAGTGCGCCGGTCGTCTTGGCTCATAGTAAAACTCAGTCCAAAACAATTAGATTTGAACTTTTTCTTTTTATCAGATAACCCCACGTGTAGATTTTAACATCATAAATAAATATTGATTGGTGTACATAACGTGAGAATAAATACAATATATTACTTGTACAAATACACCTTTTTAATGTCTTTAATGTGAAAAAGCAATAAATCATGTACATATGTGGGATCTACATCAAATTCCACCGTCTCCCTTTAAAGGGCCACGAGTAGAAGTCGTAAAACTGGTTGATTGAAGTTCTCATCGGCTAATATTTGACCAGTTGCTGTATTTACGGGCTGAAATGGCAGGAACACGCGTTTGCGGCCATAAATATCCTGGTGACAGGCTCAACCATTTCGTTTCTGCTCCGTTTCCCACCAAGCCTGGAATTCAGAGTGGGATTTCGGTTCCAAAGTCACATACTACTTTCTTGTTGCTTTACTCGCAGGCCGGAATTGCACCAACTAAAATTTTTTCAGGCACTTCTATTTCTCCGTCCCATATAAATGTGCACACAACTGCGTCATACTGTACAAGTCGTATAAATAGTACACAGAGCAAATGTCCGGTGTTCGCTGAGAAATATCCTCGGGGAATTTCCCGTGTAGTCTCCCGTTGTCAGTGGAACAGGACGAAGGAACAGCGTCTTTGGAACAACGCCTGGTTACAAGTAACTTGAGAGTTAGAATTCGATGAAGAGTGGGAGGACACCGCGCTGTTCTGGCAAAATGCCTCCCATACGCCTTTATTCATTGGCAGGGGGGGGGGGCACGGTCACTCAGTGAATCATACTGCACGCAGCGATCCATACTTCGAGAATAACATCACTGTCCTAAATGCCGTCCATTTAAAGCTCTCACGTGATCATTTTGGGGCGGGACTTATCGACTGGCCTACTGCTTTGTACACCCGAAGCACATGGTTTATGTAAACAAATGTCAAGTTAGCGAAAACGTCGACTTCTGCCACTCCGGTAAAAGCGATATATAATATGTGCTAGTGAGTAATATTGCAATGCAGTCTTTACCATTGTAAACCGTCTTTACAGTTTCAATCTGTTTATCTTTCAAAAAAAGGTTAGATACTCCTAAATTTGTCTTCGCAAACAAAACCGCTTCTGTGAAATTATCTTTCATGGGCGCCGCCATATTGAATAATTAGTGGACTATTTCGTGATTCCGCTCTGATCAGTTTGACATCTTCCATAATACACACAACGGCTAAATAACCATATTTAATTTCATTCAATATGAAATAGAAGTGAAATAAATACTTCTAAAAATTTCTAAAAGCATACTCAGTGTTTTCGACTAAAATCGTCGATTTAGGAATTAAAATGTCGGTTAATTAGCTTAGGGCCTTTTCTCAGGCGGAGCTAGCTGTAGACAGGCAGCCTAATTATGTTTGGGATGTCAGTGAATAAGACGTTGGCTCGCTAACCTGAAGGCCCCGTGTTCGATTCCTGCGTTGACCGAGAATGTTCATCGTGATTTTCCGACGAGGTTCCTCCATGTCAGTGCGTCAGTGGATGTAGGGCCGAGGGCCTGGCAAGGGACAATGTGTATTTGTTCGGATGGGACCAAAAACCAAGTATACACATTGGCATGCAGGTAAAAGCTCCCTTGGCAGTTGGAATGCGATATAAGAGTAGGTCGTAGAGCCACTGTCCGGGCAAAATTTCCCGCATTGCACATGTATGGCGTATGCCCGTCTTCATTATCCCAGCCGGAGTAATTTCTAATCATATATGTTTGGTGAAATACGCGAACAGTCCAAACTGAATGACAATCGTTTACGCCAAATTAGCCCATTCTTCACGCTTTTTTATTATTATTTTATCATTTGTGAATCAGCCATTACTATTTACTGCTGTCTCATAGTAATTTAGGATATGTTTTTCTTTGTCCACTTCTTTTGCGCCCGAAACGGTAGGGTACACGACTCGTGTGCGGATTTTAAAATGTTTATGGTGTCTTAAATATTGGATAATAGGATCCCACATTTTCACAACATAACAACATCAATTAAGATTGAAATGAACCAATATTGAATTCAAATTTGTGTTTTTAATTTCGAATATTATGGAAAATATTGAGTTAGAGAATTAGCTCCTTTAACCAGTTATGATAGATTTGGACCACTATCACGATTCGTGCTGCGATTGAAAGTGGTTTTAATCGTGGAATAACTGTGGTGATCCTATCATGTCTTACATGTATATGTCATATATTGAGGTCAGTTGTAGCAGTCGTGTTGATCGTATCGAAACGTATCCGAACGTATCTGCACGTGCCAGATCGTGGACTAAATAGGGACAATCCTATCGTAACGCAGGGCCGTATCTAGCGGGGGTGCAGGGGGTCCATTGCACCCCCAGAAAAATATGGCGCCCCGAGAAATTTGATAACCTTTCAACCATAAAATAATACACTTGATTATGATCACACAGTGATGCTCTTAAGGCACTGATCAGTCGGTCTTTTTTAAGGGCGCCCACATTCCAATGGGTGACTTGGGCATTATTTTGGCGCCCCACCACTCTGCTGCACCCCCACTTTTAAAATTCTACATACAGCCCTGTCGTAACGCATCGCACGACAATGGGAACCTAGCATAAATCGTTCGGAATGTTGTTTTGGTTTCAGCTGTCCTGTATTTTCACCCTTGCTATGACTTTATTCTTAAACAATATAATGGCATGATTACATGGACGATAATTCTGTCATAACATATTATGAATTTGAATGCCCTTTGGGATTCATGGTAGGTCTAATATATGTTATTTTATATTTCTCAAAACCAACAATATGACCCCAATGACTTGCAACATTACAGTTATAAAACATTCTCATAACATATTTTCACTGGTGTATCGCGTATATAATAAAAAAAAAAGTACTTCTTAAATTGAGCAACGACATATTCCTATATTGACGGACAACTAGGCCAACTTTCTGTATGGATGACCAGTAAGGAGTGTTTGGAAGGACATTCTGGGGATCTTACTTAATTGGCCTGACACTACTAATGCGACAGACATTTGTTGGTACAGGCGCAAAGCTTTTTTACAGTGTATGTGGAAATTCGTGTCAAGTAGATGTAAGTTACAATAATATTCATCTTGGTCATTGTTTGTTATTTAAGGCCCAGGGTCAAGGCCGTATTTAAAGGCTCAATACCACTCTTGTTGTAACTGAATAATATGTCCCAATCTTTATTCTGGTCAACAAATTGTACTCTTTTAGAATATTTCAATTAATTGATGATACAAATTTCATCTTGACACACCTTATTTAAAAATTTTGAAAAATTCAACATAATGGTTTGAAACGTCTAACGTAAACCTTTTCAAATGAAACTTCGATTTAAAAATAATTTTGAACCCCCTGGACAAGTAAAATAGGATTGAATGGATAATTTACACAACAGGTAGGACACTAACACATCTAGTACTTAGAATAAGGCTATTTTTTTATTTTCTGGGGCTGTCAATACAGCAAGAGTGTTATTGTCCCTTTAAACTTCAACAGGGTCAGAAGAAAGGTAAAAAAACAAAATATTTTGCCCGGCAACACTATATTTTTATTTCGAATCTAGCCATATCGACGGCCTGATTTCTTTTACACCAACCATCATACCAGATATATTTGAAATAATTTAAAATAGTATAGTCCTTTCCTTTTTGGACCTTGGGTTTTGGCTGTTGACTTAAGGCATGCTCCCGAAAAAACTGCCAGAGAAAAGGTCCGACATATTAAATTGTGCTTTATTCATTCAGATGATTTAAGATAAGCATTAGGTAAATCAATTTTAAGATAAAATCATAACTTCATAATATAATATCATAACAAAATACATGGTCCTCTTTGTATTCAACATATTTTTTTTCAAACTACAAAAAGAAAATATGCATGAAATTACATCAAATATACAGCATAAATTAGTGTTGAATGGTTAGTACGTATATCATAAAGTCTGTCATTGAGTCAACTGGCGTATTTTCGATTCCCCGGTTGTACGTGACAAGGAGTAGGGTCGCCTGTCCAACCTCGTGGGTTTTCTCCGGGTCCTCCGCTTTCCTGCCACTGCCAAAGACCCCTACGCGCAAGCGAATTATGGAAATAAAATTTACACAACAGGTAGGACACTAACACATCTAGTACTTAGAATAAGGCTATTTTTTATTTTCTGGGGCTGTCAATACAGCAAGAGTGTTATTGTCCCTTAAACTTCAACAGGGTCAGAAGAAAGGTAAAAAAACAAAATATTTTGCCAGCAAAACCCTATATTTTTATTTCGAATCTAGCCATATCGACGGCCTGATTTCTTTTACACCAACCATCATACCAGATATATTTGAAATATTTTAAAATAGTATAGTCCTTTCCTTTTTGGACCTTGGGTTTTGGCTGTTGACTATTGGCATGCTCCCGAAAAAACTGCCAGAGAAAAGGTCCGACATATTAAATTGTGCTTTATTCATTCAGATGATTTAAGATAAGCATTAGGTAAATCAATTTTAAGATAAAATCATAACTTCATAATATAATGTCATAACAAAGTACATGGTCCTCTTTGTATTCAACATATTTTTTTTCAAACTACAAAAAGAAAATATGCATGAAATTACATCAAATATACAGCATAAATTAGTGTTGAATGGTTAGTACGTATATCATAAAGTCTGTCATTGAGTCAACTGGCGTATTTTCGATTCCCCGGTTGTACGTGACAAGGAGTAGGGTCGCCTGTCCAACCTCGTGGGTTTTCTCTGGGTCCTCCGGTTTCCTGCCACTGCCAAAGAGCCCTACGCGCAAGCGAATTATGGAAAAAAAATTGAACCATTATATGTTAGTCCCTAAATGACCTAGTTTGTGTCGAGTGAACGTTAAACCCCATTTCTCTCTCTCACACACAAAAAGAAATTACACTGTATAGCTGAAATTACATCAAATATACAGCATAAATTAGTGATAATAGTTTTTTCAAACTACAAAAAGAATATATACATGAAATAACATCAAATATACAGCATAAATAATTATTGTTTACTTTCAAATAAAAGTGATGAATATTTTTTTCGAACTACAAAAAGAAATTATAGCTGAATTTACATCAAATATACAGTAGCATAAATTAGTGTTTACACGTACTTTCATATAAAAGTGATAAATATTTTTTTCAAACTACAAACTAAAGAAAATATAGATGAAATTACATCAAATATACGGCATAAATTAATGTTTACTTTCATATAAAAATGATAGTCTTTATCAAACTACAAAAAGAAAATATAGATGAAATTACAACAAATACACAGCATAAATTAATGTTTACTTTCATATAAAAGTGATAAATAGTGGGGGGTTTTCAAACTACAAAAAGAAAATATAGATGAAATTACATCAAATGTACAGCATAAATTAATGTTTACAAAAGTGATAAATTAGTGGGATTTTTTTTTTAAACTACAAAAAGAAAATATAGATGAAATTACATCAAATATATAGCATAAATTAATGTTTACTTTCATGTAAAAATGATAGATAGTGATCTAGTTCTACAATATTATATTGGTATACTTTGAGCAATTGGACGGTGCAAGGGATGAGGTCAGTGACGTGCAGAGGTTGTGCAAAACGTATTATTCAAATTACAGATGCATTATGTAAGATTTAGACCAAGAGGTGACCATTCTTGCTATAATAGTTTAAAAATAGATGCATGTAATGCTAAATAAACTTTATTGAAAAATAATTATCGTATTCTGAGCAAAGTTATCACTGTTTGAAGTTTTGACAAGATGTGTCATGGACTGTAATATTATCGTAACAAAATGGTACTTAGACTTAGACTTGATTCGCCATTTTTAAAATAAATCATTAAATAGCGATCGTATTTTAATCTATTTAAATCTCCGCTATTCGAGGGTCTAGATTGTTGATTATAGATTTGTCATGTGAATAAAGAATCGTCACCATGGTAACCACTAGCGTCAACTGAGATTAGATAACAAATCATAACGAGTATAATAATAACTGGGATTATACGAGCCATTGAGGCATCTGAATAGCGACCAGCAGAATATTTTGGCCATGATATGTGTTACTCTTGATGCCAGACTATAATAACAGTAAGTATATCTCCTTATCCTGTAAATCTTACTTTAAAATATTACCTCATTCAAACGCTATCGACAAATCACAATCACATTCCGGTTAATCGGGATGGTATTTTAAAATATTAGCGCCAAACGCTATCGGCAAATCATATTTCGGTTATTCGTTGTGGCATTTTATAAAATTAGCGCGGATGGGCTCTTGAGGGGGGGGGGGGGGTCTCGTGTGGTCCACCTCCTAGAATATTTCGAAATATTTGGGTGTCAGTGGTGATTTACTTCGCGTAATCTAGACCCGAATATAACATTCAATTTCATCAGCTACCAACAAAAATCTCAAATGTAAACGTTTCACAGAAACATAATAAGTGAATTTAAACGTTCCACAGAAACATAATAAGTGAATTTGTAATTATGTTATTTAGTAGGGAGGGGCGGGGGCGTGGGCACAATTTATGGAATTATTTCATCACCACATCATATTCTTGTGAGAAAGTATGTTGATCCTACAGAATGAGCAAAGTACAACGCTATTTCACCCTTAAATTTAATGGGCTCTTCCATTAAAAGGCAACAATGATTGGATAATTGCTCGATAGTTTCCGCCAAATAGTGAAAATTACCGAAGTAATCACGTGTAATTACGTGCATGTTTTTGTTTATACATCGCCATTTTGGACTATTGAATTGAAAGCAAAAACAAAATGGATAGTAATACGAAGTCAGACGAATAATCAATCCTTTTTAGCCAACATATTGACGATGGAATAGATTTGAATGCAAATATCGACGAGGATCTATCCAAAGCCTGCAGAAAATTTGGACCAAAAGGCATTCTTTTCCAAGAATTCTGACAGTAAACCATGATTGAAGGTTTTCGGTATGTTCAGAGAAGGATTTGACCGACTGTTTTAAGTGGACTGTACCCAAAAATACTTTACAAAGGAACTCTTGGGCGATAAATACTTTCAAGTCTTGTAGTGTGTGGAGAAATAATCGCAATGTGGACGAAAAGAAAATTCTGACATGTCTTAGACATGGATAACCGATCTAAATACATGTATATCGATAAGTACGCCGTCTATTTCGGCCCGGGATGTTACAAACTGTACCATAACAATTTTTAATTGTCAAAAGAATAAAAATTTAATTCTGTGTTCTTTGTTTTATTTCGATCATCTATGTCATCAGCGGTTGATATGAGCCGAATATATCGACCTGAGATGACGTCATATGGACATCAAAGAAAAAACTACCGCCAGTTGTATATATATATTGGGTTAATCTTGTGGCTACCTTTATTGACTGAAAGAGACTTTCCGTGTTACAAACGATGGTTCAAGGCGTGCCCCTCAGCTGAAATAGCCCAGCCTATACCAAGCCTAGAAATAAGGCACCTGTCACAGACAATGTCACTTACGTTTTCAAGCTTTGTCCGACACGATCCCTCTAGTGCCTGTCATTTTGTGACAGATTTGTTATTTATCAGTGTTTTATCGATTTTATTAAAACATGTCACCACAAAGTTCAAAATGTCAGATTGTGGTTCCGTTTTGATTTAGGAATAATTATTAACAAAAATCGTCCGGTTACCAACTACTATCGCAGGTCTAAATATTACCCCCACCAACCCTACAAGAAACACTGATGTATTTAAGAATTTTTCATAAAAAAAACCCAAGATAGGAAATTTGATTTGGTATGTTGGACTGGATGATCGAGTCTATAAAGATGGGTGCGGACTAGGGTTATTAGACACTGATAGGACATCTTCGCCTGGAAGATGTTTCATTTCGATATCACCGTTTTCTATAGAACTACGTTTAGGGACAGTTCCGTTCATATGGGACACTGTATTTCTTTGTTCATACGTCAATGTTTTTTGTTTGTTAAAATAACAACTTAAATACGCTACCCCAACAATTATTACACTTGCTCCAACTATTACACAGACTACTATAATAGACAGTTGTCCCTCTTC